TCCCAACTGCTACTGCTTAATTTTGTAACATGGGCTGGTTCAAAATCCCCTCCATTTTTACTTCATATAATCACACCCACCTTCCTTACTACAACCCAGCTCGCCAAAACTTGGTAAACAAATCCGAAACCCAGAAAGATGGCGCCGCCAACAAGGTCTTTCGATTTTTGCGCAGGCTTATGTCTGGAGGTTTGTTGAAGTTTTTTGCTTGTTCTGTTTTTATGCATGAATGGATTTTCTCTTATTGGAGCTATTTCTGATGTGGGATTGTGCTGTTTCTGTGGAATGTGCAGGAAAAATTGATGGAGGGTCAAGGACTGAGGCAGAGGAGAAGCTCTACGCTTGGATATACGCCTTGGCGCAGTCCGACAAGGATATGGTTTTCGAGTATGTTCGATCCACAGAAAGGGGTTAGTGTCCTTAGTTACTCACCTTAATTTTCTGTTCTGTTTTTAACCAAAGTTATTAGGGAATGAGAACTTTGAGATTTGTTTTTCTGATAGATGCAAGTGTGTTTGTAAAAGAGACTGACTGAATGTATTACATGGTTGTCTCCATTGTTATACGGATGGTGATCCATAAAATGTATGGGGAAGTTAGTTGAATTTGAATTGCTATGAAATGCCAAGATATAGGCAAATTTCTCAGTTGAATTTGATAATTATAAGGCTAGGTTGGTGCATTTTGCAGTATTTTCATGTAAGCACGAATTATAAGGCTAAAAGAAGTTGTAGCTCCTCGCAATCGTATAATAGCTCTGGAGTTTCGCTTCGCTGCAGGATTAAGCTTTGCTGAAGCTGAAAGGAGATTGAAGGAAAACGGACCGAATGTTCCTATTGATTATTCTTTTCCAAGTTGGTGGCATATTTTGTGGAATGCTTTCTTCCATCCTTTCAATATCATATTGATTGTCTTGTCTGTAATCTCATACTTTACGAGCGACAGCCCGAATGGATGTATCATGCTTGTTTTGGTTTTCATAAGTGTCTCCCTCCGATTCTATCAGGTATTTCTTGCTTAGTTTGTTCAATCAAATAGGTTCCATATCTTTCAATCAAATGAGATTGATTTTCCATGTTCCTTTCAGGAATATGGCAGTTCAAAAGCGGCCATGAAGCTTTCAGAATTTGTAAGGTGCCCAGTCAAAGTTCAAAGATGTGCAGGTAGAGTTTACCAGACGGAGCTAGTGGTACAGATTGACCAAAGAGATGTTGTTCCTGGTGACATTGTCATTTTTGAACCTGGAGACCTTTTTCCTGGTGATGTGAGATTGTTATCTTCGAAACAACTTGTCGTAAGGTACAGTGCCTATAAAGCTTTCTGTCTTATAAATGAGTATTTTTGAGTTCTTTTATGCCATTCTTCCTTTTTAAGATTAAGTGATCACTCCATGCTTCTTGAACAGCCAGTCATCATTAACAGGAGAGTCTTGGACAACTGAAAAAACTGCTGATATCAGAGAAGATCAAAGCACTCCATTGCTTGATCTGAAGAATATTTGCTTTATGGTATGTACAATAAGGCCTTAAATTGTTCAAATTATGCCGGAACATTTCAATACCGTACACGTAACATCAGAGGTTGCAACTCTTAAATTGAAAAAGTTTGGGATTAAGACTTCATTAATGGGATTTCTTTAAAAAATTTCATGATTAAGTAGGAATTTCCTGCTTAATATGTTTTGGTAATATTGCATGTTACTGAACAATTATATAATTTCCTGCTGTTATATAAAAAATTCAGGGAACGAATGTGGTATCAGGTGGCGGAACTGGTCTAGTTGTTTCCACTGGATCTAAGACATACATGAGCACCATGTTTTCAAACATAGGGAAGAAGGAACCACCAAATGATTTTGAGGATGGTGTCCGCCGCATATCTTACGTGCTGGTTGCTGTTATGCTAGTTGCAGTCACCGTCATAGTTGTAATTGACTACACTACATCTCATGATCTGACTGTGAGCATCCTTTTTGGAATCTCGGTAGCAAGTGCACTAACTCCTCAAATGCTTCCTCTCATTGTTAACACAAGTCTTGCAAAAGGAGCACTTGCTATGGCCAAAGACAGATGCATAATCAAAAGCTTATCTGCAATACGAGACATGGGATCTATGTGAGTATATACATAACTATATATATATATGGACATATTTGTGTGGAAGGATAAATCTTACCACAAACTGATAAGTGCCTGAAATGATGATGATTTGGTGGCTTTTGGAATGGATAGAATCGTCTTAAAGTGGAAATGTGCATATAAGGCTAGGCCTTTATGTACTACATTGTATGCATTTTGTCAAGCTCCAGTGCAAGCTTCATCGGATTATACTAGTCCTGTGTTGAATTCTTTTTTTCTTTTTTTCTTTTTTCTTTTTTTTTCCTGAAGAGGGTGGAGGGGGGTGATGTTGACTTAAGAGTGTTAGATTCAGATAATTAACACTCAAATTCACCGGTTCTTGACTATATGATGTTAAACTGAAGGGGACCCATTGTGGCTCTCAATCCAATTCTCTTTTATGCTGAAATGGAGATATAGTTAAAAACTTGACAAATTGTAATGTAGAGCAATGCCTGATCTGAAATTCAGAAAACTATTTTAAGTATTGCATTGTGCTATCCTGAAATTCTCTTGCATAATAGAATTGTAACAGCCAACTTGCCTTCCATTTGCAGAAAACATGAAAGAAAACTAGGTAGAATACGTACTCTTACATATCGCCTTATCATTTTCTGAAATTTATTGTCATAGAAGTTTTTGAACTTGAACTTCCATATTAATTTGTTGTGTTTTCTTTGTTACAGGGATATCTTATGCTTTGACAAGACTGGTACACTCACCATGAACCGTGCAATAGTGGTTAATCATCTTGACAGCTGGGGGTTATCCAAAGAAAAGGTTTTACAGTTTGCTTTCCTTAACTCCTATTTCAAGACCGATCAGAAGTATCCCCTGGACGATGCAGTTCTGGCACATGTATATACCAATGGATACAGGTTCCAGCCATCCAAGTGGCAGAAAATAGATGAGATTCCTTTTGATTTCATAAGAAGAAGAGTGTCTATTATCATGGAAAGAAAAGCAGAAGACAAAAGCCGTCATGTTTTTGACAGAGTCATGGTGACAAAAGGAGCTCTGGAAGAAATAATGAAAATTTGTTCTTCTATAGAGGATGTTGACAGCAGCACAAATATAACGTTCACTTCTGAACACTACCAAAGGATTTTAAATATGGTTGAAGAAATAAGCAATGAGGGACTAGGAGTTATAGGAGTAGCAATAAAGAGCCTTGATACGGTGTGTTTGGATTTCTTTCTTACTCAACTTCTGCATTTAATGAATTCAAGTGCATTTGCTTCTTTCAAAATTTTGCGTGTTTCCTAGTAGTCCATCTAATACACAATTTCTTGCTAAAATATTAAACAAGCCACTGTGGATTAATTATTCCTATATAAAGTCCTTGACCTTGGTATTTGCTGAACTCGAACAGAGATGTGAGAACGGCATACCAAAAAGAAAAAGATTTCTGCTACCTTAAAATGTTTACTAACATGAAATTTTTTGTGATAATTCAGGAAACAAATTATCAGCGCAAAGACGATGATGAAACTTTTGAATCAGACATGCTTTTCCTAGGCCTCATAACGTTTTTTGACCCACCCAAGGACACAGCAAAGCAAGCTCTGTGGCGGCTGGCAGAGAAGGGAGTGAAAGCAAAAGTACTAACAGGTGACTCTCTCTCCCTAGCTATAAGAGTTTGCAAGGAAGTTGGTATCAGAACAACCCATGTAGTTACAGGGCCAGAGCTTGAGCTACTCAACCAGGAGTCATTTCATGAGACCGTTAAAAGAGCAACAGTACTAGCTCGACTCACCCCAACGCAGAAACTCCGAGTTGTGCAGTCGTTGCAGACGGTTGGTAATCACATTGTTGGCTTCTTGGGGGATGGAGTAAATGACTCGCTTGCTCTAGATGCAGCCAATGTTGGTATATCAGTTGATTCAGCAGCATCAGTTGCAAAAGACTTTGCTGACATTATCTTACTGGAGAAAGACCTTAATGTCCTCATCGCCGGCGTTGAGCATGGTCGGCTCACATTTGGGAACACAATGAAGTACATAAAAATGTCAGTTATAGCCAACCTAGGAAGCGTTCTCTCAATTCTCATAGCAACCGTGTGCCTCAAGTATGAACCGTTGACTCCTCGACAGCTTCTTACACAGAACTTCTTATATAGCGTGGGCCAGATTGCAATCCCATGGGACAAAATGGAAGAAGATGCTGTAAAAGTCCCACAAAAATGGTCCCAGAAAGGCTTACCCATGTTCATTTTGTGGAATGGCCCTGTGTGTACTCTCTTTGATGTAAGCGCACTTCTGTTCCTTTGGTTCTATTATAAGGCTAATGGTTTGGATGACAGTATGTTCTTCCACTCTGCTTGGTTCATTGAAGGGCTTCTCATGCAGACTCTAATTATCCATCTGATCCGGACCGAGAAAATTCCCTTCATTCAGGACCTTGCCTCATGGCCTGTGCTTTGTTCTACGGTTCTGATTTCTGCCATTGGAATTGCAATTCCATTCACACCAATGGGAGAAGTGATGGGATTTGTTGAGCTTCCATTATCCTACTTTGGATTTTTGTTGGTGCTTTTTCTAGGATATCTTTTTGTTGGCCAGGTGGTCAAGAGACTCTACATTATGGTTTATAAAAGATGGCTTTAGTTAACTAGAAGAGTGAATTTAGCTGAGATTCATGTTTTGCAAAGTAGTGTGAGAGATTAGGGAGAAAATTTCCTCATATATCATTGACAAAGAGTGTAACACATATAGCCTCAAATTTGTTACAGAATCATTGACATTTTCCGTCCTTCCACAATCTTATTGGATCTGCAATTTTGCAAAACAACATGAATGAGATGCTTGAGCAAAAAAGAAGAAAATCTGCGTTTAGATATTTCTCTCCAAGTGGTGAGCCGTGATGTATTTCAGGTATGATTTGTCACAAAGTATGATGCAGATAGAACAACACATACGTCAAGCCCAGCAACGCTAAACCGTTAACATTCCGTTTCTTGGGTGAATTACCTGCATAGATATGAATAATTTTCTGTTAACATGGTTGATGTAATGAAAGACTAATTCAGTACAGTTTACGTGTGTGTCTGCATTGGTCATGTTATAGCAAAAAGAACAAATAAGTCTAGGCAATTACCCAACTGGAGATAGTTGTTCCTAATGTTCCATTCAAAATCCCAGTGTGGTCTGTCATTTTTCAGTGTCCAGTAAGCCCATCCAAAGGAAGCAGCATTATAAACCTCTAACTGGACCCTCCCAAAGTCTTGGTAATCTTTCTGAGAGCCGCTTGTCACGTTCCACTCATTCACCCACTCTCCTACAAAGAAATCCAGTTTTCAACTATTATAGCTACTTGAAACCTATAGAAGATAAGTTTTCAGATAAAAAAATCTTGATAACTTATAGGCTCGGAATTCATACCAGAACCAAAATATAAGACCTTGAAGTGAAAAAAGTTTTTAGGTGAAGGGAATTGGGGATATTGCCTTACCAATAAAAACAAGTGGACCATTTGCACTGTTCAGGGCCTCCAATTGAGTTTCCCTGCTCTTGTATATGAATTGTATATTATCCACAGCGCTCATATTAACAAAGAAATTATCAAAAAGATTGTAATAATGCAAATCCACCACTAGATTACGCGAGCCTATGTTAGCATGATAAACTTCCAATGGATCTGCATTGCCAATTCTTTGGCAAACTATTACATAAGCTGTTGATGAGTGTTTCCGAACAGTTTGATAGCCTTGATTGTAATATGAAACTAAAATATCCAATGGAACTGTAGCTGCAGATGGTTCATTTAGAAGCTCAATTCCCAGCAGAGCAGGATGTCTTGCATACCTGCAAATGAAAGAAGTCATGTTGGGCATGCTTGAACTATTGAGGGGCCCTGAATTAAAGCAGTAGATATATTCAAATGCTTCAAAGCTACGAAGTGTAAGGGAAACAAAAATGGAGATTACTTTCAGGCGTGTTAGCGAACATTGTTCGATATAAAATATTACGAGGAAAACCTAGAACACATTTGCAACTTGCATAACATGTGTCTAGACATGTGAGGTGTGTGAGAAACACAGAATGAATTGGCATCCCTGAATTGCACACTCAAAGATTCAGGATGGTAAATTAGTGGCAAATTACGAAACGCTTTGCATGCTTACCACCCACCATTATAATTTTATCTGTTAAATAATATTCAAAGGCATATGCAAGTGTGTAACTCTCTAAGAGGTTACAGAGTGTAGCAATTCAAAAACACATCAAGAACATACCTGGAAGCTAGAAAATCTATAACGTGCAGTGTTTGTGAAATGTAATCTGGATTAGGCCAGTCTGTTGAACCATCTCTACTAGCACTATGTTCCATCCCGTTCTGGGAGCCAGGAGCCGCATGAAGGTCAATTATGCACTTAATATTATAGGCTCTGCAGGACAGTTCTAATGTATGACATCAGAACTGAATGTGATGTTTTAACTATTAATAGTCTGAACAGAATTAGGTGGAAGAAAGACCTACTGTGCCCATGAGAATGCATTATCTAGAGCTTCCAAAGTTCCACCAATAAATGGTGCGGGAGGATCAGGATCATAGGCAATCCACCAGCCAACGGGAATCCTCACAGTGTTTATTCCATGTTTATACAGAAAATGAAATCTCCTATAGTGATGAAACTGTTTCTATGTCTCTACAGTTTAAAAAGGTCCCAATATCAAATAAAAAAACAGAAGAAAAAAGCAATAGGAATCAGATGCTCTCATCAAAACAAGTATAATGCTCGAATATTCAAATTTACACACAAGAACATATAATCATTTGGCACTGACCAATGAAGACAATATCCACAAATATAACAGAACAAGAAACTTGAGGAAGCAAAAGTAGATGACAACCAAATTCAGAAACAAAATATGTGCGGACAAGGAATAAATAGGTACTAAAATTGCAAGGGTCAAATCCTAAAAATGTTTGAATATCTTTTCTATCATCCATATTTCAGTAAAATTTATTCTCCCATTTTGAACATTGCTCTGCCATTACTTATATAGATAGAATCAGTAAAGTAAAAGAAGGGTATTGATTTCCCACTCCAATTTTATCCACTTACACTCCTTTTTTAGTTATAAAATGGAGTGTAAGTGGATAAAATTGGAGTGGGGAAATCACCACTCTAAAAGAAAAGCATATTATACACATCCTTCTAATTGTTTCCCTTTTTCTAGATTTGAAAATTATTGCCGCTTCGATTCTGACATGTATGTGCAAACCATTCAAAAAAGTTAATCAAATCAAACAATATAGAGGATGTAAATCACCCATTATAATGGCAGCTAGAAAGTAACATACAGTTACCTTAAGAACCTCTTTGGCCTTATTGTGTGCATATCCATTTGCCAGCTGGTAATCTCCGTGCAAATTATTAGAAACAATGGTCATTTCAAATGTGGCTGCATTATCATCCCATCCTGGCTTCCCTGGATAGTCTGCGATGAGCTGATTTTCCACTGTAGCCTGCAGGTGATAATTCTTTATTACTGAATTCTTGGACAGTCACAGTCTATGAGGAGGCAATCGGCAATGAGATAATGATTCTTAGGTGCCATGTCAATAGATCCCTAGCAAAATAAATATTCATAAAGTCTGCCCCATGCTAAGTGGTGACATGAATATTTTAAGGGAGTACTAGAGAACTTTTTCTACTCATTCCTTTGGTAATGACATTGTGGAAAAATTCCTCAAATGTTCATAAATTTTAACAAAAATATCAACTGTAATTGGATAATTAGGGATTCACTTGTTTCACAGAAATTTCATGCAAGCCAAACAATTGAAATTTTGGAATAAGTCACGTTCAGAAGATTTTTTTCTGCTTTGAGTCATTTCTTCAAAACAAATGGAGCAATGAAGCATAAGAATCTCAATTACCCTGATTCAAATTTCTCTTAAATTTAACTGAAAATTCTGAAAAACATCATCCTTACTTGACATATCAACTTACACAAAATGTTTAAATCAGAAAATTAACTATCCCAAAATATAAATGATTTCCCAACATAAATATTTCATGCTGAGAAATCAGAGATTGACAACTGTTTCACTAACAGCTGAAAGATTCTATAGTCGAAGGTTTTAAACCTGCTTTTAGATGAATCGTGGTAGAACTAATAGCATGAAAACACATAATTCCTCACTCTAAATGTAATAATGTGGGTCTTCTTCATCCTTTTCACAGTAGAAAGGATCATACCTGCAAATACGTACCACTTGTTGTTTTGATGTGAACTCTGCCATTGTTATACTTTTCAACGAAAAAGGTTTCTAATGTTGAAGGTGATTCTGCAGTTGCAGAAAAAGAGCAACCTTCGTCATCACATGTTAGGAACTGGCCCTGCAAGGTGCGGAATTGAAATTCTGATTCAGAAACTCTCCATAACTGCAAGAGAACAGAAAACACATAGCATAAGCATGAGTAACATGAACCAAAATAAACTGAGGACCTCAATTTTCTAGAGTCCAATAAGCATATATTTATAGTATACATGGTTAACTCCCCTTCCTTATAATACAGAAACCAGAAAGAAGAGAGAGAGAGAGAGAGAGAGAGAGAGAGAGAGACTATTTTGAACTATAACTATGTAATAAACGGATTTTTATTTTCATTACCAACTCAAAAATCTCATACTACTAACGCTGAAAAGTCTTATATATCTATAAAGAGCTAAATGTAAGGTGTTTGATATGCCAAAGGTTTTACCTCATGCTAATCATGTAGCAAACTCTACCAAGTTAGGATAAGGGTTGCTAGCTCTTTCATGAGATCAGTGGCCCCTTTACCTAACAATGGCTTCAGATTTCTGAAAAGGGGATTGAGTTTTTGAATGAATGTTTTTCAGTTCTTTCAAATCGTTATGGTTCTAGTCTGTCCCTCCTATTTCTGGGAAAAAACTGAGCATAAGGGCTTAGGAAGTGAGCAAAAGGGCTTAATGGATACTTTTAATCGGACAAGACTCAAGATCTATGTATAAGTTAACAATCAACATAAAACTACTGGCATAAACTATTTGATCAGGCATCGTACCGTAAAGGTTTCCCATGAAGATGCAACATCTCTACTAACAGATACGTTCATCCCTCCCCCATTCTCTGCAGAGACATACTTCTCCAAGGTCACTGACTTCAGTTGTACCTGTGTTCCATCCTACATTTCAATATCCACAAATGGGTCAGCTGCAACAATAACGAAAACCCAGAAGACAAAAAATAAAAGAATTCTGAAAATAAAACAAGAAATTCTAGAAAGAAAACTCACTAGCATGTCTCCATTGGGAATGGCATCAAAAAGTGAAGGCTTAATCCAACCTTCCACAACCAACCATCCTCCCAAGTTCACTCCTCTCACTTTGGAGTCCCCATGCAATCCCTCCACTTGGATCAACAATTACAACATATAACATTTAGAAAGCAAAAGAGAATGAATTCTGCTTCATATTGATATGTTACAAGATTGAGCATGTTCAAGAAAGAACCAAATAATTCAAGAAATTGAAGCATTGGAGTTCACCTACCTGAGTATACTCCGGAGAAGATGAGCCAAGAGCAGAGTAGAAATGTGCATACCCATTTGGTAAGAACAAGTTCCATGAAGAATGCTGGCTTCAAAAGCACCGAGAAAGCACAAATATAGAATCCATCCGCAACAAAAGATAAACCCCAATAAAGTATGAGAGCTTATTTTAACCCCCAAAACCCCACCAGGGAGAATCGTAGTAGTTCCTTCCTTATCACCCAATTTATATACCAAATTCAACTTTGTAGACAAGCACAAAGATCACTAGCACTGCTCTTCACGTTAAATTAATTTAACATAGGCTTAATTGTCAGTGCACCAGGGAGAATCGTAGTAGTTCCTTCCTTATCACCCAATTTATATACCAAATTCAACTTTGTAGACAAGCACAAAGATCACTAGCACTGCTCTTCACGTTAAATTAATTTAACATAGGCTTAATTGTCAGTGCACCCTAATAAAATAGGGATTTTCACTGAAACACCCAAAATGGGGGCTGAAATTATAAAAAAACCCAACACCCAAAACACTTTATAAACACACCCAAAACCTATCATTACACACACTCAAAACCCATTTATAAACACACCCAAAAAATATACAATTGTTGATTTTGGGGTTGATTTTGGGAGTGTTTCTATGTTTAAATAGTGCTTGAGTTTTTTTATAAACACATGTCTAGGATTGAGTTTATTTATAAATTTGTAAATAAAATAATGGTCGAATCCCACTTTTCCCCTTGAGTTGAAGTGACCCATTTTGCCCCCTTAATAAGGTTTGATGTTTCACATTACCATTTACCGTCAATTTCATCGAAACGTCCGTTAAGTTTGATGACGTAGCAGGGGTGTTTTAGTATTTTTGTGCACCTAGGTAATTTACTCCAATTTGAGTGGGTCATGTGGCAAAGTGGAGCCCACATTCAGCATGGATACAAACTTAATTACTTTAAAAATTAAAATACAAACATAAAATTGAAAAGAAAAAAATTTCCCTTCTCTCCCAGTCGCACCAAATCCACCCCCACCCACCTCCTTCTCAAGTGCAGAATCCATAAACCCATCACCCCCTCGCAGTTTAAGACAACTTGCATAGGGGGATAGCTAAGGGTCTATAAACTAGCGTTATAACTCCTTCTTTTAGTGCTTTATGCATTTCCCTCATCCGCAATCCACCCCCTCCCTACACAGAAACCCACCCCCCCCCCCCCCCCCCCCCCCCCCCCCCCCCCCCAATTTCTTAGACCTCTTCCTTCCCTGATTTCTTCTTTGCTCCCCCATTTCCCCATCACAACCCACCAAGACTCATCGCCCCTCCCTCTGGTTTTTTCTATCCCACTCCCATAGAATCCCAGCCCCCATACCCATTCCCCTCCTCCCCGACCCGTGCCCCTATAGCCCCCTTCCCTATTGCAACCCACCCTGCACAGAGAGAGAGAGAGAGAGAGAGAGAGAGAGAGAAAAAAAAATCAATAATTTTTTTAAAGTTTTAAATTTTATTTTTAAACTTTATGTTTGTATTTTTATTTTTTAAAGTAAACAGTGTTTATTATTTTTTAATCCATGCTGGAGGTAGGCTTTACTTTGCCACATCACCCACTCAAATTGGTGAGTAAAAGACCTAGGTGCACAAAAATACTAAAACACCCTTGTCACATCATTAAATTTAACGGACTTTTGGATGGAGTTGATGGTAGGAGGCAATGTGAAACATCAAACCTTGGTTAAGGGGGCAAAGTGGCTCACTTTAACTTTAAGGAGGTAAAATGAGATTTGACCAAATGTTTCGGGGGGCATTATAGCAGTTAAGCCTTTAATATATTGTTAAACCTAGTTCATAGCCCAAACAAAATAGAACCCATTAGGATAATGAGGAAGAAAAGAATAATGTTAAGGGAGGGTGGAAAAGAATAATGATAAAAGGGTGCCAAAAAAGTTCACATGTAGTTGTACCATGTGAAAGGGCGACTTTGCGTGGAGATTTTGTTGGGGGATATGGATATGGCCCATGTGGGGTTAAAAGTGAAAATTTTAAAATCCCACAATTGTCCTTGGTTAATAAAAATACTAAAATAGAAGACCCTTTATTAAATATGGATAAAATAGTACATTCATAATTTATTTAAATTAAAAGTAAAATTATAAAAACAAAAAGAAAAGAACATTTGTTGCAGTTATCCATAAAATCAGGAGAAGTTATTATTAAAATAAGAGACAACTACCTTCAAAACTTCCTTTTTGTTATAAAACTAGGGGGAATTGTAGAGAGCAAAGAGGACGAGAAAGACAAGGAATTTGTTCTATGAACTTGTATAAACTTATCTTATTCATCTTTGATAAGCGCCTATTTATAGGCTTACAATAGAGGCATTTAACCCATAATTTATAGCTATTAATTACAATAATAAAGGCATAGGTTACAAAGCAATAAGGGGTGGAGGTAATGGATGTTATGGTGGTCATTCACATTCCATGGATTTATAACACTCCCCCTTGGATGTCCACCATACAATGACATTGTTGCCTCATTAAAAACCTTGTTTGGAAAACTCAATGGGACAAAACCGAAGATAAGGGAAAAAGAGTGCAAATTTCTTTTGGATCATTGATATGGTTGGACATGCTTATGTTGCCTCGTTAAAACCTTGCTAGAAAAAATCCAGTGGGACAAAAACCTAGTTGAAGGGAAAAAGAGGACAACGTGCATATGTCCTGCATGTACTAGAATTGGGATGCTCCCCCTGATTGATATATCCCCATGATTTTCGTTAACTTCTAGAATTTAGGCTTCAGAAAAAGCTTTGGTAAAAAGGTAAGCTAGATTATCTTGTAAACAAATTGTTTTAACTCCAATCTCTTGGGTTTTTTCTGAAACTATGTCACCTTTGATGAACCATTCTTTGATCTGAGCAATACAAGCAACATTGTCTTTATAAATTATCGTTTATTATAGTATTCAACATACTTTTCACTTTTCAAATGATTGAACTCTTTAGGAGCATCAACAACTAATCTAATAGTTAGAATATGTTACAACAATATCAAATTTGAATTCAAAATACTCAAACTCTTCGTGTTTACTCTTAATCAAGAATATCGTGGTACTTTATATCCTTTAAGGGGTTGCTTCATGCTATATATCTCAAATATTTCGTGAGTTTTGAGGATCTCCATATACCGTACAGTCTTAATAAATATAAATATGCATTTAACACTATAAGTTTCACATTAAAATAACAACTATACTTATAGAAATGTGGATGCATCTACGATGAGATGGGAGACTAAAATCAGGTCTTTATCGAAAACTTTATGTCATATTAGTGATCTTATTTCACTTCCCAAACACCAATCCATAACCTTCATACTTAACATTTGTAATTTGATGTTTGAGCTATAGGTTCAATATACCACACTTCATATTTAGTGATAAATGGAATTGTCTATTTCCATTTTTGGCCAATCACTTAGCTTGTCGACATTCATGAAATGTAATTTAATATAATCATAGCCCTTGATGATTGTAGTAGCTACTAATAAACCAAATGTATCATCGATTTGTGATTGCACAATTCTCATGTGCATGCGCATGCATAATTTATAAGCATCTCATTGCTTTGGGGTACCAATGCCTATTCAGGGGCTTATGTTGTCACTTATGGGACAAACATCTCTTTTAAGATGAATTATTTAGAAAATGTGGATCATAACCTCATATAGAGCGTTATTTTTTGTAGGACTTGAATTTTTCAAATAATATTTACTTCTAGGGAGTTAAGTCTTTAGAACCTATATTTCTGTCATACTCCAGGCATGTATTATATATAGACACTTATTATCATGTTGATGGATTGTGATACATGGATATAATCTATGCTTGCATATTCATAACTTTATATATGTATTATCTTGATGAGACAAAAGCGGACTAATTCAACACTATTTCACAACATTCTTCAGGAACTGCCATTTCTCCCCCTAACAGAGGAAAAATTGTCTCAAAATTTAGGAAAATAAATTCACCATTATTATTAAGTCAAATTGACTAGATTGGATAATGTGGGAGTTATGCTCGTAAGCGTATTCACAATAGACAAATATGTGACCATTTTAGTAGTCACATTCAATAAAACTGGTGAAGTGATCCATAATTAAATGTTGTATAGGCTCACAAATATCCCTTTGAATTATTTAAGGAAAGATGGCTCAAAGTCAATTTTTGACTAAGATGATCTTATGACAACTTTTATTTGTGAGCATGCTTTACAATGATATTTGTTGGATAAGACAATAGTTTGAGTCTTTAAATGATGTCCTTACAATTCTATAAAAATCTTATGTATCATTGTGGAACATGAATTGCCAAGACAGTCATGCCACAACATAAAATTTATCCAGTCAATGAACTTCTAGTTCATAACATCATAATCTTCAATTACTTTAATAGTTGTGTAATATTGGGGCCTCATGAACTTCTGGTTCATGACATCGTAAGCTTCCTACCCACAAAAGAAAGTATGAAGTTTTTCCAATAGACGCTTTTGGCTGTCAATATTTGGGCGGTAATACAAAACATTACCATTATAAAACGAAATTAACTAATAACCCAACATAAATAAAATAAAATAAAATAAGTAAAGCAGTATAAACGAGGAATAAAATAAATAAATTAAAGACTATGAAATTCCAAGATAATCCAATATTAATGTGGATTCAATATGTAGATAAAACTACAAGTTTAAAAATTGGATTTTCACCCAATTCAAGTTCATATAGGCACAAATAAGTAATGAACTTCATGTTCATATATAGTATTAAGATCCATGAAAAACTATGAACTTTAGGTTCATATCAACATATATTCGAAACTTTACGTTTGAATACGTAGATCTAAATAAATAGAATTAATAGTTGTGCATTGAACTTCATATTCAAATCAATATATATGCACTCGAAATTTTTGGTCCGAGTTCTTGACATAAATAGGCCTTATGGAATTCTAATTTTGATTAATACAAAATCAAGGAGTTTCATGTCCTTATGTGCTTCTTAAATTCGCAAAACTTCACGCACCCAATTATTTGGAATCAAAGAACTTAAGGTTTTTATTCAATAAAATAAAATAAAATAAAAATAAAAAAACCTCCATGTCTTAATCTAGTTATATGATGAGGATTGAGGAATTGAGGAACTTCAGGCCCTGATGTTTTGTATAATACAAACTCATCATAACAAAGCTGTAATTAATTAAGATCATGCTTAAAATTAAATAAATAAACGAGTAAATTCATGTGTAATAAGAATAAGAAATTTTTATTTTCCTTAAACAAGCATGATGAAGTCTGATGGTGAGTACAAAGAAACTCTATACCATGTGATGACTCTAGCTCATATCAGAAGAAAGAAAACATACCAAAAGCAATGTCGTGCTGATAACATGTTATAAAACTAGGGGGAATTGTAGAGAGCAAAGAGGAAGAGAAAGACAAGGAATTTGTTCTATGAACTTGTATCAATTTATCTTATTCATCTTTGATAAGCGCCTAATTATAGGAGTACAATAGAGGTATTTAACCCACAATTTATATCAACTAATTACAATAATAAGGGCATAGGTTACAAAGCAATAAGGGTTGGAGGTAATGGATGTTATGGTGGTCATCCACATTCCATGGATTTATAACACTTTTTAAATTAAAAACAAGATAACAATCATTAATAAAAACCCAATTGGCACACGCATGCCAAGGGGCTAGTTTTAGAATTAAAACGGTAAATTAAATATAAATCTTACTAGAAATCATTTTTACTTAAAAGTTACTAAGGGCCAGTTTGAGATTACTGTCACTTTTAAAAAAACAATTGCGAATCGGGAATGGCAATAGTGTGCGTATATGGGGAGACCGATGGCTTCCTAGCTCTGAATCTTTCCAAATTTCCTCCGCACAAGCACAGGGGTTTGAGGAGGCAAAAGTGAGTTTTCTCATTGATCCAATCACTATGCAGTGGAGGGAGGACCTTTTGCAAGCTTGGTTCTCGGCCGAGGAAGTGAGGTGCATTCGAAACATTCCGTTAAGCTTTAGAGACCCACCAGACGCTTTGATTTGGCATTTTGAGAGAGGTGGTCAGTACACAGTGCGGACCGGGCATGAAGTTGCCCGTCGGGTTCTGCTCCAGCAAGACGAGGACGACACTACCACAAATGGGGGACCAATTGTAGCTTTTGACCATGTCTGGAAGAAGATCTGGAAAGTTCGGGTGCCACCAAAGGTCCGTATTTTCATCTGGCGCGCTCTCTTGAATATTTTACCTACCAAGGATAATTTGGGTCACCGTGGCATCGCTGAATTGGGAGGATGTGTGTTTTGTGGAGCTGATGAAACGGTGGTCCATGTGCTTCTCCAATGCCCCATGGCTATTGCTTCTTGGTCTCTATTTCCGGCCTGGGCTCACTTTAATACTGATTCCACAGAGGAGTTCAAGATGTGGTTCCATGGATTTGCTGCGGATCACCCCACTCAGGAGCTAGAGAAAGTCATGATGTGCATGTGGATGCTGTGGTTTGAGAGGAATCAAATGATCTGGACAGGACGTCATCGGAGTTCAACAGAAATTGTGAGTGGAGCAATGTACTGTCTGCAGGAGTTTCAGGAGTTACACCCCCCTCCCAAGAAACATATTTCACGTGCCAAAGCCAAATGGCTACGGCCACCGACTGGAGCTATTAAAATAAATGTGAGTGGAATGTTTCATGTTGAATCCAGCTTTGGTGGGGTTGGTTTGGTGGTCCGAAATTATACAGGTGCTTTTCTTGCATGCAAGTTGGTTGTGCTACGTGGAGTATCAAATCCCTTGCATGCCAAGCTAGTTGCATTAAGAGAAGGCTTAATCTATGCTGCCAAATGGTCCAACTTGGACTGTCATATAGAAGGGGATTCTCAAGGCGCTCTACACTCAGTACAACAGGGCCAAGCTGATCTGTCCCACCTTGGTTGCCTAATTGAGGATTGTAAAATACTTTTGGCCAAACAAGAGCGTGTTTATTTGAGGTTTACAGAGAGGAAGGCTAATGGGGTTGCAACCCGCCTGGCACACTATGCTCTACACTCCCAGGAAGCAGCAGAATGGGTTACTGATCCCCCAGTTTTCCTCCAGGATGTTCTGTTTTCTGATGTTATGTAATTTTCCTTGTTCTGTATGTTATTGGCATAGGTGGTACTCTTTCCTACCCCGGGGTTTTTCCCTTGTGGTTTTCTCCGGGAAGGTTTTAACGAGGCCACACTTTACATGCCTATTATTCCTCCCTTCTAATGGAATGAAATCAACCTTTTCAAAAAAAAAACAATTGCTTATGCTATGCTTTGAAAATAATTAGCTGTAAAGTAAAGCAACTCCATGTTTGGTAAATAATTCTTTTAAAGTGTTGTTAATACAAAAAGCAGTGTCAAAATCCCTTGGTAAATTTTAATATAAAACTGCTGTAACTGTGAATAATGACTCAAATAGATATGATGTTGAAAGTGTTATGCACTAATTATGTGGTGGTAGTGTAGGTTGTGAAAGAGATGGAGGTGAAAATGGTGGTGAAAGAGGTGGTGAAGGTGGTGGTTGTGGTTGTGGTAGTGGAGGTGGTGGTTGTGGTAGTGGTGGTGGTGTGGATGACGGTTGTGGAGGTAGAGGTGGTGGAGGTTGGGGAGGAGGTGGTGGTGGGGATAGCGGTTTTGGTGGTGGAGATGGAGGATGAGTGGTGGTAGTTGTGGTGGTGGTGATAGAGGAGGATGTGGTGGTGATGGTGGTGGCTGTGGTGGTGGTGGAGGTGGTGAAGGTGGTAGTGGTGGTGGTAGGGATGTCGGTTGTTGAGGTGGAGGTGCTATTGGTGGTGAAGGAGGTGGTAGAGTTGGATGTGGAGGTGGAGGTGAAGGTGGAGGTGGTGTCATTTTTTAAAATGAATTATGGTATTTTGGGAATTTAAAAAATTCATTAAAAACTTATCTCTGCTTTCTTTGAAAACAGCTTTGAAACGCAATCCAGAGCTTACTTTTAAAAGACCATTGCTTTTAAAATAATCGAGATCTTTTATTTTTACCAAACACCTTAAACTGCTTAACTTTAAATTAAGCAGGTTTTTGGCAAAAAAAATAATAATAATTTCAAACTGGGCCTAAACCAACTGAATATCACAACGATGAGTCTTTCTTCTTTTTTCTAGCTTCATAATTGACATTGAAGCATGATTTTGCCTGATTTTGAATTGTTTTCTTTTTTCAAAAAATTTTTCACAAGATTACAACTTCCATTTTGTCCTAAATCACATGAGGGGAATGCCGCCAGCGGGAGAGGAAGGGGAGGAGGTTTTTTAGGTGGAACAGGTAAAAGGCCTTGAGCTTGAGCCATCCTTTGAAAACTAGTCGGAGAGAAATGTGGGTTTGAATCATACCATATGGTACTGGCCACTGGCCTCAATGTTTTGGGCCTCAAGATTGTTTAAAGAGCTGCCTGATATTATTTGGATGAATAAGAAATTATTTTAAATTATTTTGTGTCTTGGTCTATAAAATTAAAAACAATACAAATTTTCTTCATCTTCACTCGAATCACCACTTGTTATTTAAATCTGCTTTTGTTTTTGTTGTTGCGGGAAATACACCATCCTAGGTATTTCAACTACTCATCCTATGGTTATAAACATATCATCTTCTGTCTCATCAAATTTGTAAAACTAAGAAGGCCAATTTGGATCATGAGGAGGAGAATTCAAATTAAGAAGGCCAATACGGAACCTTCCTTTTGCCTTTATAAGTATGGATTTCTCCTTCAATAATCCACTTTTGCTTTTATATGAATATTTCCCCCTTTACACGTCGCAACCCCATAGAAGGAGAAAACAATCAATCATAATTGAAACCCTATGTCGACAGCCAGAAACGAGGAAAAACATGAACACTTGCAAGCTCTGTGCACGTCATGTTTATGTTTTCGTTTTTAAATACTGAGAGCTTCAGTTCATGGACACCTTTGTAGAGTCCATCATATATTGTATTTCAATGATTCGAACCGTCTAATTTTAGATATATTTCCATAAAGAGAAGTAAATTCTAACTCCTGTTCAAAAATATGGAATAAAATAAAACAATGTAAAATGTTAATATTATCGATCGTCAACAGTTGGGTTTTTGGATGAACGTGTGTAGTATATCAGAACACAATTGGTTCTTGTAAAGCAGATGCTGACAAGTCTGAATCTGAACAAGCATGAGGTTTGGGAGGAAATTGACCAGATGCTTGTATGCTTGTCCAACCGAGTCCGACAAATCCCATTTGGCCATATATCAAATCTAAGCCTTAGATGTGCATGTAAAGACGAAACTGATGAGATACTACATATCCATGCAGATATCGCCCCTGCCCTACCAATTGCTTAACATATATATATCCATTGATATGTCCACACTTGAGCATATGTCATATATCGTACGACATATGTCATATATATATATATATAAGTCTTTCCACACGCGTTTTCGCGTCTACGAGAGGTTGTTTTTTGAAAATTTTTAAATTTATTTTAGAATTAAAAAAGATCATGGGTAGTTGTGTTCCATAAAAGTATGACATATTATCTTATTTGTTTTTAATTTTAATTTTTTTTAATATGAAAAAATATGAATTTACTATATTATCCTTATTTAATTAATAATTTCAATTTTTAATGTTTGAATTAATTAAGGGCATTTTCTGGTATTTTGAATGTGTGTGTATATATATATATATATATACAGTCCTCTTTTATTAAGAGATTCCTTAAATAATTTTATTTGAGGGACACCTTTTAGAGTCCCCTATGATTTAGTTTCCTATAAAATCAATGAACACGGTGTTTCAAGAAAGTACTAAAATCTCAATAACTCAATTGAGTGGTCAAATGCTATTGGATTCAAGTGATTTTTTGTAGAAATGATCTTTGAATGATTATCTAAAAAATAGACGGTTTGGATTAATGAAATACAATGTAGAATCGGCTTTATAAGGGTGTCCCTCAAATAAGGAAGCTCTATATATATATATATTTCTTCTGCAAAAAGCATTAGTATTATTTTTTTATTTTTTTTATTTTTTTATAGTAAAACAAAGCATTATATTTTACATGTTCACCTTTCTTTATGCGAGAAATGCCTTCCATGTCTTTCCTTCTCACTGTAATCGGTAAAACAAAGGATATGTGGAAAGAGTGGTACTCTCGGAGTTCTCAAGTCTGAAAACAAAGGGATTGCACAATTCAATGCCCCCCTTTCGGGGAGTTTATTTAATTTGGTTTCTGGCAAGTTGTACAAAATTCAAAAACATGAACAAAGGTTGTTCATGACGTAGCCAGAGTGTTATAACTGTAGCAACCCGGATGAAGATCCCACCACACAACAAACTGAGATCATTATCATTTTTCTTTTCAGTTTTTTGTTTGATATGTAAATATACATATCTAAGAGCGATGTTTTGTCTTTTGATATGGAATTATATAATGTGAATGCGTTGAATGTATTAGTTTGCTTTTCCCGACAAGAGACTGTTGGCTCTACCTCTCACGCGACACCCCCACCAGCCCAAATTATACACAACAGATATCATCTTCCACAACGTCATGTACTACTCACTTATACCTAAATATACGTATACGTATGTGCATATTGACACTACACACGTGTGGGAGTGTTGAGAGTAAATGTCTCACATAAGAAAAATGAAGTCTTGCATTAGTATTTAATTATTTGATAACCACTCACCCATCACCCATTGACAAGGAATAAAAGATATTAGAATTTGTTAGGTTTATAGTTATTTATTGTAGTGGCTCTTGAAATTTCGATCAAATCTCACTTTATCTTCCCAAAGTTAAAGTGGCTTACTTAACCCCCTTACCGTGATTTCGTATTCCACTTTACCCCTACTGTTATCTCCATTAATAACTCTGTAAGTTTTGATGACGTGGCAGGATTATTTTAGTCTTTTTCCCACAAGTGATGATGTGTTATGTGAATGACCCACTTTTTTTATATTTAAATTGAATTAAATATAAAATAATGTAATTACTTGTTTAATTAAAATATATACATTAAAAATGGAAAAATTAATAATAAAATATATTGCTTCTCTAATAAATAAATTAAAAATAAAACAAATATAAAAAAAAAAAAAAAAAAAAAAAAAAAAAAAAAAAAACTACCCATATCCAACTCTCGCCAAAGATCCATATCCCCCCAAAAGAATGGCCTCATCCTTTCTCCTTTCTCCTCTCTCTGCAATAAACCACCATACCATCATCCATAACCACCCACCCACACCCCTCACCAACCATACCCACCCAATCCCCAAAGATTTTGACCATAAATTTGGCATCCATGCAATTGGCGTCATTCCCCTATATAGGAATTAGGGGAATTGACTAACTAAAAAATTAAAAACTTTTTTTAATCGCAAAGGTCCACCCTCCGTTGGGGTGGGGATTTGGGATGAGGTGGCTATTGGGGTCGAGGAAGTTCAGGGGGCAGCTGGGTATATGGTGTCGATTTCAGATGATTAGGGGTGGGGGAGTATGGATGGCATGGGTGATGGTTTGGTAGTCGGGTTGGTGGGTTGGTGGGTTGTGGCTCGGGGCTCAAATGATTGGGGACAGAGGGAGTGTGGTTGGCTTGGGTGATGGTTTGGTGGTTGGGGTGTGTGGTTGCGCTGGTGTGGATGGTATTGTAAGGAAGATGGTGGTTGTTGGACAAAGGGTGAGTTTGCACTGTTTTCTTAAGGCTCGTTTGGGAGTAATTCTAGATAGGCCAGAATCACTTTTGGGAAGAAGCATCTCCCACATTCTTCTCCATATAATCACTTTAAGTGATTTTAAGTGCCAGTTTGGCATTGCTTATTTGGGGTGATAAGTGATTTTTAAAAAATTTTGAGAAGCCCGATTCGTTTGGTTAACTGTGAGAAAATCATTTATTATTAAAAATTGCTGTGAGAGAAAGCTATAAGGGAAAGCAGCTAATAAGGTGCTTTCATTTTCTGATTATTCAGGAATCAGTTTCGAAGAGGCGTTGGGTTTAATGATTATGCGGCAATCATTTTCTAATTTTGCATAAAATCAATACCAACAACACTTTTAACAAAAATTTACCAAATGCCAAACTGCTTTCTCTCACAGCAAATTTGACAACGATTATTTTTACAGCACAGCAATGCCAAACTGGCCCTAAATGATTATGGGAAGAAGCAGCTCCCATGTGTTTCTTCATAAAATCACTTAAAATCATTTAAAGTAATTATATGGAGAAGTGATTCTCCATATAAGTGCTTTTTGGCATAATCACTCCCAAACGAGCCCTTAATGTTTTTATTTTATTTTAATTTTTAGTTCAGTTGTTTTGTTTTTTAATCTTTTATTCTTTTGTTTTTCATTTGTTTTTGTTAATTTACTGCAATCTTGATCTTGGTACGGTTTTTTATTTATAAATATTTTCTTTTCTTTTTAAAGTGTAGAGAAGAAAGATTTTTATTTTTTAATTAAACAAGTAATTGCATTATTTAATAGTTAATTCAATTTAAACAAAAAAGTGGGTCATTTACATGACACATCATCACTTGTGGTAAAAAGACTAAAATAGCATTGTCACGTCATCAAAATTGACAGAGTTATTAATGAAGATAACGGAGGGTAAAGTGGAACACGAAATCACGGTCAAGGGGGTTAAGTGGGCCATTTTAACTTTCAGAGGGTAAAGTGAGATTTAACTGAAGTTTCAAGGAGTACTATAGTAAATAAGTCTTTTTTTTAAAAAAAATCAAAGAAGGAATTTTCATTCAACTAGGAACCAAAGGAAACATACAATTAGAAATATTGGATCCTACCACAATGCTATACACTATGGCTTAGCAATGTGGCCTCATTAAAACCAACCATAAAAAAATCCCAAAGAGAAAAATCCGTTTACCAAAAAAAGAGTACCACAATACGGTGAAGCCAACACCCAAAAAACAAAAACAATTATTCATTCGCACAATCTTTTCCTAGTAAAGGCAGGATCCCTCCTGAACCTAGCCAAAACCATGTCATTCGTTGGGTTTATATTGATAGAAGAATAAAGACTTTAGGACGAAAAAAAAAACTTCAAATATTCATTTTGTACTAATAATAATACATAACATTTTGTAGTAATAATGAATTTCTTGCACTGACAATACATACACTTTTGCATTATGTAGTTTGAGTTCGTCACTTACATTTTCAATTTTAGCAATTTTAGTTACGTTAATTTGAGTCCAAAACGCTTACCTATGTTAATTTAATTTGATCAAGACATAAGACTTAGTTGTTAGTCTTCTTTGAAGTTGTATATATATAAACAAGATCAAGAGCCGTGATATATAGGTCGCAAACAGTGTCACAATAAGGCCAATAAAGCCTACCAAACTTGTCTATAATTAATCATGCACTTGCCTACCACATCAGAATTATAGGATTATAAAAGAACAGAGAGCTTCCATTGAGGGATCCCTCAAATAAGCTTATTTGAGGGACACCCCTTGTAGGCCTCACTATGGATTGTATTTCACTAATCCAAACCGTCTATTTTGTAGATACTCATTCAAAGATCATCTCTACAAAAAATCACTTGAATCCGATATCATTTGACCACTCAATTGAGTTATTGAAATTTTAGTACTTTCTTGAATCACCGTGTTCATTGATTTTGTAAGACACAATTGGATGTCGAAACGATTTCCGATTTGTCTAATTTTTTGTAAGGATGATCTATGAATGAAGACCTAAAAAATATATGGTTTGGATCATTGGAAAAAAAATTGTAGGGTATCCTAAAGGGCGTCCCTCAAATAAAATTATTTGAGGGATCCCTCAATAGAAGGGGACTGTATAAAAGAATAGCATTAGTCAGGTGTTTATTTTGTCAGAATCGGGCTTTACTTGTGTTTGACACTAACTCGACTCGTATGCTGTTCATTTTAAGTTGAATTCATGTAATAATTCTGTATCGAGTTGAGTCATCGACGGTATCGTTACAAGAATTGTCAACCCAAAACAAAATTTCCTTTGAAGGAGGTAACTGCTGCAGTTATAATGGGACACGAAAACGCGTCTCAACCCCGTTGACCTAAAAAAACTAGGAGAAGCTATAAACTTGTAATGGACAATTTCAATTAGAGGATCCAGATCCTTGGAGTAAAACCACCCCTTAATTTAATTGCATAAACGTGTCTTCATGTTTGTCCTCTAACATGATTACCAATCCTCCACGAAATTCCAGCTAATAGGAAACAATTGGAGCTTATTGAGTTGAAATTAATTTCCCAAATCATTTAAGATTCTACTTGACTTTTTCTCTGCCTCTCCCACAACTTCCCCTGGCGTCTATCCTAGGCACAACCAAACAAAATAAATTTGGAGGAAAACAGATTTCCAGGCAATTATTTAGAACACAACATGCCCCTACCCCAGAAACTGCAGGACAGTGTGTAAACTAAAGTCCAAACAAAACAACCCGGTAGCTAGAGGCCATTCAAAGGGCAAACTTCAAAGTTCAAACACATGAATTGTGGCACAACCTGGCGACAGGCATATATATCCGTTAAAATCAAGTTGATTTAAGATTACGGAATTTAAGTCAGTGGGGTGTGTAAGATTCAATTCAATCCGCCCAAATTTATCTATCTAATCCAATTTTAATCGGCTTTGATAATTTGACGGATTGGATTGGATCCCTAATTTTCAAAACTAACATTATTGGATCGGATTTGCTTGTGAGGATCCAATCAAATACAATCTAGTTAGTTTCATGTTTATTTTACTCATTAGGTAATTTTCATTAAGAAAGTTATAAACATTTTAAGTAATTTGATGGAGTTATGTTTAATATATTATAAAATCAAAAAAATTTCTCTAGCATTTCATTTATATTTTACATTTATGTCTACTAAAATGTTGAATTATATTAAACTTGATGATAAATGTTTAATATTTCATCATTATTTTTTTTTCCATTATGAAAACTGATTATCCAATCCAATATCAATCAGATTGGATTTAAACCTCTAATATGATCAGATTGTATTGAAAAAATCATAATTCAATCTATATTGGATTAATGTGTGGGGTATAGCTCAGTCGGTTGATCAGCTCTTCCACCTCCGCTCATATGGGCAGAGGTTCGAAACCCCATGCACCCAATGCATATTTGTTTGTAAACCCCCTCCTGCAATCGCTTGTACTAAAAAATAAAAACAAACTAAGGAATTTAATTAAGCTGGCGCAGCATATTTCCTGCTACAGAAGTTTTGATTAGACTCTGGTTTGGGAGAATAACTTGAACACTTAAAAAACAGTATTTGGTGTAGGCAAACATGCTACAAGACGCTTTCCTTAGAAAAGTCCAGATTTTATCAGATAGATAAGAGGAAGGGAAACAGAAGCATATTATAATATAGAGTGTAGCTAGGCTTTACTTAAGACGTAAATGAAAACGTATTTCATCAATAATTGACTTTATGCATTTGAAGCAAAGCTACGTGTGATTCTTTCTCTGATGATTGTAACGACTTGTGGATCACAACAACAACGCATCAATTTTGGTGATTGCAAAGAATATATAGAAGTAGACAAGCTTGGAATGGACAGAATTTTCTACAGAACTATATATCACTTCAGATTTCCATAGAATCCATTCAACTGGGAAGCTATACAACTGTTTCAAAATTTCATTACCCAATGATTATGTGGAATAGATGCTATTATATAGTAAAACTGATAATAGAAATGAGTTAAACCATATATCTCGATATAGACTAGAGGGAATTAGTTTGATGATGGTACGTCTACTTACTTAAGAAGTGGAGGGGAAATCATTAATTGGGAAAGTGACGTAGAACATATGGCAGAAGCAATTGAGGAAAGTGAGTTGGAGCATTGCTTGTGCAAAGAAAAAATTGGAAAGTTGCAGGTTTGGGCCCCGAGCTCAGAATCAGGCGCGTTTGACATCGTTTAGCACCCCATAACAGCATTTTATCATTTTAACTTGTTTCTTGAATTTTTATTATTTTCCCTTTTAATTCCTTGTTTAATTCCTAAGGTTTCTAGGAGTATTTAAACAAACTTTAACCCGTGGTTTATGGATGTTATGCTATTTTCGGACTTTGAATAAACTTGAGATTCTTCCATTCTTCCTGGTGGATTCCAGAGGTCTTGTTTCTTGGCTAAGTTTTAGCCTATTAATTGTCACGCTGTGTCAGTTGGCATCGGAGCAAGTATGGTGGGCCCGGTGATCAACCAAGATGCGAGTGATAGGACTCATGGCACCGTGGATCATGTTACTTATGTCCAGTTTGAAGCTCTTTCTACGCAAGTAGAAGAGGTTCGTCATTTCTTGGTGGGTTTGGGAAATCAATTATGTCAACCTGTTGTTGAAACCTAATCGAAGTGCCTGCAATCCGCATCTTGTAATTGAGAGTGACGAGGAGTCCGATGAGGAGTTCCGTGTTCTTGCAGGCGAGCAGTCCCAGAATCCGCCTAATCAAAATAATCATAACCAACACACGGATGACATTCGAATTAAGGTTGACATTTCGTATTTCAATGGTCATCTACATATTGTAGATTTTCTTGTTTTGTTGGTAGAGGTGGAGCATGCCTTCTAGATCATGGAGGTTCGTGTGAAGTGATTGATATGGATGCGAGCCATGTGTTGTTAAGGCATCCCTGACAATATGATACGGATGCTACGCATAAAGGACGACATCATATTTTTTTATCTATCACTTGACATTATATTTCTAATATATCACTTGACATAATATTCTCCAAAATAGTTATGGAATGTTGAACACAAATTGTGATGGAAAGTTAAATACAAATCATAAGATAATGTATGAATACTACCTTATGGCGTTTGCAAATGTTGTAAAATTATACAACATTCAATCAGTCAATGGAAAAGGGAGTTGTAAATAATTGGGTGTGTGTTGGTCTTTGTCATGGATGATCACAGAACATGTCTCCCTTTCTCATTGTTTGGTCACTCCCATGGATTCTCTCCCCTGACAACGAAACTTTTGTACACTGACTGACCCCATACTGCTTTTGTGCTTCTCCCAGTATGCCACGTACTCTACCTGCAGAGTCAGTCCTACGTCAAACAGTCATTATGACCAAATGAAAATGCACACTACTTTCGAAGCAAAAGAATCACAAACAAAAGCTCACATGTGTGTGTGTACAAACTTTAAACAATATACACCTTTATTTATTTAATACAATATGCGCATCAGCCTAAAAATATACACCTATATAAATAAAGATATATGATCAAACTAACCAAGAAAAAGATAGAGAGTGAAATATTGATCGAACACATATACAGAGTTTTCTCCAACGCCCACAAGTTGGCTAGATTAATATTTCATATATATATATATATATATACATCTCTCTCTCTCTCTCTCTCTCTCTCTCTCTGCCACTTGCTAAGCAAATCGGTCACTTAAGTCTTCGTGTCTGTTGGAAGATTATTCTCCTTATAAATTATAGTGATCCTAGATCTCCATACACGGAGCAGAAAAAAAAATTATTGCCTCAAATTTTGTAATTTCCAATTGGGTTTTAGTCCGTGCAGAGAGAGAGAGAGAGAGAGAGAATGACGTTAGAAGCTGTGGTGTTACAAGCAGACAGATATAACTATGGTTTCAAGGATTTCCACGCCACAGGAGGAGGAGGAGGAGGAGGAGGAGGAGGAGGAGGATCTTGGAGCCATGGCTTTGGTTTTGGAGAAGATCATCAGGAAGAGAAAGTGTACACTGATCATCATATGCTCAACAATGATGTAGGTCAACAAGGTTTCAATAACCTGAGTTTGGAAGCTTCAATGCTGCAAAGTGTCAACGACTTTGAAACCAACAGTGGGCCGGCTTTCAATCGTGTGTTCTCTTCAATGGAAGCTCCGGCAGCTTCGACAGGCCGGAGAAAGAGACGGCGCATCCAAAACATCAAGAACAAGGAAGATATGGAGACTCAGAGGATGACCCACATTGCTGTTGAACGCAACCGGAGAAAACAAATGAACGACTACCTTGCTGCGCTCCGAGCTATGATGCCTGCTTGCTACGCCCAAAGAGTATTTTTCGATCCATCTCTCATACATCACAGTCTTACAACATAACATATCAGATTATGATTTTTATCTTTACATACGCAACAGGTAGCTAGTTGATCATGTCAAATCATCTGAAAAAAGATAAAATTATTATTATGTTACATACATATACTAAAAATTAATGTTGTCTAATAACTGATGTGTAGCTCATTTGGGTATATAGGGGGACCAAGCTTCAATCATAGGTGGAGCTATTAATTTCGTGAAGGAGCTTGAGCAACTTTTGCAATCTCTAGAGGGCCATAGACGAACCGAGCAACAATCAGATCACTTGAATTTAGCCTCAATCTTCTCAAGCTTCTTCACCTTCCCTCAGTATTCGACCTGCTTGAACAGCCATGGCCATGGCGTATACAATAGCTCAGTGCATCCAAATGAGTTAATGGCCGAGAAGCGGTCTGCCATTGCAGATGTTGAAGTGACGATGGTGGAAAGCCATGCCAATGTTAAAGTGCTTATGAAAAAGCACCCCAGACAGCTTTTGAAGATGGTGCTTGGTTTGCACTCCCTGGGCCTTATGATTCTTCACGTTAATGTCACAACTGCGGATAATATGATCCTCTACACTTTCAGCGTCAAGGTTAGTTCAAAATTAAAATAAATAAAACAAATTCAGTTTTAATTAACTATAAGAGTTCTTTTAAAGTTTTAAAGTTCAGTATAAAAAAAAAAAAAAAAAAAAAAAAAAAAAAAAATTTATTTATTTTTGTTTTGATAAATAATTTGAATTGATGAGACAGGTTGAAGATAACTCTCAGCTGACCTCGATGAATGAGATTGCGGCTGATGTGTATGAAATGGTGGGTAGGATTCAAGAGGAAGCTCGGCTTTTAGCTCAATAACCCTTCTTAATAATTTGTCTACTTATTGGCATTATATGCTTTATGCTTTATGTAATCGGTAGATGAAAACAACTTAAATTGTATTTTTATGTGTCTTTCAATGGCCTAAAATTTAGATGAACCAAGTTGTTGCCTCTACGCATGCTTGCTTGCAGATTGGTATGTGGATATATCCACACTTGAACATTTTTATGCCGGATACTGCTTGGCTATGCGAAATTAACTCATTAAAATTACAATAAGAAAAGTTTTTATACACGTGCCATATTATAATTTGCTTGCAATAAAGAAGAACTCTTTACATGTCAAGAGCCAAGTATTTTCCCTTCATATATGCCGTGCGGAGATATAAAAAGTACTTCATCAATTTTATTATGTAACTTAAACGAACCCATAAGCTATCTAAGTCCCATTAAACTTGTCGACTAAGTTGTCAAGCAAGCCAACTTTGTAGCTTGGATTCAGTTTATATGAAAATTATTCAATATATTTGACTTATTGCGCTAACTTTCTAATGAATAGGAAGCAAAAAGACTAACAGTTCTTCAATATATTGTAGCTCATGGATATGCTTAATTATTTTTTCTTTCAGTACAAGCGATTGGAGGAGGGGTTACATAAATATTCATTGGGTGTCAATTTTAAATCTCTGTCCACATGAATAAAAGTGGAAAAGCTCGATCAATTAAGTTATATCCTGCTGACAACGACAAGAGAGCTGCTTAATTGTTTTTAGCTCTAGGCTATAGCCTTTAAGAATAATTAATATGCAGACAAAAACAGAATGTTTAGAGTAGGGGGAGGCATTACAAAACGTTAAATCTTTGAGGGCCAGATTTTGAAAGGGAAAAACAACCCGAAAGTCATGACCAGAGAGCTTTGGGACCCAAGTGCAAAATTTGATTGCATATAGGTGAGCAAGATATAATAAATAAAAGATTCCAATTCCGGATTTGGAAGCAACTTTTTGATGACTTTAAGAAGTCCGTCCACTTTATCTGCAGACTGCATGGAATTATGTCATATATGCAACGCACCTAATCTATTATATTTTATATGTCTAGTACTTTCATATATAAATCTAATATTTGTTTTCAGAAAATGGCAACTTGTCTTTTCCAGTTGATTTGATTTTGAAAGTGTTTACCTAAAATTTGATCCCCTCTATAGCAAGTTGCATCATCAGCAGCTAACTAATCCAGTGTTAATTGGTGGGCTACTGGGCTTGCATCTAGCTACCTAATTCATACTCTCCATCACATTGTTTGAAACAGCTGAGATATTTTTGTTTGGGGTTAATCATTTTATCGGTTTTTGAATTTAGACCCGATTTGCATTTGAGTACCTTAATATCCAAAATAGTTCTTGTGGTCCTTTAATTTTAGTTTCGTTGGGACAAATTGTCATGCCGTAAATTTTGTTAACTTTTATGTTAAATGCAGGGGAAAAATGATATTTTTGTATCAAAATTGATTAAAATATGAAGAAAAAAAACTAGAATTAAACTCTCTCTCTCTCCCCCTCTATCATGATTTCTACTCCCCCCAAAACTTTATTTATTTATTTTATTTTATTTTATTTTTATTGTTATTTTAAAGATATGATTTTTCATTCATTTTTTTGGTTTTAATATAAAAATATCATTTTGCCCCTGCATTTAACAGAAAAAGTTAACAATTGACGGCAAGACTATTTGTCCAAACAAAACTAAAGTTAAAGGACCACGGGAACCATTTTGAAAATTGAGGTACTCAAATGCAAATCGGGTCAAAATTTAGGAACTAATAAGACGATTAACCCTTTTGTTTGATGTTTTTCTTTTCTAGGCCTCTTTGGCAGGAATATTAGAAAACGAAGCACAATAAACTTTAGGGTTTAGGAGGGGAGCTAGTGAGCATTGTCGTGCATATTGATTGTGTTGTATTTTAATTTACCCTTTTATTGAGAGATTTCTCAAAATAAGTTTATTTGGGGGACACCTTTGAAGGGCCCACACATATTGTACTTTCATAATCCAAGCCGTCCCTTCAAAGATCATTTTTGCAAAAATAAAAAATCACTTAAATCCGAATTCATTTGACCACTTAATTAATTGTTGTTATTTTAGTGTTTTTTTGAAGCACAATGTTCATCTATTTTGTTGGACACAGGATCTCGAGTGCAAGGGTAGCTGCACTTAACCACTCAAGCCAGAAGCTCCTCACAAATGTTAAACTATATATTAATTTACATTGTGCATTCAAATAAGAATCTAATAGCATAACAAATTAGATTATCTAGTAAGAGATCATTTTCCTACCATTATGTACTTACAAGACCGTATCTCCATTAACAGTTGACAGATCAATGGATGCATAGATATTGGCAATATTCGGATTCAGTAATTAATCCTGCGAAAGAAAATAAAGGAATCACTCTACACAACATGCATGCATAATGGTTCATTTGAATGTTCCAAAAAAAAATTAAAATAAAAAGAGAAAAAAAAGAGGGGGAGGTGGGATGGATTCTTTGTTCAGCTGTCATCATGAGAAATGTGTAGAGTCCTGACTGTTAACACACTTTCAATTTGCGAATTATTGATGGCTATACTAATTCAATCGGCTCTGACAATGATATTTTTTTCAATTTACAAATTATTGCTTTCTCTATTTTGAAGCATAAATTCTGGGTGTGGCCTGGCTTGGTGCAGTGCAGATATGATATGAGATATCTTTGCTACATGTGTTTATGAACATGTAGAAAGCTTTTTAGGCATTCCAAGGCTGCTTCTTCATGCAACCCTGCCTGCCTTGTACTTGACCTCACGTATGATATGTATGTATAATTTACAAATGGCTCTACACTTTAAAAAGCTCTCTCTTTCCAACTTTATATAGCTCTCTCCCTCTCTCTACCCTATATATGTACCTGCTCTCAACTGAACCTCTGGTGGAAACCGAATCTCCTTGGTGTTGGCTTTTTCAGGTCATGCCCTTTTTATCTTTTGGAATAACTTTGGCCGGAAGAAACAAAAGAGAACGGATCAAAAACTGTACAGGAAATTTTATAATGCAAATTTAGTGTTTCCTATCGTGTTTATTCATTATGCTCGCACTACAAAAAAAGAAGTGGCAACGGTCATCAAATGTCACCAAATAATGGTGACTGTTGCCACATTTTTTGTTTGTAATATTGTTATTTTTTCGGTAACAAAATAAATAAGGTTACAAATAATAATTATAACACAAGGAGAAAATTTTATAATACAATAAAAACATATATCTAACTCAGTAATACAAATGCCTAAACAAGTTACCAAAAAGAATACAAGCTAAAAGGTTTTTCTAAATAAAAGAAAGCCACAAAAAAAATAAATAAATATAACATGTTATGAACGTGTTACACATGTTTCGTGAATGAATATTGGGGTTGCATACAACCAGTTGCATGCAACCCCAATAAAGCTCGATCCGAACACTTCTTTTCTTTTCCTTTCTAAACCAAAAAAAAACACATCATTTTTGTTTTGGTACAAAATCGTGTCATATTGGGTCTTTACCCGGACCAGCCACAGGTATAATGGGCTAAAGCCCAAGGTTGTAAGTAGCATGCCCGCTCCTTTGTGGGCGACAGAGTATGTATCTATTATCCGCTATACTTTTTGTTTTGCTTTTTCTTTTCCCTCGTCCAGTTTTCTTGTTGGAAACACTTTTTATCACCCATGAAGGCCCAACTAATCCATAAATGTTCAATGCGTTTTGCTAATCTTGTTTTTTTTGGTTACGAGGGAAAATTATATACAATTCTTTTCCTATGCCAGACATTTGGACTTTTTTTACTGTGTAAACGCTATGTATTTTCTATTACCCATTTCTACTTTCCTTTCTATTTTCAAAGGGTCCACACGGTAATAACGGAATAACTGAAATGATATATACTCCTATGCGGATGCGTGTATGTTATTACCGTGCAGATCCATTGTAAATAGGAAGGAAAGTTGGAAGAGGTAGCAAAAAATTCATGGCGTTTGGTTCTAACATCTAGATGTCCGTACAAACATCCTCATAGGAGTATATATTGGAGAGGAAAATTTGATTACATAAAACTCGTGTGAAGGGCAGGAATAATTGCTATTAACCATTTAAATTATAAATTCCTTGCCGGGAAAACAATAATTTGAAGCAACGTTTTTTTTTGGTCAATAATTAAAGCAACTTAATGCTCAGAACAACTATCCTCAAGTAATACACCAAGAAGAAATGAGGACCGCAAGTGATCCTTGATAGAAGAAAGAAAAACACATCGAGCTAGTTGATGCGCCACACCATTGGCCTCATGAAACTGGGGCGAAGGCATGTTGGGACCAATGCAGTTCCAGGCTCCTATTCAGTTTTTGTTATATAAAGAAAGAAAGTAGTATGTTGTTATTGGATAACCCATATTAATTAACATGTTTATTTTACCACGTTAGGCCCTGCTCAACCAAACCTATGTTTCCTCCAAGACTACGCCTCCTTTTGCAAACCCATTCCCAAAAGTTTTAATAAAACTATTATTATTATATTACCTCTTTACACAAATTGCTGAAAACCAAAGAGATTTTAATCCATTTTTCTCTTTTCTTGGCGCAGACAGGAAGCAAACTTTCTCATTGTTTGTGAGTTTTTCTCTCAACCTCAGTATTATATTATCAAATTTTAAAGTTAGGTTAATTCATGGATGAAAGATTACTTGGTTGCAGAGAAAAATATTTTTAATAGTATAGATGACGTGGTTGTTATGCAATGATTTCAAAATATGAAAACTTGTCGAGAACAATTATGATTGTAATGAATAGACAATATTATTTTTGATGTTTTGGTATGTGTTGAAATCGATTTTTTTATTGTTTATATTTTGTGAGAGCCACACACAAAATTCTGGTTTCACTGTCACGAAACACATGCAAAAACGGAAGAATATATTTTACTTGGGATCCTATTTGTGCGACACATTCCCCTTGAAGTTTGAGCATAGTATATTGCATAGCTGTGAGAATGAAGGCTTAAAAAAAGGACAATACTTCCCTCCTTAACTATATGGAGGAACTCCTCCTTACCTTCTATTGTGGTTTAACAACAAAGTGATATGTGTCATCTCTTTTTTAATTGTCTAGGGCTTTTTACCAAAACAGAATAATAAAAATAAAAATAAAATTCCCATTGTGTTTTTTTTTCTTTCACTTGGTAACATGATCTTGTATTGAAAAAACCTCAATGAAGAAACTATGTCTACAAATGCTGTTAGTAGCAATTTTGGTTGTAGAGAGATTATTAAAGTTAGAGTTGGAAAGGGCCACAAAGACTTAAAATTTTGAGGAAGAAAAATTAGTATTTTTTAAAATGGCTGAGAAAAATCAAAGTGAAAAAATAGAAGTTTTGACAATTGAAAAAGAGAAAACACACGTCACTTTGTAGTTAAGTCACAATAGAAGGTAAGGAGGAGTTCCTTCTTATGGGTAAGGAGGAAAGTATTGTCGTTGATGCCATCACAGCGGAGACCAGAGACTTGGTGGTTTGCTGGGCAATTCCTTATTGACTTGCCGCCTTGGGAACCTGTTTATGTGACTCGGTTTTCCATAGAAAATTTGTTGTGGTGGACTTCTGCAGTCTTTTGCTGACTAGAGAACTATTCAAACAACACTGGCAGAAAATGTATGCCAGCAGCTTTCCATCATGCTAAATAAAATTAAACACAGACAAAAATCAGAACAAACAAGCATCCTCATAGAATTTTAAAGCTGCATTTACTTATAAACTCAGCTTCCTATAACTCCAATCCATCAGTATCAACTTTAAAAACAATTAAAGGAGCTGGAATGTTCAGAGCAGTTTCACAAGTTTCAACCATGCTTATTAAGTCTGGCATTGGACTAATATGCAGGAAAATAGGGGGTGAAAACAGAAGATAAATCAAAACTGAAGTGTACTTATATTGCAAATTTCTGTGGTAAAAAAAAGTACATATTGTCTTGAAGATTTCAAGTATCCCCTGTTGAAGATATTTACTTTTCACAACAAAAGAAAATTTGCCATCAGAGAGGCCATAGGACCACAGTTTTGCAGTCTGTATGTTCTTTCTTACATTTGAAAACCTAAAAAATTGAAATTGCAGTACCAAAACCCTTATTTCATGTAGAACCAGCTTCTGTACTTCAGATTGACATACCCTCTATACCAACTTTTAAGTTTTATTCTACAGATACAGCAGAGGCCACTGAGAAGGCCATATATATATATATATATATATATTCCCTAATTTTACTTGGAACTGACTTGAAACTTGAGACATAAAAAAGGCTAACCAAATCTTCATGAGGGAAGGATTGAGCTTTGACTCCTTCCATGTTTGGATGAGAAAAACTTCCTGCCAGATGAGAAAGGTCTTTTCATTGATATTGGCCCCATCTGCAGAGAAAACCCAATTGAAGAACTCCTCATTAGCTTGGCAAGGCTAGAACTTGAACTGCCATACTTGGAAACAATCCCCGAATTCAGATTCTTAACATGTACTAATTGGGAATTTGAACTTCCTTCTTCAGGAATGACATTGGCCACATCACGGTATATTCGCGAAGCAGATGACGAATCCATCGAAACTGACCTCCTAATTGGTTGTATGTCCTCTTCAGTAACACGGCGATTGTCACTCAAATCACTTAAAGCTCTTGGATCACGACTACCAGCAGCCACAGTAGAACTTGGCAAAACCTTTCCTGAATTTTCAGCAGTTCTTCCCTCAGTTGGAATTGCAAAAACATTCTCATCATCTGTAATCCCAACCTCACTAGTCCCACTTCCAAGGCTTCCAACCCCTCCATTATTCTCCAAATTCTCTATCTCAATGCTTTCCCTCGAACCTGAATCCCTCGAAGTAGGCTCAGGGACACTTTCTTGAGCCCTAGCAATATCAGAAACAATTGGAGCGCGGCAAAGAGGGCAATTTTTATGTGATCTCAACCAGGTATCAATACAAGGGATGTGGAAGGCATGACTGCACTTGGGCAAAAGCCTAACACTCTCATCTTCTTCAAACTCACTCAAGCAAACAGAACAATCTGTTCCTTCAATCAACCCCTCATCTTTTTTATACTTGCAGACTGTTATGGAGTCAATTACAGATTGCGGAAGCCCAACAGTATAGATGTACCAAATGGGATGATCAAGAACAGGTCCATGATCTTCATCAAGAAAATCTTGTTGGGTATCAAACAAAATTGGTAAAGAACTACTCCTCCTCCTCCTGGAATTGCTGCGGCGCCAATAAAATCTTACAATAGAGAAAACAATAGCAACAAGAAGAGCAACCCCAATCATACAACCTGTAATTTTCATGCTTGTTTCAAGTATATGTTTCCGTTCAGATGGGGGCTGATAATAACCAGTCGGTGGTGGTAATGGTGGTAATGGTGGTAATGGTGGTGATGGTGGTGGAAGAGTAGGGTCTGGGAAAAGTGGAGGAGGAAGTTCACTACCACCAAAGACTATAATATTCTTACATACATCACGGCATATTTTGAAACAAGGAAGAAAACAGAAACCCCCTTGGATCGGAGCTTGCTTACACTGAATTGGACATAAATCTTCCTCACTGATATTGGTTTGGAGGATGAGTTTTCCGTGATCAAACCCCATTGAAAAAAGGAAAAAGAAAAACAGAGGAGATTCAAAACAGGGATTAGAAATTAGAAATTCATACCCTCTGTTTGTTTATGAGCCAGAAGAGAGAGATAGAGAGAGAGAGTCAGAGAGTCAAGGCAAAGGACTAGATTTCCAGCCACATACTGAGCTTGGAAATTGATTGTCATGGACAACATGAGCTCAGTTCCTTTTTTTCTTCCACAACTTGTTCTTTGCTTAATTGGGGGAGTTCGTTTTCAAAAAGACTTTTGCATTTACTTGGATGTTTGCTTATACTTTTGTCACTGTGCAACAAAGTCAATGAGCTTTAACGACTCTTTCCGCGTTCACTGTTCCATATCTACATCAACTGGGTTTTCTTTTTCATATTGTTTTAGGGAAATTCTATATGAACCCCATTAATTGCTCTTTACACCCCACTAAATTTTAATAAAATTTCAAATTACTCATTATATCCCTTTTTTTTTCCTAAATTGCCCTCATGAACCTCATTTCCTAACTCACTGTGTAAACCCCATCCCATATCATACACCACTCACCAAAAACCCCCTTCCCTTTTAAATACACCCCATATGAAAATCAAACCCCACCCCATCTGATATCAAGCCCCATCCCTATTCCTTTGCCATCGCAGAACCCTCTGCTCACCACCGAACCCCCATCTCTGCAAACCACTTAATCCCATCGCACAACCCATCTTTGTAAATCTGAACCCATATCTGAAACAGAGCCATCACACCCATCTTGCTCACCACCAAACCCATCTCTGCAAACCATCGAACCCCATCGCACAACACATCTCTGCAAACCCGAACCCATCTCTGTCAAGTTTTCACAAATCCTTCGAAGAGTCAAGGTTTGATTTCAATTTTGATTTTTATATTTACGTTTCTAAGTGTTGATTAAGCCTACGTTTGATTTCACTTTTGAAAAGCCAAAGTCTGATTTTGATTTTTGATTTCAACGTTGTGGATTGTATGGTTCGAACCTGGTTTTACGAAACTGGATTTTAGTTTCAGTGGATTACCACCGAAATGGTTACATTGCTTCAGTGGTAGTCCACCGAATTTGAACCTGAGTTGTACTAAAATTGATTTTACTTTTGATGGGTTACCACCGAAATTGTTACCATGTTTCGGTGGTAGTCCACCGAATTTGTTTCTATTTTTCAGGAGATTCCTACTGAATGTATGTCGGTTTTTCGGTGGTGCTCCACTGAATATGTGTTCTTTTTTCAGTGATAGTCCACCGAATTTATGTCCGTTTTCAGTGATCATCTACCGAATACGTTACTGAGTGTGTACTTAATATTGTTTGTTTTTAGATATGAAGGACTCGCAGAGGTACTACTAAGGCTTTATCATCTCGACCAAATACACAGCGTCCTATGGCCTCAACGAGGAGACAGAGAACGGCTCCTCAAGGACACTTTGAGGATACTACAGAGGTTGAAAATGTAGTTCCTACTCATGATAATAATGTTGACGCAGAGGTTGAAGATGTAGTTGCTACTCAGGATAGTATTGTTGAGGTACATGCCGAGCCTATTGAGCCATCTCGAGTAGGTCTCATTGATCCATCTTTACTTACGAGTTTTAAAACTCACATAGCAGCTGCAATTTGGAATAACCAGGTAAGTCGTTTTACTGTGACAATAGAAGGTAGAATATAAGTCTGTTTCATGGTAATTAACCTTAATATTTTTTTTTGTTTAACTAGGAACATGAGCCCCTTAGGTGCATTTCGAAGACATCTACCCTTCGTGAGTGGAATTGGTGGGGTAATCCAAATAATGGTATATTCAAAGGGTACATTCAGAGGCCTGGATTAGAGCAACTTATTAGGTGTTCTTACTTGGATATACACATTGCATATAAAATTAACCAATGTTGCGTAAACAAATAAATTCATATATGGACATAGTGATCATCGTCAACAAAACCAATGGCAATCTCACGTAGCTTGGTTTCACTTGATTGAACTGAGAAAGGAAGAAATGTAAGGCATTGACGCATGCTTAGAAGGATTAAAACCACATTATAACATGTGGCAATAATATGCCCCATATCAGGCATGGTCATCCAATAAAAGAATGGTGCAAATCCATCACCAAAATAATTTAGTGCTCGCTCAATCTCGTTGTACCATTTATGTTCCCGAATACACTTCTTAAAAACATAAGACATATCATGTAGTTGCTGCAACAAATCCTTGCGTACCCTACGCCATTCATTATGATCAAATCCTATTGCCATAGTTCTGATTCTATATCCACAGTTACCATCCGGAAGAACTTCAGTCTGGTGAATAATATATTTCCTAATACCCTTAGGGAATTTCTCTATATGCATATATGTATCGAACGCTGATTGGTTTTCACGAGGCTTATAGAGCTGAAAATAAAACAAAATATTAGTTATATGGTAATAACACATTGTAAAATACAACATTTGTAGTACATACCTTAAATTTTTTTAGATTAGACAACATGGAACTAGAAGCAGCCATGTTTCTTTTCTTTGGCACTGCAGTGGTACTTTTCTTCGGTTTTATTTTTAGTGAGGCAGTGAGGCTTTGCTTTGGTTTATTTTTAGGTAGAGCAATAGAGGCCTCGGCAATCTCAAATGCAGATGGCAAAAGACGAGTAGAAGTGTCGACTTTTCGCGGTCTCCCTTTGGTCTTCAACTTCTCTTTTGGTTCATTAAGCGCAGTAGAACTAGGGTTTAACCAATTGTCATGTATGTATTCAAGAGCTTTTTGAAATTCACTAAACTTAGACTCAATCTATCGCAAACAAAGTCAATATTCATCCTCCGTTTCTGAACCAACCAAAGTATTCCAATACTCATTAAATTGCTTCCATTGTTTGAGGGTCCCAAATAACTTCTTGCAGTTTGCCAACACTCCTTTGTTAATATGCCATCTACATAATAAAAGTCGTGCTTTCAGAAATATAGACGTAATAGAATTCATGAGCGCTAACTCTCGATCGGTGACAATAACACCAGGAAGACAATTATCATCCAACAAACTCCTCAATGCAGTCAATGCCCATGTGTAATTGTCTTCCTTCTCGGCATTCATATACACATACACAACAGAGAATGTCATATTAGTATATGTCATCCCCACAATTTGCAATAGTGGGAAACGATACATATTAGTCTTATAGGTGCAATCCATGATAAGTATATGTGGAAATGCATGCAAAATATCAATATTAATAGGGTGTGTCCAAAACAGGTCAGTTACAATATCACCAGACGTCCTATGTCACTCAATATAATTGTGTTGGGATAACTTAGTAAGCAATTGTTGCATTTGAGTTCTCCCAGCAAATTCTTTGGTTCTATTTCGAATCCTAGCATTGTATATTGTCTTCATAGTTGAAACATTCATTGCATCTCTATCTTTAATGGTGACCAAAATATCTCTAGGTTTCACCAAATTCTTAGACATGTCCACTAACAAAGCATTCTCCTATTCAGAAAGTCGCCCCACAAATGAATAACCTTGAAGATACTCTGAAATAGGATGGTTGTGTACTCCTCAAACCACCTCCAACTTCCAATCATCCCCATCACTAATATTGACACCTTTTAACAAGAATGGACATTCACATTTCTTGGTACCTGTGTCCCTAGCACATTTTTTCATATCACTATTTGCATCCGACCTTATATCAGTTGTCTCACTAGATTTGCAAGACTTATAGTTACCGTTCCTCTCACAAGCAAGTATTACACGAGGTATCCTCTTGCCCTCACCTCCATAATCAGACCTTTTAATTACAATGACAATATGATTCATTTTTCCTTGTGCACGAGCCCATCTAAGCAATGCATCTCTACCATTGAATATCTATACATAAAACTCATATTATTTCAACATAAAATTTGAAACATTATTGCCACGTTAATGATACTAAAAAGGATTTCAGACAAATAATTACCGAATAAGTTGTGAATTGATCACTATAGTCTATTACACATTTTGTTCCCACATTGTTGTCTTCAGTAGGGGCATCACCTTGTTTTTGTTCCTTCAATGGGAGTAAGATCAAAATAACTTGCATTAAATTTGTGGTTGGCAATAAGTTACTGAAAAAATAAATAAATTTCGGTTGGATGCCACTGAAACGCAGGTAAAAGTTCGGTAGGGAACCACTGAACTACTTTCCATGTTACGGTGGATCTCCACCGAATATTAAGTTCATGACCGGTCAAACCCAACCGAAAACGGTGCAACGTTTCGGTGGCATCCCACCGAATTTACCTGTCGCATTTGGTACTAATGTGTTGAACGCAACCAGCGACCATTATGAAATACTAAACTTGCAAAACGCCAAAAAATAAACTCGTACCTCATTCGAAGCCTCTCTAACTTCAATCTCACCCTTCATGAATAAATACAAGATATTTTTTCCCCAATATAAACGTATAAATCTAGGGTTTAGGGTTTATGATTTAGGAACATGATAGTTTGCGAAAAAAAGTCGAACTAGGGTTGCAGGAACATATGTGGGGTTTAGTGAGCAATTTAAATTTTAAATTAAAATTTTGTTGTCCTTAACGGTAATTATGTACAAGGGTAAAATAGGTTATTCATATTTAAAATTAATATGGGGTGTAAAGAGCAAATAATGGGGTGCCAATAAAATCACCCTTTGTTTTATCTTCTACTATGAAAATTGTCCATCAATTAATGAGCAAAAAATACCCAACTGATTTGATTTCCGTTTTGTATGCCAAAATCATAGAAAAATCATAGGAAGTTCTTGTACTGTTAGGGACAAGACTTACGCAAGTGAGATGTTCACCCCTTAGGTTATCTCCTTAAGGTTGTTCGTTACACATTGTTTCGCTCTTTGCATGTAAAAATTCATTTGCCTGACATATGTATGCAAAAATAACTCATTAAAAATACAGAAAGATATTTTTGAACACATATCTAACTAATATTTATCTATAAAGAAAAATAACTCCTTGCATACATGTGAGAAGCCAAGTATTTTCCCTTCCCACTTATTAGTTGTTAAACGTAGTGATCTTAATCTTGTAGAGAAAACGTGTCGGTTGGTTTGGCACGGTTTGGGTGGGATCCAGACTTGAGAGAAAAGTCTTGGTTTTTTTTTCCGAGAACTTGAGATGACTCGGCCACTGCAAATCGCCCCTATCAAACAAAAGATTGAATGTTCGCCAGGAAGCTATTAGAAACAAAAGATTGGGCCTGTGTGTGAAGTGAATATGGGCTTAATACTCTCTGACTAGGGCCTCACAGTTTCTGATAAGAGGGTTTCTATGGACACCCGAGACGTGTCTCCGCACACCCAAATCAAAATTTTGAAATTGCCGATGATAAACTTTATAAAAACGTTTTATGCTTGGTACTTCTTTCGGAAACACTTCACCTATTTTTCTCGAAAGCACTTGAATTTTGAACAAAACTTTCAATTTGCTTATAGTAAAAACGCTTACCTTGCCACGTCAGTTTTTTTCCCTCTCCAAACTAAGAATGAAACTAATAATATCAGGGGTAATTTAGGTATTTAACGTTGAAGAAAGTCGAAACAGGCAATTCAGGATTGCAATTTGCATCTCATAATAATAAACAAATGGTGCAATTGTCACCGCCAAACATATTTCCCTACCTGCCCCCCATTGCCTTTATTGTTCCCAAATTGACATTTTCGTTACTTAATCTCTACTAACTAAAGATTTCACCTTCGCCAACTGTCACGTTTTTTCCTACAAGTTTCCTTGACCTCGTCCCTACTTTGACGTTACATATATGAAAGCCTTGATCCTATACTTTCAACATGGATTTTACACATCTACTTGGAAAGCCTAATTAAAGTGATTATTCTTTAATCTACTAATGCCAACAATTAGATCATTCCCAACAAAACATCTTTTCTCCATATTTCCCCCATATTTTCTTGTCAATTATGCCTCTTTTTCTCCGAGAGAAATCATGTTTTTCACGTCCTTCACGGTGTAAGGCATGCGTATAGTACAATGCACCACATGTTACTTACTCGTACTAATTTAAACCATATAAAATTTTATTAGATGAGAATCTGACTTTCAATGTTTTAACAGGCATAAAAGTCAATTCATTTAACCAATTAACTTGTAATAACTCTTAATTCATTCTTTACCCTTAATTTAATTATGTCATTTTGCCCCCACCACACTAGGAGATGGTGGCCATCAACCATCAATCATTGTATCTAGTTTCCGTTGTACCCTCAGCTTCCCTAATCTGCTCATATTGCCATCCATTAATTGATTTAATCTTTTTAATCAATTCCTGTTCTAGTTAATCTCCAAGTTCTTGTTCCAATCTTTGCTCACATGTTGCCTAAAACATCTTGAGTTTGAAGAAGCGCGGTAATTAGTCTGCATACAATGAACTGCATGTCACCTACATCTCTGAAGTCTTTCTCGTGATTTTCCTCATTGATTTCTATTTACTTCCTTGACTTAGACATAAACCCTAAGAAATTAACTTAACAATAATTTAAAGGTTCCTATTTTATTATTAACAATAGTTAGTGATACTCCAAGTAAATCAGATTGTTCCTATATTTTTAATATTCCCATCCCCCTCTCACAACTGGACTCCAACATGTGAGCCCTTTGATTAATTAAGGAGAGTGGATGTAAGCCCAATTAAAAAAATAATCGGTGCGACCAACAAGCATAAGCCGAGGGTTTATATTAATTATATTCTAACAGTTCTCTGTTGAATATTTGGGCTATATATAAAACGTGTTATTTTATTTTTTTAACAAGTTGGAAACGTTGGTTTACCAATGTTTTGTCCTTGAATAAAAGCAAGTTGTTTCCACATGACTTTCCAAAAGCTATCAATTCATGATGAATTATTCATCCCTGTCAGCCTCCAGCTGGACTTGGTATTTTTTTGGACCAAAAAGCTGGACTTGGTAATTGGATTGGATTAATTATGCTTCAAGCCAAGCATTAATTTGTAATCAAATCCTATAAAGTCTTCAACATCACTCGAACCTATGACGAAGGAAATATTATTTATATCAGATATTATTAATATATAATTTCCCACGTGGCTTTAAACAAAATACTGTCAAAGAAAAACTCCTAGTTGACCATGGAGAACAAGTCATCTGTTTCGTACTTTTCCTATTGTCATGCATATGCAATTATCCATTGCACCAAATCCATTAAGAAAATGCATACGATTACAATATTCACATTGAGCCCCTCATGGAACGTGCTTCCTTGACTAATCTTCACATTGAACCCAGATAGTCTATAAATATACCACCATCAAAAGAAAAACTCTCATTAACAAAATTCAAATTATTTTTGGGCAGTTAAATTGGAGGAGTTGATCAAGAAGAACCCATCAACAATCACTTCGGTTGATCTTTGCCGGTCGAGTAGCCGCCTTTTCGTCAAGCATCCTGGAGTGTTTCAGAATTTCTCATCGGCAACGTTGAAATGCCAACAAGGTTTCAGAACCAACCATGAATTGTTGTCTCTCACAATAGGGCAGAGGATTGCTTTTAGCAGGCAGCCATGTAGGAATAAGATTGTGTGCAATAGTTCTCCATTACCTGGAGTTCCAGGCCCTTCACACTCCTGGTAATTAGCAATCAGATCAGACCTTTTCAATGCTCTATAACCCATATTAATGAATATTCATTTATACTCTTTTTTAACTTTTTACAAATTATTATAAACAGGAAAGGATGGATGATAGGGATAGTATTATCAGTAATTATACCCTTTTGGAGGAACAAATGGGCGCCCTTGCTAGCAATGAAAAGTGAGTAATATTCTAGTTTACCCTATTGGAAGAGGTTATAGGTTCGAATCGTAGTTGTGTTGTTGCTTGTCTTCAAGGTATTTTCGCTTTTCTCATCAGAAAAAATTGAATTGGGTTTTGATTGTGCAGAGGAGGTGGACATGATTGTAGACACAGTTGAGGCAGTGGTGGAGGTGGTAGAGCAGGTAGCTGAGAAAGTGGAGGAAGTGGCAGACGATATAGGCGATCATCTTCCTGATGGAAAGCTTAAGGATGCACTTGAAGCAGTTGAAAGCATAGCCAAAGAAACAGCCAAAGATGCCCACCTTGCAGACCAGCTAATTGAGAAGGTACTTAAATTATTATATGTAAAACATGAAAATGAATTCAGATAATTTTTTCTTCAGCACACTAGAAGGTGGCTAGAAATTAATTAGAGTTTTGTCTCAAAAATGCAGGCTGAAGAAGTGGAAGATCGGGTAGAAGACTTCTTTGAGTCAGCCGTGGATCAAGCAGGGAATGTGATCACCAAAGATGTTGGTGATGAACAAAATGTACAAGTAGAAAAGAAAATCCAGTGATATATATGAGATTTTCCAATCTGAGATGAACAGGATACCAATAATTCTGTCATCTCTAAATGTTTCTGTAAAATTGTATTAATTAATATTCATTCTTTTCTAATAGATTATCAAGTTCTATTGGTGAAATCATTACTGCATCTTACAGGCAACCTTATTTGCACCACCAAATTAACATATATTCTCCATTTAACAAGAAAAAAGAGAGTAAAGAACAAATATTTCTCCAGCCACCTTCTATTCCTAAGTTCCTCTCTATTAGTCTCAAAACATCTTTTCTCTACAAGACAAGAAAAAAATAATTATTTAATTTTCATGGAAAGCTTCCTTTTAATTTTAATTTTTTTTTTTTTTTTTTTTTTTTTCACTTTTTTTGTGTGTATGAATGGTCCTTCCACGTTATTTCATACATGAATAAAATTGTAATTACATTTTATTTCTCTTCTAGTTTTGGTGAAAGAATGGATGAGGAAATAGAGTTTGGTAGCGGTTACATTCAATTTCTCTCCTTTATTTGTTTATTTATTAATCTCCTTATTTTCTGTGAGGAAACAGTATGATCAATTGATATAACTCATTCACATATTATAATAAGTTTATTGTCATCCGCCTATATTACAACATGCACACAGATTATACCACATGACCACTGACCGTATTCTAATACCTTACAATAATTTCTCATTTGGTTGATTCTTTCTTCTGATCCCTTGGTTTCAACGTACTTACTTAGACTTATCCTCATATATGCATGTGAAAATTTTCACCCTAAGAATTCAAGGTTCCTGTTTTATCATTGACAATATTGACACTCCAATGAAATCAAATTATTCCTATATTATTGTAATATATATATATTCTCATTCTCCCTCCTCAACACCTCTCTCTCTCTCTCTCTCAACTGAACTCCCAACATGTATTAATTAAAATGGATCAATTAAACAATTGGTGTGTAACAAGTGAACATTATCATATTACACCTTTTGTTTTTTTAATGTCATATTAAACTTTGTAGTTTACTATCATTTGAGTAAAGCTTAAGCCAACGGTCTAATATATATAATATTCTAACATATATGTTGGCCAGAAAACGTGTTTCTTTTGTTTGTTGTGTTGTCCTTGCGTAATATCAAATTGTTTCTATCGGCCCTTCCAAAGCGTCATCCCTATCAGAGTCTAGCTGGCCTTGGTATATTGTATTGGATTAAAGGATTATTTGTAATTAATTAATATAAATAGGGTTGGAAAGCTCATAGGGCATGTGCCACCGCTCCTTTTTCAAAAGAAACATTAATAATGCGTTTGTTATTTTAACATATCTCTATACCTTAAAAGCATCTCTATCCCAGCAGTTGTGCGAACATGAATTTTGACAATCAATGACAAGGTGACACGTGAATACAGGAAGAGGGAGAAAAGGATTATTCGCGAATATTCTCCTCGGAGGAAATTTGCACAAACAACAGTATGCTTACCTTCCTTTCAATTTCATACAAACATATAGTCACACACCTCTAAGATATATTTCATATTGCTTGTGAAACTTATAAATTATGAGATAAATGAGTTGTAAGAATAATCTGCCGTGAAGTAAAGAAATGACCAGTTTCTTTTTTCTGTTGTAGATCCGTGAACGGAATTTTCAAGAATCAGATGAGCTACTTTTTAAAAATTGTTGTCATTGGCTAGCTAACTGTGATAAAAAATTAAGCTGATGTTTTCAACTCAACCAGACGGATTTGAAGCTCAAATCTTCAATAACAATTAAGCGCGTTGGCTTGAAATGAAAAGGAAAAAAGAAAGCTCGTAGTTGACCATGGGGAACGTACATAGAACAAGTTATCTGCTTCGTACTTTCCTCTTGTGGACAATTTCTTCGTACTTTCCAAGACTATGTTCTTCACATTTGAACCCAGTAGGCTATATATACTACCACCAAAACAGCAAAACCTCTCATCACCAAAACATCCATCATTTTTGAAAAAATTTGGAGATTGATATAAGGCACTTTTGGAAGTACTGTCAATTGGAGGATTTGATTAAGATAACCAATGTCGGCAATCGCATCATCGATTCATCTTAGCCGATGGACGAGCAGTCATCGCCTTTTTGCTAAGCATCCTGGACCTGGAGTAGTTCAACATTTTTCATCATCTTCAACGTGGAAATGCCAACAAGGTTTCAGAACCAACCATGCATTGTTGTCTCTCACAATAGGACAGAGGAGAACTCTTAGCAGCCAACCATGTAGGAATAAGATTGTGTGCAATAGTTCTCCATCACCTGAAGTTCAAAGTACTTCTGGAGCCCCTTCACACTCTTTGTAATTAGCAATCAGACCTTAATGAATTCATTTGATCTTCTTCCCTTTTTCTTCAAGTAGTATAATAAAAACTGTAAATTATTTCATCATGTAAACAGGAGAAGCTGGATGATTGGGATTGTATTCTCAGTAATTATACCCTTTTGGAGGCACAAATGGGGGCCCTTGCTACAATTGAAAAGTAAGTTTTCAAATTTACTCTTGTTATAGTGGAGAAGGTCCCGAGTTCAAATCTCATGCACGAGACTTGTTTGTGTCGTTGAATCTAAAAATTACCTTTCATGACTATATTTAAGACTTCCTTCTCATCAGAAAATCGAATTTCGTTTCGATTGTGTAGAGGAGGTGGACATGATTGTAGACAATGTTGAAGCAGTGGTGGAGGTGGTAGAACAGGTAGCTGAGAAAGTGGAGGAAGTGGCGGATGAAATAGGCGATCGTCTTCCCGATGGAAAGCTTAAGGTTGCAGCTGATTTAGTTGAAAGTTTAGCCAGAGAAGCAGCCAAAGATGCTCATCTTGCAGACCAGCTGATTGAGAAGGTTAGTTAAAGTTTATATAACATATCAAACTTAGATAATTAATTTTCTCCACACACACATATGAAATTAGTTCAATTTCATCAGGAGCTAATTATGTTTTCTGTAAAAAAAAATGCAGGCAGAAGAAGTGGAAGATCGGGTGGAAAACTTTTTTGAATCAGCCATGGATAAAGCAGGAGACTTGACCAAAGTTGTTGCTGATGAACCAAATATTGTACCAGTAGAGAAGAAATTTCAGTGATATAAATTTGATGTTCAAATCAGAGATGAACTAACTTATCATTCTGTTATATCTAACCGTAAAAAAAAACAACAAAATGAATTCAATTTTTTACAAAACAGATACGAAATCTGAACTGGTGTTTACAAATTACAGTTAGATATAACAGAAGGTATTCATTATTTGTTATTAGACCAACTTAAACTTCATGTTGGTATTGTTTGACTTTCATTCCTATCACAAATCACAAAAAAAACTTGGATGAAAAAAATTATTAAAAAAAACGAAACAAAAACAAAGCTTCTAGATCCTGCATTTTTTATTTTTAATACAAATAATATTGAGGGAGGGGGGTTTTCTATCATGGATAATGTTAAAGTGGCATGAAATACGAATATAAGACCACCAATCTACAAGTCAATGTCTTTTTCATTCTAGATCGTGCATTTAAATGCGAGCACCGCCTTTACTAGCACTACTTTATCATTTCCTACATGACATATGACTTACCAAGACCAATTTTGACCAATTAAAATAATATAAATATAGTGTACTTCTTTCCTTTTTCATTTTTTGGACTGAAAATACAGTACCTAAATATTATGGAGCTGGGGCCGCATATATTCAAATTTCTGATTTATGGGTCCCTATCCATAGTTTTCTCTGTCGCGCTGTAAATCATATAGGAACATTGCAAGTCATCTCTCTGGTACAATAAAGATCCATATCTTGTGGAAGATACTATGGGATATGATTATGATTTGTCCCTGCACGACATAAACGATGTAAAAAAGATAATGAAATTCGATTATTGCTGTTGGAGATCAATTATGGCGACAGAGACCTTACAAATTTTTTTTAAAATTTTAATTTTTCTATTAGTTATAGTTATCCCCAAAATAATAATAATAATAATAACACAGTGGTTATCCCATTGCCATTATTTTATTTTTTAAATATCTTTTTAGTTGTTTTACACTTCTGGCCTAAAATAATGTGTCTTCAGCCAAATTTAAGACCATCAATTTGTAAGTCAAAGTTTTTTTTTATTGGACTAGCCCATTGACCTTGAGGGTATCTTATCATTCACAGAAGATTTTCTTGTTTAGTAAAAGATGATTTGTACTAACATGTGTTTTCTATGGTTTTTTTTTCTTGTTTTTATGGGTGGTAATTTTCCCGCTTTCTTTTTGTTCGCTTACACTCAATTTTATTTTTTTAATACTTTTTATTATTAACAAAAAAAGAAGTGTAAGTGGAAAAAAGAGAAGTGGGAAAATGAACTCCTTTTTTATTTGTTTGTTTTATTTTTCTATGTTAATGATTAGAACATGTGTTTTCCTGTTGGTCGATAAAGGCAATTAAATTTTGGGAGATTCACTATTATACCTAATATAGGAATCTAAATTATAAAAAAAAACTTATATGAAATGGACTTTAGAAATATACCCAAAATCCATTTACAACATAATAAAAAGACTTTTAACTTTTTTAAAATTACAAAACTGCCATTGATTTCTTAAAACAAAACCAACCCCAAAATCTCATAATAAAAAACTCAAAATACTCAATAGGACATCAAAGTAATTTAATAATCAAAATTTAATTCAATAAGACCAGCTGTCATTTTTTGGGTTTATTTATAGAAATTAAATGGTGTAGAGTTTATCTCTATTATTAGTGTTAAGAATGAATATATGACTAAATATCTCTTAAATTTTCCATCCTCATTTATTTAGCTACCTGCACATGGGTCCAATTCACAGTACAGTACCACATCCTAGTCTTAGTAGGGGCCTGGCATCAAATAAGCAAAGCCCTCAGAAAAAAAAACCCCATTTTCATTTCTATTTTCTTTTCTCAGTTCTGTTTTTGGCCTTGAAGTTGTAGAAATTGCTTCCCATTTGATCTAATGGCAACCATCAATGGCTTCCACCCTCCCATGTCCACCCTCCATAGCCAAAAAACCAAGCTCCAAGTCCTCCATGCCACTTTGCATAGCCTGCCTTTGACTTCTGATCAGCAGCATCCCATGTTGGCTTACCAAAGATCATCATTCACCAAATTCCCAAATGATCATCAATTGATCAGAGCTCATCACAGACTGCTAATTACCAAGTAAGTTTCACTAATACACCATTAATTATAATTAAGTATGTTCTTTATATGCATCAATCCTTCAGTTGAAAGTCATCTAAATTGTCCCAAAAATTGGCTGGAGTGAAGGGTGACTCAAGCATCAGAAAAATCTCCACCAGAAACTCAAAGTCCTGCAGATAAATCTCCATTATCTACATGGTGAGGTTAATTAATTATTTTTTTTGTTTTGTTTTTGTGTTTAGTCTGTTAATTGTTAGTGGCAGGCAACAGAAATCATCAGCAGCTCTTTGATCATCAGTTTCCTATGATTTTTGCCTTTCTGTGCAGGAAAAACTGGATTGTGGGATTAATGTTGTCAATAATAATACCTTCTTTGAGACACAAATGGGGACCCTTGCTGGCCCTTAAAAGTACACTTTCAAGTTCTTAATATTTGTTATGATTAAAATTATTCTCTGAAGTTATTAATTCCTCTGTATGATTAAATCAGACAAGGTGGACGTGGCAGTAGACACAGTGGAATCTGTGACAGAGGTGGTGGAAGAGTTGGCTGAGGAAGTAGAGAAGGTGGCTGAGCAGGTAGAAGACAAGCTTCCTGAGGATGCTAAGCTCAGAGAAGCTGTGGAGTCCGTTGAACATCTAGCTGAAGATGCAGTCAAAAAAGCTGAGCTAGCCAAGGATGTCATCCGCAAGGTGAATTACTAACTCCATAATTAACTTTACAACTTGTAATTAATTAATTAATTAAATTTGGATTCTTTTTGCCTTTTCATATATTTTAATTGCAGGTAGAGGAAGTGGAGGAAGAGGTTGAGAAGGCACTAACTAATGGGTCAGATGTTGATTCTGTAAAAGGGAAGGGCGAGAAGAAGTCTTGACAACACTTTACCACTACATTGATTGATCAGACTTCCACTCACCTTGGCAATAACTTGTCAATTTCTCTGTAGATCACTCATCAAATAATTTGCAATTTTTTTTTTCTCTTTTGCGTTTTTATGCAATGCCAAAATTGCCAATTGCTCTGAATAATGTTTTTTTTGCATCAAAAAGTGAAGAACCTTTTTACATGTCATTTGCCACATTTAGAGTCCGTTTGATAATTTTTTTTATTTTTTATTTTTTGTGTTAGAGTATAGAAAAAATAAAGGGGAATAAAAGTGAGAATGAGAGTGAAGATAGGACTGAGAGGTAAGAAGCTAGGGGATGATAAGAAAAATGAGTAACAAAAGTGAAAACAAAAACTAGAAACTAAAATCTATTTGAAATTGTTTTCACTTTTGTTACTCCTCCTCTCTCCTCCTCTCTCCTCCTCTCTCTCAATCTCATCCTCACTCCTATTTTCACTCTCATTTTCTTCTATACTCTAGCACAAAAAATGAAAACTAAAAACTAAAATTGAAAGAATATGCTACTCTTACTATATTTGTATACCATATTCACATACCACCTTATGTGACAGATGAGATGGACAACCACATCAATTAAAATTAATTTAACATTTTCTTTTATTTTATATTTTATTGAAATTTTTTAATTGATGTGACTGTCTACTTCATCTACTACATAAGGTGGTATACAAATGTGGTAAAAGTATCATTACTCAAATTGAAATGATTATCAAATAGCCCTTTAACAATAATAAAAATATGCAGAAAATGAAAGGGATATTTTATTGTAACCTCTAATCTTTTGAAATCACCCTCCTTGAATATTTTCCCATAAAACCCTAGTACTACCTACCGTGCAATAAAATAAAGACAAAAGGTCATTTTTTATCATTGTAATTTGTCATTTTTATCACTTTGGTCCTTGTTGTTTCAATTTGATCAATTTTGTCTTTATGGTTTCAATTTGAAGCAATTCAAGAAAAATTCTCAATTTCTGTCAATTTGGTTAAACTTCTGTTACTTGTGGAAGGGCAATTCGGTCTACTAATATTTAAAAATCCATTCCTTTTTAAAAAGAAACAATATATATTATAAAAAAAATAGTTTTAAAATAAAAATAAAATGTCCTTTCTCCCCCCTACTGCTCCTAGCCCCAACCCCTACAATACACCCAACCCCAGCCAGCCACCGCCTCCCTGTAACCCAACCACCACCCCAGCCACCCAAGCGCCCAAACTCCAAACAACCAAATCGCTGAGCAGGTTGGTCCCTCATTTACCCTGACATTTTTGCAATTGCTGTTTGGCAATTGATATGGGCTGATCTTGCCAATCCGCATGTCAAGGTCAAGCCCTCTTTTTGTTTGAAGCAGAGTGCTTAATTTGAATTGCTTTTGCTGATGCTTGATGTTGACTTTGTCCTCCCCCTTCTATTGTTTTTGAAAAACAACTAGGCTTGCCGATGAGGATTTTATTCTCGTCTTAGGAGTTTGGGTGCTGCAAGAAATTTAGTCAAGGTGGTGCTGAATAAGAGGTTTCTTTCCTTGTTTGGGGTTTGGACGGGCTTGGGTGGAGACTTTGTAAAATTTGAGACTTTGGTTTACCCATTGGAGCACAACCTTACTGGATTTGGCGGACTTCTTGAAATTAGCTTTACCCACTGGAGCAAAACCTTACCAGATTTGACCGGAGTCAATCTCGACAGACTGAAGGTGGGATCCTCAGGTTGACGTTGCGTACGGCGTCGTTTTGGGGGCGGAGCTACCATCAGTTGGATAAGACGGCGGTGAAGTACTTGCAGCGGCGGAGGGCGTGGATGTGGAGGTGGAGGACGATGTCGTCCTGGGGTAGAGAGGTTTTATTTTTATTTTATGTATTATTTATTTTTAAAGGGAGTGTATTTTTTTAAATAATTTGTTGACCAAATTGCCTACCTACAGCAAACAAAGTGAAAAAAAAAAAGACAGAAATTGAAAATTGTCTTTAAATTGCTTCAAATTGAAATTAAAATGGCAAAATTGATTAAATTGAAATTACAGGGACCAAAGTGGTAAATATGACAAACTACAAGAATTAAAAATGATTTTTTGCCTAAAATAAAATAAAAAAATAAAAAAACGAAAAAACAACAACCGACAGCCAGGCAACCCACGTCAACTTCGTGGCCGGCGTTAGGTCTACTCCGTACACTCCCCATCCATTTCAGGTACCAGAGGAACAAACAAAATGGTAATATACAAACGTAGTTTTAGTGTGTGAAATATTGTTCTCATCGTTCTCTCCTAGACTTTATTACAACCGTTGGCGTATATATCTTGCTCCATTCATTTTAAATTTAATCCTAATTAATCCTTTTTTTTTTTTGGGTTACAAGTAATTAATATTTTTAATATTAAGAGTTTAAGACAAAATGAGGGTGGAGACGTCAGTGCCTTGGTGGGTAACATGGATAACTGGTAACGTATGTTTTTCTTTTCGCCAGTTATCCACATTACACTGATCAAAGAAAAAAACATATTTCTTCTTTGAGTTACTGATAAAAGTTATTAATATTATGAACAAAATTGTACATCAAACCAAATTTTATTAGCATTACTTCATTATAAATAAATAAAAATGTCATTATTTGTAGCAATAGAATACATTACTTCATTAAAAAAATATATATATAAAAACATTCTATGGATAGAAGAGAGGATGGAGAAGGGATTGAACAAAGACAAGAAAGACTTTGAACAGGTGGCAGTATTCTATTAGCTTGGGATAATGAGTGGGAAAACTGACCTGGCATCCCCATGTCAGGAAAGTTTTTCTCCTCTCCCCTCTCCCCTCTCCACACCACCAAATTGTATAACGCATATATGTTTGTTTAACCCAACAAGCAACGACCTTTCCCTTGCACTAAAAGCAATTACCAACAAAACAATTCAAGTCATAAAAATCCCTTTGGTAAATTGTAGCTTAGCTTTGCCCAATCCTACACGACCCGTTTCTTTCGGCCACGCTATCCCAACCACCCCCATCTCCACCAAACTTCCTCTTACCTTCCACGCCTCATCAGTTTCTTTTCCCCCTTTTTTTGCTTCTTTTTTGCTTTTCTGATCGAACCCATTTGGCTAAATCGTTCAGATTTAGCCTATATTCATTGTATGCACGATGATCAGTCCCATATCCATGGCGGGGTGGACATCAAATAACCCAAAGTTGAATCCCAAAGCAGTCGATGGGAATGAAATGTTGAAGGGTCTAAATTTAACTCCTGTTTCTCACAAGTCTTCTGGTTTGGACCTCATACAGAACTGCGATCTTCCTCCTCCGATGAAAGTCTTTACGGGTTCCGATAACAAGACTGTTTTGTCATCCATGAACAGGGCTTGCAGCATGAGTATGACCCAAGAAGATGATAACAGGGATGAATTTGACATGTGTGGAAACAGAGGTGACGGCGGCGAGAATGAGAAGTTGGAGCTTTTGAAGGCGTTGAGGCTGTCGCAGACAAGAGCAAGAGAGGCAGAGAAGAAGGCTGAGAAATTGGGAAAGGAGAAAGACTGCCTTTCTGATGCTCTGCTTGCGGAGGCCAGGGAGTTGTTTGCGTATAGGCAATGGGTGAGGTTGCTCGAGCTTAAAGTTTCCAAGTTGGAGTCACAATGGGCAGAGCAAGAGGAAGAGGGATCTTTTTGGGGTGGCAGATCAAAGGGTTTGGAGGAGCAGTCGGTGAAGGAAGGAGATGAGGATGAGAATGGGGATGGCATTTCTTGGATCGTAGCCTTGGCTCTTTGTTTTGGCATTGCCGGGGTAGGCTTTGCATTTGGCTGCAGATATTTATGTTGAAATTTCATTTTTGTAAAAGGCCATAGTGAAAGAGAAAAATAGATGTATACATGATCATACCTGGTAAATGAATACACATTTCAAGCTTAAAAGGTGACTTGTATCTGTATATTTCCAACTGCAGAGCATATGTTAAAGAAATATTCTGCAATTCTGCAACATTGTGTTATGGGGACAAAAATAAAATATAAAGGTTTATGTGAGATTATCTAGGCTTATGGTTTAGTGGGTCCCATTGAGTTTAGGACCCACTTTGCACTTCTCCATGTAGCAGATACCAGACAAATATTTGTCTCCATGTACCACACAAATCACCCTCTAGATACTGTGATACATTGTGAGCTCCATATGAATCAACGGTCAAGATCAGCCCGAGTCTCATGGACTATTGATACATTACGAGCCCCACAACTGTTGATAAATTGTAAGCCTCAAGAACAGCTCACACTTATGGGCGATTGAACTTAGCACTCCTATGTAAACAATTACTGAATACAAGAGCTTGTTGGAGTTGAGAGCACTTGCCAGTTTACTGTTAAAATCAAGCGCTAAAAATGTAGATCAGCTCACAACATCCAAATTGGATGAGAAACGGAAACTTGGCTAGAATTCACTCAAGTTAAAAGCACTGTACAGAGAGGCCTAACCATTTATACATGTGTGAGGAGGATTGAGGAGCCCTGTGACGAGAAGAAAATATAAATTAAAGAAAAAATGAGGGCACACTAAGCGACTACTTTAACTTAAGCAACCACAGCAACAGCAGCTGTTATATATCTTTACCTATTCCATCTTTTTTCTACTCTACAAACTGTGTATAGATTAATAGTACAAAGATAAAGGCAGCAGCATATAAGTAAACATGATGAGCACTTTGATATTCAAATGATGGCCATGTGAACACTCCTCAAATGGTCATAGCATTCATTGCTGGTTCCGTAAGACGCCAAGCACACCCAGCAAATATGCTTCCCACACCTACATTCTATATGGTTGCACCCATCTATCTTCTCAATTGTATACCTGCATACCGGGCAGCTCTTCACATGTTCTTTTCCTTTGCACCACTCCTTCAATGATGAATCTGGATCTTCCTTGAACTCCCGGTACTGCTCGCACGACAAGTATGGATGATATTCTAAATGGCACCGGGTACATGTCTCAGCATAACATGCACCACATACGAATGGTTCACCATCTGTCCCAGGAGCAGCTACCTGATACACAGACGAGCAGTCAGGAGAAGGGCAAAACCTGTAGATTCCCCCACTTGAAGCAATAAATGATCCCAATGAGGCCCTAAAGAGCTCCTCCAGCTTCTCACTTGATAAGAGATATCTCAGATCACTGAACACAATAAGAGACCTGCAACCCTCGTGTGCACAGCACATTGGGAAACTATCTTGGTTTTTTATTGCAGACTCGCACTGCTCCACCAAACACAAACGACAAAATAAATGCCCACACACCGCAAGCCGGTATTCATCTTCAATCTCACACAAACATATGGGGCAATCAGCTTCACTATTAAACCTCTCAGTCGAACTACCTGTCATCTGTGCAATCTCATAAATATTATCTTCTACTTTCTGCTTCAAATCCTTGTTTCCATGAATGGAAATGACTTGACGGCGAACATTTAGACTAAAATCAGCCCCTGGTACCTTCTCTTTGAGCCCATGGAGGTCTGCCCCAAACCTGTTAACAACCTCTTTCATCAACTCAGGAGGTAAGGCACTACCTTGAAGTCGGATCTCAATCAGCTTATTTTCATGGAGTGTTAAAAGGGAGTCAACCAATTTCTGCTGGACCACACCAACTTGGTCTGAAGAACCGAAGACCTGTACACTGACGTTACGCCTGTCAAAAAGAATATAGGTTCCCGTCTCTCTCTGTAGTGAGTGCATTAGAGCAGTGCCATCTCTGGAGAACAGAAGCTGTAAAATAGTTGGAGTGAGGCTGGCATGGTCTATTGTCTTCCCTTTCACAAGCTCCTCCACACGTCTTCTCAGGTCTGCAACTGTTTTTGTAGCATTGGCAGATATCTTCACTCTGTAGGAGCCATTAGCATTCCTATCTAAACTCCATTCTACACCTGTAAACAAGAAAAAAACTCAAGATGGTCAAACACACACTTCTATCTATAAGAAAACATACATGATGTTCTCAAATTTAGTCATAAGCATTATACAATCAGTAATAAAAATAAAAAATAATATAAGAATGAATTAGCTGGTGCAATGCACAGGGTATTATATGCTTTCTAAGAGTCAACGAAATAAAGCTAAAGAGTGCAGTATATTTTTAAAAGCTCCATCAAAAGGACAATATATAAGTTGACACACTTTTGCAAGGATGGAAAGAATTCAGTCCAAATGCATATCAAGTGCAAGACCATTTCCAGGAAAGAAAGAAAAAAAGTAATTCACAGAACAAACAAAGATAAAGCAACTCCAAACCAACAAGACATGAAGGAGGATGAATAAAAATGAAAAAGTTATAACCACAGAGAAATAAAATACAAAAAGTGAAGCAGAGACAGAAGAATATCCAAGTACTTATAACCACAGAAAAGGTTAAGATCAAATGAAATTCATTAATGATTAGCCAGAGAAAAGAAATATTGCATAAAATTGGAAAAGAAAATGCAGCAAGATTACTATATGCGACTAGAAGTACCATTTAGTTGAAAAAAACTTGAAAGTAACGAATCCAACTGCTTCTTGATCACAGGATAAACAGGGGCAGGGCAGGATAGAGAGCTATGAAATAACTGCTGGCACTTCATCTTTTGCCATGAAAGGAACCCAGGCAAAACTTTCCCTTCTAATTGTTCCAAAGCTTTTGCCGCCTCCAAGTGTAATCTTCCATCAAATGTAATCAAAGCTCTCATGAAAGCATTCTTTTGTTCAGGCTCGAAAACCTGAATGCTGCAGCTATTGTGGGAGTATCTTTTAGGCATAAAGGTTGATATTTCTTTTAGGAGAGCATCTTCACAAGCACCACATGGCGGATTTTCTACAGCATCTCCTCTCAGCAGAAAAAAATCCAGGATTCTCCTACTTGTAGCAGTCCTCAACACATCCAAAATTTCAGCCTCAGAAAGATCTTTTTCAAGTCCACTGATCACAACAGAATCCATGGATCTTTTGCTAGTTTCACAACGAACAATTCTTCCTCCTACTAAAAGGTTAAAAAAATCATTAACCATGTAAGCAACATCATCCACATCACATTTGACAATTGCAATCCCCCTGCTTAGCCTGCGAGGCCAATAAACTTTAGCTCTAACAGCAGGGAACGACAACATTTTACGATCACCCCCAACCTGAGAAGGAATAACCTTCAGTATGGAGCCACTAAATTCAGATTCATTTAGTTCAACAGCTTTTTGAGCCACATCAGGACTTAAAAATGTTATCCTGGCCGACTTTCCTTTATCAACACTTTCCTGCCCAGTGCCAGTGAACTTATGAATAGCACATATACTACCAGAGGCATACTTTTCAAGCTCACTAAGTAACTCCTTATCATCCATGGAATCTAGTTTTGAATGAACTACATCAACAGTCAAACACCTTTTTTGAAGCTCCAGATGCTTGATCTCAGCACCAGCTCCAAACAATGCTATTGAAGGCAAGACACCAGAACCATGATACAAGCATTTCTCCAAACATTCATTTCGCATCCATTTTCGTTCACACTCCAAGGCATCATATACAAAGCTTGAAACCCTATCCATGTCATGCAAGGTGGCAAACAACGTAATCTCATTCTGATAATAATCGACTTTAATGTTGATACGTTCGTCCTTGCAAATTGACCTAACACGTGAAACAAGATGAAGCAGATAACCGTTGCCCTTCCCACAAAATCTTTTAAGCAGAGTACTGCCAAAACCAGTCAAAACTTTCAGTTGCAATTTTTGACTTTCCATCTTAGATACATCAAACAAAGGAGGAGGACATAGGGTAGACAAAGAGTTGAAATCAATGGAAGTGACGCAGACTAAATATTGATTAGAAATTGACAGGAGTTCACCAAATACTACCCAACTAGGTTTCTCACCAAATACTAACAATGAACACGAAGGATGCAACCGAACATGTTGCCCACTTAATGCCACTTCATAACCAAGTTGATCATGTCCCGAGAACATAGCAACATTTTCCACAAGGGAAGAAAGTATAACCTTTTTCAAATATTTATCACAATCATTTGATTCATGTGGATTCCAACACCAGGTACTAGGAATTATCATATTGAGTTCATGTTTAAGGCAAGACTCCAAATCCTTTACCATTTCTTGGCATCTCCTCATAGTTTTGGCATTAATGCTGTTTTCCCAACACCACGAGTTTTTCTTCTCTTGAGCCAAATTATCCCATGTCTTGTACACAGAGAGAAGGGTAAAGAGATCCCCATCACGATGGCAAAATTTCACCTTAAGGCAGTCTGATCTAAGTTTTTCTTCATCAGTACCAACTCTACAAAATATACTACTGGAATTTGCCATTACAGATGCAAGAACAAGGCCTTCCCTACGTAAGCTGTGGTTACAACAACCAAGGATTAATTTACCAAGCCGAGGCTCAACACCCAATTTAACCAAGAACCAACCGTCCTTGGTTAATTCAAAAACATCATCAGTTTGCTTCACAGCTCCTAACTGAATAAGGTTCCGCATGGCCATGTCAATAGCTTCAGAACAAGGTACATCAATAAATTCAAAATCTTTTAAATTCTTGATGCCCAAAGCCAAAATCTTCAAAACTGCAACACCAAGGTGAACTCTACGGATCTCAGGTTCCTGGCAAGGAGGCATCGCCTCAAAATCATTTTTTGAGTAGAGTCTATAACATATACCAGGTTCCGTTCTTCCAGCACGGCCACTTCTTTGATTAGCAGAACTCCGGCTGATTCTGCAAACTCTTAGAACATTCATGCCACTTGCAGGTTCAAATTTGCTTTCTTTAGCCATACCAGAATCAATCACATACTTTACCCCAGGAATTGTCAGAGATGTCTCAGCCAGATTTGTGGAAAATATAATTTTTCTTCTTCCAGGGTAGTTTTGGAAAACATTATATTGGTCTGCAAAAGTTTGTTTTCCATGCAGTGGCAGTGCAATTGCACCAGGTGCTATAAACTTCTGACAAGCCCATTCTACTTCCATCTGGGAAGTCAAAAAGGCAAGAATTGTCCCTTCTTTCTCTTTTTTGTGTACCTCCGTTGCTACCCTCAGCACATCAGAAACATAGGAAGTAGCATCACTAGAAGTTCCTTCATTGAAAGAAGGTTTATATCTAACATCAACGGGAAAGCTCCTCCCCACCACATAAAAGATTCCACAGCCATAATAATAATTTGAAAGCACTTCTGCATCAGCTGTTGCAGACATTATAACAAGTCGTAAACTAGGTCTTCGACCTAGTAAACCTTTGATCAATGCCAAAAGGAGATCAGTATTCAAGCTCCTTTCATGAGCCTCATCAATTATGATGCAAGAAATCCCAGACATATTCATATCATTCATGTAGTGCTGCAGTAGACAGTGGTCCGTCATAAATATTACCTTAGAATTCAACTCCTGCCCTGACAAAAATGTCGGATTAAATTTTATTGATTTTTCTCTATAACACCCACTACTTTCTTGTGTAACCCTTTCGGCCAACGACGTGGCAGCAATCTTGCGAGGCTGAGTGCATACAATAGACTGCTCAGCAGCAATTCCAGAATCAGCAAGAAACTGCACCAACTGTGTACTCTTTCCTGAACCAGTTTCTCCAATTAACACCAGGACCTGTGCAAATTCTAGTTAAAAATAAGACAAAAAGGAAAATCTGAAATGCCTATATTGCATATCTACCAAAAATGACACTCCTAGTTTTGAGCTTAAATAATTAATAAGTGCTTGAACAATAAATAAATAGCCTACAAGGTAGAAAGAAAAGCATATTATCAAATGATTCAGGTCTCAATACTGCTTTAGCATTTTTTTTTCCACAAATCATACAATGTATCACGTAAATAAAGTGCTTAAAGCATAATATATACGGAAGCAAAAAAAATATATAAAAAAAATCAAGCGTAGTTTAACAAAGCTGGTCCATTCACCTGGCATTCCAGTAAACACAATAAAAAATTTAAGTAACAAAGTTCACTCCCAAGAGATGCAATGAGCCTTTAAACAAACAGACAAGGTTGCTAATCAAGAATGGCAACAAAAACTGGAGTGAAGAAGATTGCTAATCTAATCCAAAAGAACATAAAACCCAACTTGCAAAACAACTACACAACCAGAGTTAAGCACATTATACCTGCTGGGTAAGAATTTGCTGAAGAATTTGCTGCCGATAAGCGTAAATGGGCAACCCTTCTTCGAGTCTGTGGCACTCCCGAGCCATTATGCTCTGAATTCGACCCCAATCATATACTTCACTTGAAAATTTAAACACTTGCACGCCTTCTTCACCACACTCCTCCAACCCGTTCCCATCAAGATAAGCAAGCAAACAGTTCATTGCCGACTTGAACTCCCTAATCTTACTCTCCACCAATTCCATTTCGCATTTACTCCTCCTCTTCTTCTGAGCTAAGTCATCCAGAGTCCAAACAGGGCTTGGCCTCAGAAGTAACTTTGAAACTCGCTCAAATTCCTTAGACAACAGGGCCCGCTTCGCCTCCCACTCCTTCACTGCTTCCCCGTCGATCAATTTCTTAATTCTTTCGGTGAACAAGCCTCTGAGCCGGTCCTGGAGCTCCTCGAGATCGGACGGCACAGAAACAAACCGGTTCAACTCCGGTGTCAGATTATGAACCCCGTCGAGCCGCGATTCCCAAAGACAAACAATGGCCTCGAGCGCGTGGACCCATTGTGTGTAGAACAAGGAGACCACTATGACATTAGAGGGAGAGAACTCGACGTTTTCGGGCTTGTACTTGCATTTAGCGATCACGGCGTCGATGTCGGCTTTCTGGTGGTTACGTTGGTCGGAGAGGAGCACGACGATGAAACTCGGGGGCCTGGGAGGGGGTCGACGACAGAAGCCGTCCGGCGGGGAATTGGGTTGCCTGGGAGGGTACCGGTGGGGAATTTCCCGCGGCTGAGGTTGGCGGAAAGTGGCGCGAGGGTATGGTCCGCACGACGATCTCATGGCATCGAGAGCGACGACGAAACCCTAGAGAGAGATAGAGAGATATATAGAGAGTGAGAGAGGGAAACGGAGAAAGGTTGGGGCTTGAGAAAAGAGTGTATGAGAATTTCAATCTTGAGGGGAATTGGAAACGGTTGAGATGTTACAGACGTGGCGGGCAAAGACTTTATAAGAGTAGAGAAGAAGAAGAACAGAGTAGAGAGAGAGAGTGGGGGTTTGGTGAGTGGAAGTCACCGCTAGTCAATTAATGCTCTCTCTCTCTTGACACCAAATTGCTTTTTTGTCGGTTTTTTCATAGATTATGGAAGATCCAAGGGTATTGTATCAATTGGGGAAGTGAAGGGTCTTGTGACTTGAGGACTAAGTTTGGTTTCTTTTTTCTTATAGAGAATCAATAAAGTTGTTCATAATTCACTAATAAGTATTTTTGAGTACACACGAGAAGTGGGGTACTGAGCACGATTCATAAGTGTGTAGAGAAGTTTTTAAAGGATTGATCTTGTATTAATAGTTGATAGATTTTATGTACATGCATGATGTACACGTGAACGACGATCACGATTTTACGTTTATCAATAGTTGATAGCCTATACACCCATGCATGATGCACACGTGAACAACGGATCTGGATCCTCTGCTTTGATTTTCTCTGCTATGATCTGCTTTACTTTTGTTCTCCACATGCCACCTCAATAAAATTTAATCTAAGGGACTTAAAAGTTGACACATCATCCTAAAAATAAAAAACTCATTTACTCCTAATTTTTTTATAAAAAAAATCCCTAATCCAACTAATGGGAAAGTTAGCCTTCCTAGATTTCTTTACTCCTCCTTTTTCCTGCACCACGTTCTGTCTTTCTTCTCTTATTTTTTCCTCTTCTTTCCCCAAAAATCTTACCTCTCACTGAGATTTCTTTTCCCCAAAATCTCTATGATCATAATCCCTCTTCTCTTTCCCATATCAAAAGAAAAAAATTATTCCATATTCATTGTTTGATGATGGTGGTTGCGGATATAGGAAGAAAGAAAAGAAAAAAAAGTGATGATCAGAAGCATAAGAATACGAAAGTGGTAGATGAATTTGTTAATATAAATTAAATCAAAAGCAAAATTCAAACAATATCAAAAAAGAATGAACCAAAAAAAAAAAAAAAAAAAAAAAAAAAAAATCCCTTCCCATATCCATTGTTTGATGAGGGTGGTTGCAGACATCGGAAGCAAAAGAGAACATGATGCAGGAAGAAGAACCAAAAAAATAAGAACTCAGATGACTCTTATTATGTTCATACTTTTCTTGGTAATAATGTTTTTGTGTTCTAAGATTGGACACAGAAAAGAATGATAAGCGATAAGATTTGGGGGTGGGGGGAGACGTGCAGAGAAGGAAGAAGAAGAGAAAAAAAAACTGCTACAGCCATTAAGTTTAGGCGTTAGTCAAGTTAGGGTTTTTTCATTTTTAATTAGGAGTAAATTGAAATTTTATTTTAAGGAAGATGTGTCCAATTTAAGTCCCTTAGATTAAATTTTAATGAGGTGGCATGTGGAGAATAAAAGTAAAGCAGATCATAGTAGAGAAAATCAAAGCAGAGGATCCGGATCCGTGAACAACACATACTTTAGTTAATTTTTTTTAATTAATACTCATCGTATTTATGTCTATCTCATTCTCATTAAATTTTATTTGTATAAAATTCTATTTCTGAACTTACCTACTAATATTCCTAATATATGTCCTTAAACTATTTTGGTAGCTTCAATCGAGATGCCAATCTAAATTGAGCTGCCCTGACATCTATTTTTAGTTTTGCTAGCATAATACTAGGCTATCAAAGGTTATGTAGATATGGTAGGATTTTGCAAACAAAAATACTTTCCTCCTCACCGGGTAAGTAAGAGCTCATACATTCCTGCCAATAGTTTGGTGTTTGTAGAACCCATCTTTTCTTTTCTTTTTTCTTGTAGAGAATCAATGTTCACAATCCACTAATTTGTATTCTTGAGTACATACGAGGAGTGGGGGGAGCGAGCATAATTCATAAGTGTGTAGAGAAGTTTTGAAAGAATTCAACTCATATTAATAGTTGATAGATTTTATGCACATGCATGATGTACACGTGAACGACGATCATGATTTTAAGCGCATCAATGGTTGGTAGCCCATACACCCATGCATGATGCACACGTAAACGATACATACTTTAGTTATACTTTTTTTTTATATAAAATAATACTCATCGTATTTATGTTTATCTCGTTCTCATTAAATTTTATTTGTATAAAATTCTATTTCTGAACTCACCTACTAATATTCCTAATATATGTCCTTGAACCATTCTAGTAGCTTCAATCGAGATGCCAATCCAAATTAAGCTGCCCTGACATCTATTTTTAGTTGTGTTAGCATCTAACCATGCTATCAAAGGTTATGTAGATATGGTAGGATTTTGCAAAGAAAAATACTTCCCTCCTTACCAAGTAAGTAGGAGCTCATATATTCCTGCTAATAGTTTGATGTTTTTAGAACCCTTCTTTTCTTTTTCATTGTAGAGAATCAATAAAGTTGTTCACAATCCACTAATTTGTATAAATTGTATTCTTGAGTACATACGAGGAGTGGGGGAGTGAGCGTGATTCATAAGTGTGTAGAGAAGTTTTGAAAGAATTCAGCTCATATTAATAGTTGACAGATTCTATGCACATGTGTACACGTGAACGACGATCATGATTTTACGCGCATCAATGGTTGGTAGCCCATACACCCATGCATGATGCACACGTAAACAATACATACTTTAGTTATACCTTTTTTTTAATGATACTCATCATATTTATGTTTATCTCGTTCTCAATAAATTTTATTTGTATAAAATTCTATTTCTGAACTCACCTACTAATATTCCTAATATATGTCCCTGAACCATTTTGGTAGCTTCAATCGAGATGCCAATCCAAATTGAGCTGCCCCTGACATCTATTTTTAGTTTTGTTAGCATCTAACCAGGCTATCAAAGGTTATGTATATATGGTAGGATTTTGCAAAGAAAAATACTTCCCTCCTTACCAAGTAAGTAGAGCTCATACATTCCTGCCAATAGTTTGGTGTTTGTAGAACCCTTCTTTTCTTTTTCCTTGTAGAGAATCAATAAAGTTGTTCACGATCCACTAATTTGTATTCTTGAGTACATACGAGGAGTGGGGGAGCGAGCATGATTCATAATTGTGTTGTGTAGAGAAGTTTTGAAAGAATTCAGCTCATATTAATAGTTGATAGATTTTATGCACATGCATGATGTACACGTGAATGACGATCATGATTTTACGTGCATCAATGGTTGGTAGGCCATACACCCATGCATGATGCACACGTAAACAATACATACTTTAGTTATACTTTTTTTTTTAATAATACTCATCGTATTTATGTTTATCTCGCTCTCAATAAATTTTATTTGTATAAAATTCTATTTCTGAACTCACCTACTAATATTCCTAATATATGTCCCTAAACCATTTTGTAGCTTCAATCGAGATGCCAATCCAAATTGAGCTGCGTTGACATCTATTTTTAGTTGTGTTAGCATCTAACCAAGCTATCAAAGGTTATGTAGATATGGTAGGATTTTGCAAAGGAAAATACTTCCCTCCTTACCAAGTAAGTAGGAGCTCATACATTTCTGCCAATAGTTTGGTGTTTTTAGAACCCTTCTTTTCTTTTTCCTTGTAGAGAATCAATAAAGTTGTTCACGATCCACTAATTTGTATTCTTGGGTACACACGAGGAGTGGGGGAGTGAGCATGATTCATAAGTGTGTAGAGAAGTTTTGAAAGAATTCAGCTCATATTAATAGTTTATAGATTTTATGCACATGCATGATGTACACGTGAACGACGATCATGCTTTTACGCGCATCAATGGTTGGTAGCCCATACACCCATGCATGATGCACACGTAAACGATACATACTTTAGTTATACTTTTTTTTAATAATATTCATCGTATTTATGTTTATCTCGTTCTCAATAAATTATATTTGTATAAAATTCTATTTCTGAACTCACCTACTAATATTCCTAATATATGTCCCTGAACCATTTTGGTAGCTTCAATCGAGATGCCAATCCAAATTGAGCTACCCTGACATCTATTTTTAGTTGTGTTAGCATCTAACCAAGCTATCAAGGGTTATGTAGATATGGTAGGATTTTGCAAAGGAAAATACTTCCCTCCTTACCAAGTAAGTAGGAGCTCATACATTTCTGCCAATAGTTTGGTGTTTTTAGAACCCTTCTTTTCTTTTTCCTTGTAGAGAATCAATAAAGTTGTTCATGATCCACTAATTTGTATTCTTGGGTACACACGAGGAGTGGGGGAGCGAGCATGATTCATAAGTGTGTAGAGAAGTTTTGAAAGAATTCAGCTCATATTAATAGTTGATAGATTTAGGCACGTGCATGATGTACACGTGAATGACGATCATGATTTTACGTGCATCAATGGTTGGTAGCCCATACACCCATGCATGATGCACACGTAAACGATACATACTTTAGTTATACTTTTCTTTTAATAATACTCATCTTATTTATGTTTATCTCGTTCCTAATAAATTATATTTGTATAAAATTCTATTTATAAACTCACCTACTAATATTCCTAATTTATGTCCATGAACTATTTTGGTAGTTTCAATTGAGAGGCCAATACAAATTGAGCTGCCATGACGTATATTTTTAGTTGTGTTAGCATCTAACCAGGCTATAAAGGTTATGTAGATATGGTAGGATTTTGTAAAGGAAAAAACCTTCTTACCAGGTAAGTAAGAGCTCCTACATTCCTGCCAATAGTTTGGTGTTTGTAGAGCCCTTCTTTTCTTTTTTCTTATAGAAAATCAATAAAGTTTACAATGCACTAATATGTATTCTTGAGTAAATACGAGGAGTGGGTTAGCAAGCATGATTCATAAGTGTGTAGAGAAGTTTTGAAAGGATTTAGCTCGTAGTAATAGTTGACAAATTTTTTGCACATGCATGATGTACACGTGAACGACGATCATGATTTTACGTGCATCAATGGTTGGTAGTCTATACACCCATGCATGATGCAATCGTGAACAACACATACTTTAGTTATACTTTTTTTTTAATATTACTCATCATATTTATGTTTATCTCGTTCTCAATAAATTTTATTTGTATAACATGGTATTTCTAAACTCACCTACTAATATTCCTAATATATGTCCTTGAACTATTTTGGTAGCTTCAATCGAGATGCCACTCAAAATTGAGCTGCCTTGACACCTATTTTTAGTTGTGTTAGCATCTAACTAGGCTATCAAAGGCTATGTAGATACGGTAGGATTTTGCAAAAGAAAATATTTTCCTCCTTACCAGGTAAATAGGAGCTCCTCCATTCCTGCAAATAGCAATATGACATGTGTGCTGAAGTTTTTGTTTTTGTTTTTTTGATATTTTTGATGAATTATTTTTGTATATATGTCAAATTGTAATTCACAAGAATGAGTATATAAGGAGGCAAGTAGTATCATTTTGCAAATAGTTTCATTCAACTAAAGTAAACGTTAAGCTTTTTCTTTTTTCAATTTTTCTTTGGGTGGTGGCCCCAACTCTTTACAAATGTTATACTAGTAGGTTCCACATTAATAAAATAAGGGTGATGATTTTCATACTTTTTTTTTTGGAGACATTTCCTATTGAGATGGGCGATAATATATTAAACTTACACACACTACACAGATGCTAAGACTCGAACTCGGGACCTTACCTGCTGGAACAATTACTCTAAACCACTACACTAGTGGGTCTTTTGCTTCATATTTCTTTTTTGTACATGCACTCCTACTCCATATTTTTAGACATTCATTTTTATTCTATTCATTTGATATATAGAAAGCATAAGAGAAATAAGTAGTGCAAATGTATAAAACTAGAGTAACAAACTTGGTACCCTAAAGTAATAAATTGACATGTTAACTCTGTTTGGTCGTGGAGAAATTTAGAACTAAACTTCAAATTGCCACATAAAACTATATCAAATACGATTTTACTTTACATTCTAACTTCTTGGGGTTGTAACTGCAATGCTTTTTTTATTTGATTTAGGTTCCTTGTGTAATAGGGTTAATGTTTAATGTATTATTAGGAGAGAATTCTAGTGGAAGAGACCATATAGAACCCAAAAAAATTAATGCAAAGAGACTGCATAAAATTAATTGTTGGAACTAGACTGAAAATTAAAGTAAACATACATAGGCCAGAAAAGAAAATATTTAAAATATAGGTTTTCTTAACCAATGAAGTTTCTAAAATTTCTTATTTAATCATTTGCATGCAATTTATTTTAAATAGGACATGAAGGATTCAAATTCGGTACATCTTTTAACATTGAAAAGAGAAATATCACTAGACTACGCGTGAGTTGATTGTGTGCAATGGCGGAGCCCGGATTCTCCGGACAAGGAGTCATAGTGTAAAAATTATGAAATTTTTTTAAGAACAAAATAAGACTAAAAAACATAACATTATCAGTAAAAAAACAAATTATCATATTATTAATCAAAACAAAAAAAACATAACAATTATTAACTCTAATCAATAAATTTCATATCAATATGATAACAGAAACATAGCAATATCATATCAAAAATTTCATTCCATAAAAGTCTTAATTAGAACTTTGGTGTTGTAGAAAAGTCTTAAACTTATTTTCTTGTTCATGGTTGTGAATTGATCGGCGATTTGATCAATAATAATAGTTAAAATAAGAGATATTAGTATTGAAGATTATGCACCAAATCTCGACTCATATCTCAACAAATAAACTCCCCAAACATCTCGACCCTTACCAATCATGGTCAGAAGTGCTAGTTTGGAAGAGATTTTCAAACTGTAACATTTTGTTAGTCTTAAAACATGCAATTTGGTCACTAAAGGTATGATTGGTAACTAATTAACTTTATTTCTCTATTCTTTATTGAGTAACATTATAAAATCACACCTAATTTCTTTTCACACATAGTCTCTTGTAGACAAAATTTAGATACTCATAGTTAGTATAAAACATCACAATGCATTCCAAAAATTAGTATTTTGGCAAGGTCTTGATTTATTTTCCTGTTTTATTTTTAATTTCAAAATAAGTAGTCTTTTGGGATATTATTTTCTTAATATGACTTATTTCTTTTAGGGCTTTTAATTTGATATAGGAAAAGTAAATCATATTGAGAAAATGTTGTCCGTAAAAACTACTTCCTAAATGAGGTTAGATTTCCTAACATGAGATTTGTGAAACAAAGACCACTGTGTATCTACGCATATAGAAAAGAATTATTGTGCACAAACTAATATGCAAGAAATATATTATATTAGGAAAACAATATCATGAAAACAATTTACCATACGAGGTTAGAATTCTTAACATGTGATTTGCAAAATTAAGACAGGTGTATACCTAAAATATTATTCTTTACATGTTTTAAATTATTTCATATTACCTACTAGGTATTTGTCTAATGGTACTTTTGTTCTACAATATTGGAAGATGTTCTAAGATCGATTTCCACCTCCCAAAAGATTAAAAGAAGAAATCTTTCACAGATACGAGTCTCATAAACTCATTCATAGGAGAGAATTGAATTTGAGTTGGAATGAAAAACATTTGCTATACCAACAGGTCTTCATTCCATGGGTAATTGTTTCATTTAGTTTGTGAAATCAAAGACCTGACTTATATGGATGCAAAACGATATATATATTTGTAATGAGTTCAATATTTATTGTGGTTAACATTATTATGATGATGCAACTTTGTTATGAATATGTTGTCTCGTTATATAAAAATATCTTTGTAAATAAATTGTCATTTATAAAACAAGAGTAAAGTTTTCTATATGTGAAAAAAAGAAAAGAAAAAAAGGCTTCACGCATGTCAGGTTAGTAAAGTTAACGGATTTATTATTAACAAAGTTTACAAGAAGAGGGGTGAAGTAAGTAATGCGAGGCAAAAAGAAAGAATAAAGGGGTGGCTCCACCTCATCCTGCTTCTATTCCAACTTTGTTAAAGGAGGGAGCACTCGATTCCTTCTCCAAATTCTTATTTTTGTATTACGCGGGGTCCAAGAAACAGAAGACGCCACGTCAGTTGGGGACCACCATCCTTTATCTCGTTTAGGGACTCGTGAAACACTTTCCTCGAAAATCACAAGAAAACAAACGAAAGCGACTCTCAACTCAAGCAGTACCTACTACGTACCTACCTGCACCAGCATCAGAACGCGCAGCACCATCAAGGCCGTTTGGAGTGATTCTGATCGTGCTTTTTAAGAATCAAAAGCGCTTCTGACAGTAAGTTTAGAAGTACTTATAGGTCGTAGAAACATTTTTTAAAGAAACACTTGCTATACGTTTCTTTAGAAAGCATTACCAAGTAATTTTTCAAGAAACACTTTGATTTCTTATGAAAATTTCAACATTTTTATAATAAAATCACTTTTATTAAAAACGCTTATGAACAAACGTGCTTCCTAAAAAAACAATCTTTCTCTCTTCTTTTTTCTTTTTTTTTATTTATAAATTTTATATAGGAAGGAACATTTTCTATTTCTTCCTTAAACCAACACGTGCAAACATTTCAATCTAAATGGAAAACCTGACACAAATTTTTTTTGGTCTGATCCTGACACAATATTAGATTGACAGAATCGGATTTAAGACACTATTATTTTTTAGATAGTATGTGATCCAGTCTGACAAATAAATAAATAAATAAACATTTTACTTGATATTTATTTGTACTTGCTGTGGTAGCCGCAATAAGAAAAATGATCACACACAGGCACAGTAATGGCAGGGAAATGTTGATGAGAAGAGAGACAAGTAGAACCCATGAATAGAATAATCTCGTCCTCGTACAATCTTTTTCAATTTATTCACATGGATGAATATAAAAATCCAACAGGATTTCCATATCCTTATAATTCTCCCGAGATAATTCAATTCAATCCAATCCCGCACTATACTATCCAGTGTGCCAAACGCATTATGACTTACAAAAGACTGTAGCCAAAGTCATATATCTGAATAACTCTGACAGCAGGTTACACACCTGAAGTGCTCATGTCTCCGACATGCCGGTAGATGGGTTGTCAATGTTTGAACTACTTTCATCAGTGGTGCCATTTACATTACCATTAGAATTGGAACCATAGACATGCCCCATTTTTGAACGTTTGGTCTCCAAGTATCTCTGGTTCTCCCTAGTTATTGGTGCCAATAATGGGACCCTGCCAGCAATGGCCAAACCATAACCCTTGAGTCCAATATACTTTGCAGGATTGTTCGTCATCAGCCTCATCGTTCGAACACCTACATCTTGTAGTATCTGCCAAAAAAATTAATCATACGTTCAGAGAGGCTCATGTGTACAACACTTCAGCAGTAGGACATTACATTGCCAAGAATAGATACTTTCATGCTGAAAGTGACAATGCATGTGAGATACGATTGACTGTTAAGAAACCAGTACCTGTGCACCTATGCCATACTCACGAGAATCAACTGGTAATCCTAGCTCTTCGTTGGCTTCAACCGTGTCACTCCCATCATCCTGCAGGTTATAGGCTCGGAGCTTGTGACCCAAACCAATTCCTCTACCTTCATGTCCACGGAGATACACCAAAACACCCCTACCAGCTGCTTCAATTTGCTTCATTGCAAGAGATAGCTGGTCTCCACAGTCACATCTGGCTGATCCAAATATGTCACCTGTGAGACACTCAGAATGTACCCTCACAAGTATATCTTTCCCGTCCTCAATTTCACCCTGTTCATATTAAAACCCTGCAAACAGTTACTTACAGGAATAACATTGATCAAACACAAAATTTGTTTTCATTTATCAGACAACCTAATACGGAAAGATTGATGTAGGATAAAGATTTTTGTGATATCAGTTTAGGCAGAGAAATTGCTACAGTTAAAAGGGGAGAGAAAAAGGTAAAATAGAGGTTGAAGAGGAGAGCTGGACAACAAGAGGGAAGGGGTACGGTAACCTAGTTCTTTATCATCAGATCAATAGCCAAAGTCTGAAACTCTATTAAAATAAGCTTAAAGCCCTTTCATGTCATCTCTGTCAATTCTTTTGCAGTTTCCATATACACATCTAATGATTCCAATTAACTGATTCAAAAAATTCATCCTAACAAGTCAAGTACACAATGTCTGGTATGCGTCTTCAAAAATCAACTCTAAGAAGTGAGCAATAAAATAGCTATAAAAACAATCGCAGGTAACAAAGTCAAAGCAAGTTCCCGAACATCGAAATTGTAGAATAATTGCAGGACTTCCCTACAGACAAAAGCATTGCGAATATCATGAGTAAAATTTAACAATTCACAAATTGACAATTATTCCAACTGCCATTTATTATTGGTGTTCTGTAATAAAGGTAGACAGTTTTAAGAGGAGAATACTCTACATCAATGGTTTGCTTACTTTAACCATTGCAATGTGCTCAATCCCATCAAGCAATGACTTATAACAGTAGGCCTCAAATGGCCCCCACATTGTGGGTATCCGTGCAACTCCAGCCCGCTCCACCAACTTATCCCTTTTCCTCCTATATCTGAAAGTTTTAATTGATAACCAATATCAAAATTCGAATTTCTTCCACTAATTCAAAGAGCAGGGCAAGAATCAACATTTAATAATTACTTGTTTTAACAAAGTATACCAAGAAGTAACAATAAGATTTATTCATTACTTCACAAAATGTTAAATCTCTTAAGAAAAATGAGTGGCAGATTTATTGGCAGCTGCGGACAGTTCTGAACTGATTTAGAGCGATATAAGCTATAACTATTTAAAGCACATTTAAGATGTCAAATAAACATTTTTCACTCACACACATGCTAGTTAGTGGATTCCAGATCATCCACTAGTGTTTCAGTATGTAATAACATTCATCCATTAATGAAACAGTTGTGTAAGGTGCCAACTGTTTAACCTTGTCAAGTACCAAGGATTTATTAGGTAACTACAGCTGGTACATTTTGGACTCCTACTGGAAAGACACAACCATCCACAGTACCTGATCAAATCAGCAATGGAAATAATTTTCAAGTTTGCTGCCCGTGCAAATTGACGAAGCTTTGGTAATCTAGCCATAGAACCGTCATCATCCACAATTTCACATAAAACTGCTACCGGATCTTGCCCAGCCAGCATAGCAAGATCAACTGAAGCTTCAGTGTGACCAGCTCTTTTTAGAACTCCTCCCTCCCTGTACTTTAGGGGAAAGATATGTCCTGGGCGGTTGAAATCTTTAGGTTTTGAATTCCTTGATGCAAGAGCCAAGACTGTCACAGCTCTATCGCGAGCAGAAACACCAGTTGTCGTACCATGTTTTGCATCCTATAGAGTCCAATACAATTGAAGTCAACCACATAAGAGTAATAACAAGTCATAACATTGGTCGATTTAGAAAGTAACACATTAGACATTTTAAAATTATTACATTCATTTGTTTATCTTCACTATCAATCCCCAAGACACAGACAAGATTGGCAATGCCAAATCTATTCAGCTCCGCTGTCCCACAAAAATATTGAGTCAAAATACTTGCGTCAAAATCTGGATTCCGGCCACACATCTACAATATCCTTTTCACTCTTTTCCTAGCCTTTGAGAGGTCCAACAAACTTGGATGCAGTTACAAAGCATGACTCGACCAAAATGTAAAATGACATGGAACAAGAGGCCTGTGATCATTGATAAGGTCATTGTTTGCCACCTAATAGCACATCTCCATGTGCACACTTAGACTTTAGTTTTTATTTGGGAAAGTTTAAACTACGTACCACTGAGACAGTGAACGCTGTACTAAGTTTTTCTTCATTCTCCTTCTGTGTCACCATAAGTGGAAGTTGCAACCTCTCTAAGTCTTCTCCTTTCATACTAACACAAACAATCCCAGTTCCATGCTTGACAATAAAAGCCATAGCTTCTGGCGTTGCCAAGGATGCTGCCATTATAAGATCTCCCTCATTTTCTCTGTCTTCATCATCTACAACAATTACCATCTGCAATATTTTCTTGAATTAATAATTTGTTATCTTATCAACCTCCAAAAAAGAAAAGCACAAGAAAAAAGAGAGTAACCGTATCCATTATAAACACAAAATAACTAGCTCAGAAAACGACAAACCTTGCCTTGACGTATATCTTCAATCGCCTGTGGTATGGATGAAAATCCTTCTACAGGATGATCCAGATCATTTTCATCATTTTCGGAAGAGAAACCACTAATTATAGGGGTTGTTTCTGCTGCAAGTGTTCCAAAACCTAATGCATCAGGTTGTATTTCAATCCCAGTTGGTTTGGCAGCCTGGGAGTTGACAAAAGTGTCTGCAGTTCTATTGCCATTAGAGTAGGACAGGAGATCATCTTCTCCCAACAAAGCTCTTGTCTTATTTGAGCCCTTGAAACTAAAGCGCAGTTTCCAAGTCAAACTTGGCGTGACAAAATCATATAAGCACCCATTTGCCGCAAATGAAGTCCCACGATATAGACAATTACGCCCTCTGAAGATAAGAATTAATTAGGCATCAACACATACACCTGCTAATCTGAATTGAGGAAATAGCAATACCAACAAACCATCCAAAACCAAATACTTCACATATCTATTAACCTTGTAGTGAACCCTTAAACAGTGTTGAGCTGTTAACCTTAAATCCCATATAACTTTAATAATTAGGTCATGCAAACCATAATTCTCATCCAAAATTCTTTATCCCAAAACTTTTATTAGGGTTACAAAACCAAAGGTTTAAAACCATTTCTTGACTAAACAGGGAATTCCCACATATCCGATTAACTCTGTATATCACTGTGATGCTCAATTGGTCTCCCTATTTTCAACATTGCAAGCATATTTATGTATAACACCCAATTTGTAGTGTTTCTGAAAGACCAAAACATGAAAAACTCAATACTCTATGTAATTTTAGGACTTACATTTCTAATCATTTGTCTTCCTACGTTTTCGGGTGCCGAAAACAATCAAATCAAACTAGGACTACGAACTTTATAGCAGGCAAGAGAGAGAGAGAGAGAGAGAGAGAGAGAGAGAGAGAAGGCTCACTGAGAACGGGACAGAGAAATTGAGGAGCAATTGGGGTTGATAATGATGGAAGCCATTCGTTCAAAGCCTTGAGGTCAAGCTCCTTTAAGCTCAGCAGCCTCTGAGAGAGAGAGAGAGAGAGACGCCCGCGAAAGAAAGCTAAGAGAAGGAAGAGTACGGAAGAGAAGAGCAGTACATAGAGCATAGCATAATAGGTGGCTGTATACGGTTGGTCGCCCAAAACCACCGCCAAGCAAACCAATGATTCAACGGTTCATATTTGCTCAGACAGACCAAAAAGGGAGAAAATTTTGTATGTTACGGTACAGGCTTACCATCCTATATACATTTTTTTTTGGGCCAAAGGGGAGGGGACTGGACAGTAAACGGGTATCACAAGATTTCAATAACTCATGCTAGTTCGAACCCGGGTGACAATTGGGGAGGGGGTTCCAATATACATGGGATATGTAGAAATATTTTATTTTTAGGAGTTTTAACTACAGAGGTCCTTGTATTTTACCTCGAGTGTCAATTGAGTTCCGAAACTGCTTTATTGAGGCAATTACATCATTTGACTCCACAAGTAATTGCAATTGAGTCATACAGTAATAGTTTGTCAATTTAGCAGTCAAAATGAGGGCTAAAAGTGTCATTTCCAAAACAAGAGTCTCCTATAAGTCCCAAGAAACCCCATTGTAGACCTGTTTCCATTGGTATTTTCGTTTAAGTAGATTTAGGTTTTAACCACAAAAATTTCACTTTTGGAAAAAGCCAAAGTTTTTTAAAAAAAGATAGAAAAACCTCTCAACTTTCAAATCAATGACATGCAAATGTAAAAGATTCCTTAGGAAATCCAAAAATAGATAAGGACAATTTTGTCCATTTTGGCTTCTTTTACAAAATTTCTCTCCTTCGTGTTTTTCCAAAGTCTCCCTTTTGTTTATTAGCTCATAAGCTTATTCCAGTAGCCCAACTCTTCTAAGTAAATCTATCATGCAAGTATAATGTTCCCCTTTGGGCTCTACATTATAATCTCTAGCCATGCTATTGAAATGCTCTTTGCCTTGAGAAACTAATCCAATGTGGCTGCATATATAGACTCAAACTAAACACAAAAGGATTGAATAATTGTGAATGATATATATATATATATATATATGTTGACTTTTTATATAAGGAAAAGTAATTAGCTAATTACAAGAAATCCTAATTAAGTAACATGAATTATACTAGGAAATCAAGGATCATGGGATCCTTGAATTATGCTCACGCCAACACTCCTCCTCAAGTTGGTGCGTAGATATATCATATGTCCAACTTGTCAAGTGAGACATGAAAAATCTTTGTTGACACCACATGAGTCAAGACATCTGCCAAATGTCCTTCTGACTTTACAAATCGTATATCAATTAGCTTATCTACCAGTTTCTTCTTGATATAATGCATATCTACTTCAACGTGCTTAGTTCTGTTATGTTGAACTGGATTATTTGCTATATCTCTCGCAGCTTGGTTGTCACAGTAAAGCTCCATGACTTTCTTTGGTGGAAAACCAATTTCGGACAAGAGTATCCTTAACCAAAAAAGCTCACAAACTCCCTGTGATATGCCCCTGTATTCTGCCTTAGCTGAAGAACGAACCACTACATTCTTCTTACTTCCTCATGTAACCAAATTACCCCCAATGAAAGTGAAGTAACCTAATGTAGAATGTCTATATGTTATAATGTCTGCCCAATCTACATCTGTATAACCCTTAACATCCAAATGTCCCAATTTTCTGAATATCAAGCCTCCACCTGGAGCTTTCTTCAAATAGCTCAAAATTCTTATAACTACTGCTAAGTGATTGTCACTAGGAGAATGCATGAACTGGCTAACAACACTAACTGCATATGCGATATTTGGTCTAGTGTGCAAAAGATAAATTAGTATTCTCACTAACCTCTGATATCTTTCCTTGTTGGTTGACACCTGATCAGGATAGATTGCTAGTAATGATTTTGCACAATAAGGGTTTCGGCTGGTGCACACCTTAACAAACCAGTTTTTGTCAACAGGTCTAGAACACACTTCCTTTGAGATAGAAAAATCCTAGTAGCAGAGTGAGTTACTTCGATTCCCATAAAATACTTCAAAGCCCCCAATTCCTTCATCTCAAACTTTGAGGCTAAGTACTTCTGTAATTTACCTATTTCAACAACAACATCACCAGTAACTAACATATCATCGACATAGATTATCAGCAAAGTAATATTACCATCCATACGTTTGATAAATAAGGTATGATCCGAGTTATCTTGATGATATCCATACTTCTTCATTGCTTCAGTGAACCACATAAACCATGCTAGTAGAGACTACTTCAATCCATAAAGGGCCTTTCGAAGCCTACACACTTTCCCACTATTATTAGACAACCTCATAACCAGGTGGTATGTCCATGTACACTTCTTCTTCTAAATCTCTATGCAGAAAGGCATTCTCACATCGAATGTCTTGAGAGGCCAATCTAAATTAGCTGCTAAGGATAATAGAACTCACACCGAATTCATTTTTGCCACCGGTGCAAACATATCCTGATAATCAACTCCATACGTTTGCGTATACCCTTTGGTCACAAGTCTCGCTTTATATCTGTCTATTGTGCCATTAACTTTGTGCTTAATTGTATACACCCATCGATATCCAACAGGTTTATGTCCTTCAGGTTGCGAAACTATCTCCCATGTTCCATTCTTCTATAAGACCTTCATCTCCACATTCATTGCTTCCACCTATTTTGGGTCTTGAAAAGCTTCTTCCAATCTATTAGGAATTTTAATTCCTTCCATATGACTGACAAATGCTTTACTTTGAGGAGACAATCTGTGTGTAGAGACATAATCAGCAATGACATATTTCTTCTTGCCTTTTAGTGAGAATCTGTCTGGTGGTATTCCCTTGTTTGCTTGTGCAACTAATTTTTTCACAATTTCAACAATATTTTGAGAAGCACTGTGATCTGAATGATTTACCTCAGGGATGTTCAATGGAGCAAGAGCAGGTATGTTCGAGAGAGAATGGTTGCTGCTGTCCAGTTCGGGATTGTTGATGTCTAGTTAGGCTCTGCTCGATTGGACTGGTTGGCAGCCTGCTTCCAGCAGCTGCTTGGCTTGGCTAGGCTCGGCTGAGCTGAGCAACTCGGGTTCCTGCGTACTATTTTGTGTTTCTTTCCCTTTATTTCTATGTCAAACCAATTATGTGTTTCCTTTACTATATTCTCCACCTGAAGGACATGATTGGGCATCACGTCTGACAGAAAAAACATATCATTCGCCACAAACGTAACATCCATGGTAACATAAAAGCGATGATTGGAGGGTGTTGAGGCCCAAAATATTCACGGTTCGGCCCAAATAAATTTTCGGCCCAATGCGATGCTTTACCAAGAAGAAACCCGATTTGGGCATGCGAAAGTTCATCATATGCGCTTGCACACATGCCACGCCAAACGACACGCCACGCTAAGCAAGGAATTATCATTCCGCACCTAATCACGCCACAAGCTTAAGTGGGCCCCAAGCCACTCAAATACCCGGGGCTTGCTTGAGTGGGTTGTGGTATGGATGGTAATAAATTGTCATGAGGCCCATTGATGGACCAAGAAGTGGAGGTTCCGGGTTACTTGGGAGCCTCGGAACCCAAGCCCATTTCTTAGGCCCAAACATGTGGGTGAGCACAAAAGAGAAAGTAGCCCAACCAAAATAGCCCATTACTCCAACCAAAATAGCCCATCACTTCAACCAAACTAGCCCAATACTTGATGAAGTTAGCCCATGTACTTGATAAACCAACTTATTGTCATAGAAGGCCCAAGCAACCCAAAAAAATATATCTGCAAATCTTCAGCACCTAGCTGAAAACAAAAGCCACGTTGAAAGCCAAAATATCCATGTGTGAAAGCTGCTGGAAAGCTCCAACACATGGGAGAAACAAGTTTCAAGCAAAAACTTCCAAATGACCAAGGGATATTGGAGCGCAGATCACCATTTGAACCAGCATGCATACCCATTCCTTCCCTCATCAGACCTAGCCTTGGAAAAGGAGAGAAAAGAAGGAAGAAAGATGGCTGAAAATAGAATTCTGAAACAGCCGCAAGAAAGGGGGCTTTGAGCTCCCAAAAAATCCCTGATTTTATGCAAATGGGTAGAGTGGATTTCACCAAAAAAGGATGATTGAAGAGATGAAGGGAGAAAGGAAGGAAAAGCTTAGCCAAATTGGGTAGAAGCCATTAGGTTTTCTTGGAAAATATCAGCTTCCAGCGGCTATAAATTAGGGCCTCTTCTACCCAACAAAAATCATCCACAACTAGAGAGCAAGCTTCCTCTCATACTTGCAAAAACCAGCAATTTCGTGCACTGTTCATCTTCCTCCATTTTCTTCTTCTGACAAGCTGCCAGAAGAACATAGTTCTTCCCTTTTCTCTTCCTAGCCACATATGCTTGAAAACCTCTTCTTCCTCACCTTAAACACTCCCTTTTCTCCCTAGGAAGCCATATTTCCTTTTTGGTGCTCAACTCATGCTAATTTTGCTCCCATGCCACAAGCCCCTCATGCCAAACTCAAAAGTTTATCTGTAAGCATGAAGAAATTACCTGTAAGCTGCCATTATTTTGGTTGGTGAAGATAACCAAAATACTTCCTAAGGCTCTACTGCCTTTTCGAGGTATTTTGGGGCTTAATTTTCGAACTCAGGCTCAAGGGGCAATTTCTTCCATTTTGCCCTTTACGGCAGTCAGGCCCGTAGTAGCTGCCGGAAGAAAAAAAGCCCCTACATAAATTGGCGACTCTGCTGGGGATTAAGCCACTATCTGCACCAATGCCTCCAAAGAAGAAGACCAGAAGCAATAAACCGGAGGAAATAAAGAGATAAGAGCATTCCCTCTTTCTTTTTCTTTTTCCTTTCGTTGGCTATCTACTTTGTAGAACAAACATAATATAGATTACTCACATGCTCCCTTTGCTTGTGTCTTAGATATCCATTCTCAAGCAAAACAATATCTTGTAAGAGGACTGGGGGCTTCAGCCAACGTGCAAGCCGCTGACCACCGTCGTCAATGGTTGAGGCTAGCTCTGCCGTTCACCTCTCCGCCATGATACATCATCAGCAAGTCTGGCCATCGCCGTAAATCACCTTCATAGCAGCCCTCACCTCTCTAGAGTTGTGAAAACACGGTGAGAGAGGGAGAAGGAACACTTGCTCAATGCTCTCAGCCTCATCTCTGCGAATGGCTTCACCAAGATAAGATTTTTATTATCATGCCTTGTTGATCTCAATATAGTATATATATTTGTTTGTTGTTTTAGGATATCCATAAAATTTATGTTTCATTGAACAATCTCAAGCATAGACAAAAGCATGTGCATTCAAGTCCAAAAAAAAAAAGATTGATTGATTAGTTGATATTCATATGGTGCACCAGCTTGCATCATTTTCTTGTTATGTATTAAACCACCTTTCAATTTTGCATCTCCAACAAAATTTCTCAGGGCCTTATTCCACGCACTATTCACTTATCTTACTTCTTATCATTTCGTATCGATCCACCTTTGTGTTAATCAATCCAAGTTACACATTGCAATGTAGATGCCAACTATGCATGCTCAGTACTAAAATCATACCTGCCCAGCATGCTTATGTCAATTATGTTAGTCATTTGCAAGCTACAATGCTTATATTATTTTTATGCTTTGGTCATGCAGCATTATATCGGTCATGTGCAAGGGACCCAAGCCTCCAAACAACAAACAAGAAAACAAATGCTCTCATGTTTCCTACCCAACATCTCAACACACTGCCATTATCATCTATTCCTTAAACAAATCTCTCTCTATACTTCCAGTCATAGAAGTTCAAGCACCACTGAAAGAGCCGCTGGAAGGGTGGAAGAAGAACAGAGCCAGTCAAAATCCAAACACCACTGCTGGAAGAGTCGCTGCCAGAAGCACATGCTACCACCGAATCATGCCAAACTGTCACCGTTGCAACAAAGGGATATCCCAAGTTCATCATGCCATGCAATAACCCAAACAAATACTAAGAAGGCCATGTTGCAAGAGTTTTTGTAGCCTGTGCCCATCAAATCCTTTTCTGATGATTATGGTGCACTTGGGGGCTGAGGAAGGAATTCATTGCAATCACCACGGCAGTGATTCCAAAACCCCAAATGAGCTTAAAAATCCATTATTACCAAAACCACTATTCCCAGACCAAAAATCTCCTTGAAATCCCAATTATGTTACTATGATCTCCAAGTTCGCCATCACTTGTTGTTGTAACCCAACACATTTGCTGCAGTGACCACATACAAAGCTCAAGCTTCAATAGCCAAGTCCAAGCTTTTGGTTCCTAAAACATGTTCACAACAGCTGCAACAAACAATACCTAAGTTGCCATAACTGATATGCTCCAACACCTCAAGCACTTTCTAAGCCTTGACCATTCCAATGACCAAGTTTAGGAGTCAAAACCAAAAGGCTATCGGGATGTCTCAATTGCCACAATTCCATAATCAAGCATCATCAAGCCCCGAGCCTTAGTCAAGAAATCCAAGCACTATGCTTTACTCAAGAAGGAAAACATCTCAATTCATGGCAAATGAAAGGAAAATATTGTGAAGGTAGTGCTATGATACTGCTGGAAGAACCTAAATGCTGTCAAGATGAAGTTTATTTTACCAAGCAATTAGAATTTTTGAAGCGATGTCAAGCTTTCAAGAAAAGGGGTGCTGGAAGCGTATTTTCCTATATTCATCCATTCTTCACCTGCAACATCCACCACTGCTTGCCATACTCTAAGGAAGATCTTACACGCCGAGATACATGACAAAACTCTAAGAGGCAAGCTATTGACAAGGACCCCTTGCCAAAACGAAGGGGAAAGTAGATGGCTACTGTCATTACGTGCTTTGATGACTTGCTCGACGACGACGTATTGTGCCACTTGTGGAAGAATGACCCAAAGCCACAGGAGGCTATGTGGGAACCTTGTGGAAATATGAAGAAGGCCAACTGGAGCAAATATTCAAAATTTGCAAGCTATAACACCCCATGGCTACTTGCTAATTGATGGGAGAATGGTTCCAGCAGCGAAGTATTCACATTGGACATGCTGGAAGAAAGCCACTCGGAGGCTTCATTTGGTCATCAAGATTATCAAGAAGCAGCTGTTGTAACCTCTCATAACTTCACAGAGGTTGAAGAAAGTACAATGGGTTAGGAGCTGCAAATCACTCTTTGATTAGTTGGGTTATGAGCTGCAGGCAAGCAAAGCAGCAACTGTGGCTCTGTTAAATATCTCTACAGAGCATGGCATCCTAGTACAACACATGCCAAATACATACCAACCTAAGCCACAAGCTTTCATGCTATTGCAAGTCATGCACAACCTTGGGCCCTTTCATATTTGGGGGGCTTGATTTGATTGGAGTATTCATCAATGCAAAGTGGCTTAAGGTCTTATTATTGCTGAATTGCTTTTGCACCTATCATTTTGTTTTTGGCTTTTCAAATTTATTTCAAAAATGAACTCCTTATGTATTTTCACCCTATGCTTTCACAACTTTTTTAAAATGCACCACCATTATAGCATGCCGAGGTGTAAGACGATATTTGCAATGAGAATGGAGTATTTTGGAAGAGGAAAAAGCCTCTAGAATTCTTTCCTTGCTTTTACCTTATTCTGTTTTACAAAACTTGTTCTTAAAAAAAAAAAAAAAAAAAAAAAAAACAAACTTTTCATTAAAAGGCTAAGCCTCTCAGCAGTAACTATACCAAGCAAAGCCACTTAGATGGGGTCCCGAACTGAAACAAGCATCAAGCCAAAGCAAAACGATGTGGGGTATGCAAAGTCAAGCTATTACAAAGAAACGAGCAGTAAAAGTGTATTTTGAGGCGCTGGAATAACGAAAACCGTTGACTCCCAATCGGAATGCTCAAAAAACTTCACAACATCCGGCAATTCTTACAGGAGCCTTCGTGGAAATCATGCATACAGTGGCCTGACCCTTTTTAAGGCACGGAAAGAGGGTGCATTTTAGGCCAAATGAGTAGACGAGCCTTGCAAAAGTTTTAAAGAGCAATGCATCGAAGATTTAGCTTAAAGGTCCTGTCAAAATTTTGGGCAGCATATACCTTGTTTTTAAGGCTTGCCAACTCGTCCGAAAATTTCAAGAAGTTCACAAGAGCAAGTTCTCCCAACCAAGCAATATATATATATATATATATATAAGATGTACGAATTACAACATGCCTCAAGCATTCATAAATTAATGCAAGTTCCAGTGGTTCAGTAGTACATTACAAAGTCATAATGACATAGTCGTTAGATCGCAAAAACAAGGTTACACATGCTCGAGATTAGTACATCCTATGGTATCAAGAAAGATGGACGCTGTGCACCGAGCCAATTGACCCCAAGCCAAAGAAAACAACCTGCAAAATAAAAGGAGGCAGCACGCTGGAAGATGCAAGGCAGCGCCGGCAGTTATGTCGCATGTTCTGAGAAGAGGATGAGTAGGAGGCAGCACTGCCGGAAGGTGCAGGGCAGTGCTGGCAACTATGTTGGATGTTCCGAGAAGAGGAGAAGTAGAAGGCAGCACGCTGGAAGATGCAAGGCAGCGCCGGCAGCTATGTCGCATGTTCTGAGAAGAGGATGAGTAGGAGGCAGCAATGCTGGAAGGTGCAGGGCAGTGCCGGCAACTATGTTGGATGTTCCGAGAAGAGGAGAAGTAGAAGGCAGCACGCTGGAAGATGCAAGGCAGCGCCGGCAGCTATGTCGCATGTTCTGAGAAGAGAATGAGTAGGAGGCAGCATTGCTGGAAGGTGCAGGGCAGTGCCGGCAGCTATGTTGGATGTTCCGAGAAAAGGATGAGTATGAGGCAGCACTGCTAGAAGGAGCAGGGCATTGTCTACCCCTGCATCGGATGTCCCAAGAACATAGGGGCTATGGGAATCATGCCGCCATGCGCTATTGCTAAAGCCAAGGGGAACACCTGCGCATGCAGACAATCTTGGGAAAAGTCACAGAGGAGGAATTTCCCGAACCATAATGATACAAACGCAGCAAGACGACACTGGCTCTTCGCCTACTGCAACATCTTCACAAGCATTCTTGAGAAATGGAGGGGGCCTTCCCCTCTTCAATCTATCATCCGTTGAATAAAGGTGGCCACTAATAATTGACAACGGGTTAGTGAATGCCATGGCAGGTCTTGACAAGCGATGAATCCCTGCAAGAATTGCCAACAAAGAATACGCTGAAAAAACGGCAAAGCATAAAGCTAGTTCTCTGTGTTAAAGCCAAGCAATCTCCACACTAGCATGCAAGCCCTATGAACTTTACAAGCCAAGCAAAGCAAGCTATCTCATGCCAAGCGAAATGCATAAACAAAAAAATATATATTTTTGAAGCATCATGCAATCTATTACTCGAGCTCATGATGAGCAAATTTCCCATTCCATGCTCAATCAATCATTCCAGCAGACCCTTTTTCACAAAGCAAGTGCTACAAACTGAGCACTATTTACCTCATAGTAACCTTTTTCACAAAAACGAAATACCTACGAGTTACACATCCTTGCAGACCCATCATACACATGTTTATGTCTATCCCTATAAAGCCAAAAAAATAAACAGTTATCCATGACCAAATTCTAAGCTCATAAAGAAAAAAAAAGAAACCAATGGTGCTTTTCTCAAAGCTTTCAATAGCCTCTAATCCTATGCATTAATCATACGATTACAAGCATGCGCTCGTGATGCATATAGTTCAACAACAAAAAAGCGGGTCAAGAACGCAGCACACGCAAAATATACGCCAAGCAGGGCAAGTCAAGCTCAGGCCAAAGGAAACACTTAAGCAAATACCCAAGCAGCATACAATTTATCCATGGCAAGCGAAATTTTCAAGCAATTCCCATGACAAGCAAATTCTTCCTCAAAATGCAAAAGGATTCAAGCATTGCAGAGCATGCACTCTATCAATTTCTATTTCCACAACATGGGAGAAAAGTCCAAATTTATTCAAGCATGCGAAAAAACAAGCCTAGGCCAAGATATCAGTCTATATCTATTCCTACAGAGTTAAAAAGAAGGACCTGAGATTCCAGTGAACGAGCAAAGCCCATGGGCATGAAGAGCCCAACAAGCCCCTCGATAGGTTCAAGAAATTGCAAAAAGGAAAGGGCATACCTTGTCAATCACCTCAAAGGACGACCTCAAATGCACCAAGAAAGAAGGGAGGTTGGTGCTGGAAGAAGGGCAGTAGGTGTCGGGAGAAGGGTAGTTGGTGCTAAAAGAATATCGTATCTTCTATTTCACGTTACCATCTCCTTCATCACCATTGTTGATCTCATTATTTATGCAACCAGCTGACCCATCATTGCAATTATCCCCATGTTTTTCTGCGCAGACTTTGGCACCATCATTATTTTCAGGCATACTTAAGAATTGGTCTTTCTGAAGATGGATACTTCGGCAACTAATACTTGCAAGAACTTCTTCTCATGGCCATACGACAACTCCTGAAAAATCACAAGCTTTATTCATGCAATTGCACTACAGCAAAATTTAAAGCTTTTCAGACAAAACATCTTGCGAAAGGCTTATGGAGGCTTAAGAGAATCCATCATAGCAAACAGCACATGCAAACTCCAAATGACTTGGGGGCTTCATGTCAAGCAAAAGAGAGAGACAAGAATCCTGAAGCTGTTGTAAATTTCAATTTTCCTCTTGGAGGAAAGCAAACTGTTTGTTACTTATCTGGAGGAAAACAAGCTGTATGAATCTCTTCCAGCAACTCGCTTAGCCTCTTCCTTCTCATCTTCAGTCTACTTCTTCCAAAAATCTTCTTTGAAGCAAGTTGCAAAAAAAAAAAAAAAAAAAAAAAAAAAAAATTTACAAGCAGGCCTCTACTTTGTTTCTCGACCCTGAGTAAGCCAAAGAGAATATAACCCAACTCTTCAACCAATTGCTGACCTCAACAAGCTGACTTGAGGGCTTCATGCCAAGCAAATTCAAGAAATGACACCGTGCCATCCAAACAAGCAAACCCATCTACCTTTTTTGCCACACAGTATAAATCATCTCTTTGATTACAACAAGCCTAGATAATCTTGCATTATGGTGAGAAACAGTTTTCTATTTCCCCTTTTTGAAACAAGCCAAGTTACATTCTTCCAACTCCTACTCTACAAGCAAAGAATTTTGGCGCTTGCCTTATTTCAAATCTTCTTAGCCCCTGTCCTATTTCAAACATCATGCTAGTAAAATTTATCCCACAGCAACAGTTCAACAAACTCATCACATCTTTGGAAGAAAACTCAAAACGGCCTCAAGAACTAGCTTGTTCTCTTTCTCACCCAAAGTCCCTCCGATCAAGCAATTCGAATCTTTCATAAACCTTCATATTGCAAGTCAAGATGAAAAACTCACCTTTATTCTATCAAGATCCCAGCAAATCAGTAAGAAGATGGCATTCCTCATGCTTTGGAACCTCTCAATCAAGCCTGAAAAAGAAACAAGGGAGTACGTTGGCCAGATCAGGTGCCGGAAGGGAACTAGTAAACAGAAAGGGGGTGCCGGAAGTAGAATCGCTATTAAAGCAAAATGTTTTCCAAAGACAAGTTGCAAGAGACCAAGACTCACTTTCATGCTATCAAATTAGACTTCTCATGCTTTATCATGCTTTCGAGCTTTTAAAACAAGAGAATATGTTAGCCAAAATCAGACGCCGGAAAGGTACTCATACACAAACGGATGTGCCGGAAGCATAATTTTCTCAAAGTGCAAGCAAACTCATCTATCAAGCATTTGACAAAATTCACAAGGTGTGATACCAATTCACATACCAAGAAATTTCATTTCATTCAAGCATTCCAAGCAATTCGGGCATTTCAAGCAAATTGAAGAACTCATGCTCTTGCGACAATACCATTCCACTTCATGCTCTCACGACAATATTGCTCAAGAACATGCTCTAGCAATACTCAGATCAGCACTCAATACCAACAGAAAGGACATGCTAAATTCCCAAGCAAAAGCAACATGCCAAGCAAAACTTATACACAAGCTTTCCAACCATCCTAGCTAGAATATCCCACCTTTAGAAAATCACTATAAATCAAGCTTACAACCAACAAATCCCAGACTTTCCAGATTAGAACTAGACATATCAAGCTTCATTTTCCCAAAATTTCGTTGCATTTCGAGCTAGGGAAGCATGTCAAACAGATTTCTAAGACAGCCCACACAGCAGAAACTGTACAGCTCCAGCACCTTAACCCTTACTTTGAAATTCCACCGAAAATTTATTTTTTCTTCAAGTGATGCAAGACCAATTCCAACATAACCATTGAGAAGTCCATTTTTATGTCTCAAAAGCTCCAACTCAGATTCGAAAAGAAACATTTCAAAAGTTCAAAAAGCAGCCAGCAAGCTACTTTGAGATATTTTGACAAACACTTGGCATGCATACCCAAGTGAGCTTGTATAACTCTTGTTTATCACCAAGCTAGAATCCTAAATCAAAAGCTCAACCTTAGAATTCGATTTCTAGTTCACAAATTCTGGGAAATACAGAGGAACTCAAGCATTCAAGCATAGAAGACAAGCATGCAACAAAGGCATCAACATCAACTCATGAACATGCTTTAGAAAAATGGAGGTAGAGAGCACTAGAATGGGTGGATGATCCTCAATTTTGGATATGTTATAGACAACATAATTTCAAGCAAATTTTGTGAAGCAAGCGCAATCATACGAGTATCATAAGTTAAAGACACATGCAGAAGAAAAATCTGCAAAAACTCACCAGCCATGGATGAATGCAGAAGTTGCAAACCAGCTTTGAGGTATCAGAAAATTTCAAAAAATTCTGCAAATTTTACTGGCTATAGTACTCGAGCAGATGAACAACTTTGATTGAGGAAGTTTTCTAATCCGAGCTTCCAAAATATGACTTATGTACTGATGCACAATACCCACGGGTTTGGGTCTTGAAGAAGAAGAAGAAAGAAGAGAATGAGAGAAAATCAGAAAATAAAGCACATCATGCCAAGTTCAGCCTTTTTATATACAAAAAAGAGGTCAAAGCAAGATTAAAGTAAGAAGAGGAAAAGGTAGAAACCCATACCAACAGTTTGTTCACACGGAAATTGGCACCCTTCCAGCAACTCGAGCAAATCAAAGAAAAGGGAATCCCAGAAGATTAGTGCAAGCCCTTCCTTGCTAGCACCCACGTTGTAAGCACTCACGTTGCTGCAATAACAAAATAGGTCAAAAGAGGGTTTGATGCTTGACAACCAAAACAAAGGGCAATATTCATGGATGAAGGGAACCCAACAATTCCTCAATAAATCCAAGAGAAAGCTAGAGAAGGGACATACCTTGCTAAAATCCCAACGGGTGACTTTGAATATACCAAGAAGGGAGCGAAATTGAGAATCATAGAGGAAAACCCGCACAAAAAGGTCCCTTCTAGCAACGGCAGAAAGGCTTCTTCGAAGGGAGAAGGGCTGAAGGGGTTGAAATCGACTTGGGCTCTTTTCCCAGCGGCTGGAGGCAGATGTTTTCCACTTGATCTTACTCTCTCACTCAGTTTTGAGCTGGGGGAACAAGGGAAAACGAAGAGAAGAAAAGTAGGAAGAAGTTGGATCTGGTGCAAGAAAAGGGAAGAGAAAGAAAGAAAATAATAAAAAAGAAAGGAAGAAGGCGTTTGGCATTAGGAAACTGCAAATAACCGCTGGGGCCAATTATGACACGTCATCATTTTGCACGCGGGAAGAAGAGAAGTTCTCTACAAATACAAATCTGATTTTTGGGTCGGGTTTAATTATTCGGCCCATTCCAGCACCTGTCCTGTTTCAAATATCCTTCCAGCACCTGCCATGTTTTCAAACATCCTTCCAGCACATGCCCTATTTCAAACACCTTGCCAGCACCTGCTTTATTTCAAATATCCTTCCAGCACTTGTTATATTTCAAATATCCTTCCAGCACATGCCCTATTTCAAACATCCTTCTAGCACATGCCCTATTTCAAGCATTCTTCCAATATCTAGCCATAATGTCGCACGATATCACCTCATTGAAGTTTTGTCCTCTAAATTCAAAGTGTTCGGAGGCTGGTGCTGTAAAATCAAACACAATGGTGAATCCAAGCACGTCCGGCTAGCACGTCCGGCTACTGTCAAATGACATCCACCATGCTAAATGTCCCAAAAGCCATATTAAACCATGCTACCTTTGCCAAAACCAAGCATCCAAGCATGCAAGCCAAAATCAAGCATACACGCCAATACCAAGTATCAAGCCAAAATCAAGCATACATGCCAATGCTAAGCATCAAGCCAAATACCAAATATACAAGTCAAAGCAAATCATGCAAGCCAAAATCAAGCATACATAACTAATATTAGATACACAAGTCAATGCAACTCTTGCAAACCACAATCATGCAAAATCAAGCCTCTCTAGTCACTCAAGCAAATAAATCATGCGAGCTAAGTAGTTATCTTGAGCTAATCCACCAAGCATTTTCTTCTATATCATGCCACAAAATAAGGTCAACTCTTGGTAACTCTAGTAAGTGACCTCCAAAATTACAGTGTCTAGGAAAGTTCTTCAAGGCAACACCCTCGGTGTTTAAGAAGGATTGGGTTTTAAGCGGGACCATTGTGACCCCTCCAACCTTCCCGGAAAAGACCTGGCTGTAATTTCAGAGACTCTTAACCTGTTATCCTTGAGTTGCTCCTAAACCCATGTCATGCCATGCCACGGTAATTTATTTTGGGCTGAAAATTGATTATTCGGACCATTTCAATACACATTCATGGCCCCAATAATCAAGGGGGCTAATGTTGAGGCCCAAAATATTCACGGTTCGGCCCAAATAAATTCTCGGCCCAATGCGATGCTTTACCAAGAAGAAACCCGATTTGGGCATGCGAAAGTTCATCATATGCGCTTGCACACATGCCACGCCAAACGACACGCCATGCTAAGCAAGGAATTATCATTCCGCACCTAATCACGCCACAAGCTTAAATGGGCCCCAAGCCACTCAAATACCCGGGGCTTGCTTGAGTGGGTTGTGGTATGGATGGTAATAAATTGTCATGAGGCCCATTGATGGACCAAGAAGTGAAGGTTCCGGGTTACTTGGGAGCCTCGGAACCCAAGCCCATTTCTTAGGCCCAAACATGTGGGTGAGCACAAAAGAGAAAGTAGCCCAACCAAAATAGCCCATTACTCCAACCAAAATAGCCCATCACTTCAACCAAACTAGCCCAATACTTGATGAAGTTAGCCCATGTACTTGATAAACCAACTTATTTTCATAGAAGGCCCAAGCAACCCAAAAAAATATATCTGCAAATCTTCAGCACCTAGCTAAAACAAAAGCCACGTTGAAAGCCAAAATATCCATGTGTGAAAGCTGCTGGAAAGCTCCAGCACATGGGAGAAACAAGTTTCAAGCAAAAACTTCCAAATGACCAAGGGATATTGGAGCGCAGATCACCATTTGAACCAGCATGCATACCCATTCCTTCCCTCATCAGACCTAGCCTTGGAAAAGGAGAGAAAAGAAGGAAGAAAGATGGCTGGAAATAGAAGTCTGAAACAGCCGCAGGAAAGGGGGCTTTGAGCTCCCAAAAAATCCCTGATTTTATGCAAATGGGTAGAGTGGATTTCACCAAAAAGGGATGATTGAAGAGATGAAGGGAGAAAGGAAGGAAAAGCTTAGCCAAAATGGGTAGAAGCCATTAGGTTTTCTTGGAAAATATCAGCTTCCAGCGGCTATAAATTAGGGCCTCTTCTACCCAACAAAAATCATCCACAACTAGAGAGCAAGCTTCCTCTCATACTTGCAAAAACCAGCAATTTCGTGCACTGTTCATCTTCCTCCATTTTCTTCTTCTGACAAGCTGCCAGAAGAACATAGTTCTTCCCTTTTCTCTTCCTAGCCACATATGCTTGAAAACCTCTTCTTCCTCACCTTAAACACTCCCTTTTCTCCCTGGGAAGCCATATTTCCTTTTTGGTGCTCAACTCATGCTAATTTTGCTCCCATGCCACAAGCCCCTCATGCCAAACTCAAAAGTTTATCTGTAAGCATGAAGAAATTACCTGTAAGCTGCCATTATTTTGGTTGGTGAAGATAACCAAAATACTTCCTAAGGCTCTACTGCCTTTTCGAGGTATTTTGGGGCTTAATTTTCGAACTCAGGCTCAAGGGGCAATTTCTTCCATTTTGCCCTTTACGGCAGTCAGGCCCGTAGTAGCTGCCGGAAGAAAAAAAAGCCCCTACAGAGGGATGGTAACACCAGTAACCCTTTTGTTAAGGTGCAAAACCCACAATGAAACAATGAAGGGCACACATATCTAACTTGGTCCCGCGAGATTTATTGGACATATGCCACACAACCAAAAATGCGCAAAGTGAGATTAAGATGGGAACAAACAGGAATATGAGCATCCAATGTCTGGAGTGGTCTTTTAAAATCCAAAACACATGAAGGCATACGATTAAGAAGGTAGATAACATACTAAATAGCTACAGTCCAAAGAGTTTGGGGAACACAGCCCTCAATAAAGAGAGCTCAAGCAGTCTCAAGCAATGTCTAAAATATCGATGACATTAGAAATATTGATAGTCCAAAAACATGAAAATTTCAATGGAAATATCGGGATATTATCTATATCGATAAAAATTGAATAAAAACCATGGAAATTGTATGACAAACTTGAAAATTTTTATTGAAACTTTGGACGATGTTTATTTAGTCAATTATTTATTAGTTTATCACAAAAAAATGGAAGTAAATATATTGCATGATAGGTTTCACTGATTTAAGTTGATTATATAGCGAGCTGACAAACACTGTGAGTGTATAAAATATGTAGTAATTAATGAAAGAAGATTAAACACACCATAATCATTTGTATATAATGATTTACTACAATATTTTACACTTTATAGATTGCATGATAACATACATGAGTGATTTAGTACCACATAGAGTTCCCATTTGCACATTATCACAAAAACAAAAGCAACAATGTGATTAAGGCATTGAAGGAGTGAAATGGCAAGGGTTCAAATCCCGTTTGCGTGTGTGCTTTGTGTTTTTTTTTCCTTTTTTCCATTACTTTGATATTTTCAATATTATAGCGATATTTTGACAAAATATTGCTGAAGTGTAAGCAAAATTATTGACTTAATATTTTCTGATATTATCGATATTTATACGATATGTGTATGAATACATTCCAAAATATCCGTGACCTGAAAAAACGATAATATCCTCGATATTTCATCAATATTATCGATATTTTAGACTATGGTATCAAGAATATGGCGATTTGCATTCAGCCACACCATTCTGTTTTGGAGTCTGCGGACACAAGTTTTATGGAGAAGAAGAAGTCAGCGAATATGTGGTTAACAAATTCCCCTTCATTATCTGAACGAATAATTTTAATCGAACAAGAATATTGAGTTTGAATCATCTGGTAAAAGTTATTGAATAAAGAACCAACTTCACTTTTATGCTTCATAACATAAAACCAAGTTATCCGAGTATAATCATCAATGAAGATCACAAACCACCAAACATCAAAGAGAGTAGTAATAGGAGATGGACCCCAAACATTTAAATGGATTAAATCAAGAAGAGATGTGTTTTTCTTCAAACTAGGTGGATAAAAAGTTTGGTGACTTTTTGCAAGAATACAAGTCTCACACTGAAAATTAGAAAATTTTACTCCACTAAATAGAGATGGAATCAAAGGCTGCAAATAACCAAAGGAAAGGAAACATGACCCAACTAATGATGCCATAACCAAATGTTCTTATACTTCTCACTGAAAACGCCTCAAACCTAATGAACACGACCGAGTGCAATGTCATCGACATAGTAAAGCCCATTTCCCATGCCCAATGATATCCCTGGTTTGAACATTCTTAAGCAAACAAAAGAAAGAGAACATGAGCATGCAACAATCTAACTTTCAGGAACTTGCTCAATAGATAATAAATTATGGGATAAAGGAGGAACAAGCAAAGTTTTATGTAAAGAGATGATAGGAGTAAGAGTGATGAAACCGAGTCCAGTGACTGAGTTAGATTTGTCATTGGCAGTAACCACCCTTATGTTGGTACAAGCAGTCATATAATGAAAAAATGATTTATCATAGGTCATATTGATGTAAGACAAAATATGGGTCAATTATGGCTTGAAAAACTAATTAAAATAAAGTGGCTCAAAGTTAAAAGGAAATCGTGTAAGAGAGGAAACTTCTAATTAAATGTCAATTGTGGTACTAGGGAAAAGAGGAAGGCGAATCGTTGGGATTTTCATATAGATTAAGGATGTTTGAAGCAATTATAATTTTGTTTAGATTTGTATTTAATTTAATGTTATGTTTTATATTTTTAAGAATAAGTTATCTATTAGGATATTATTTTCTTAATATGATTTTAGCTAGGATTTTTATTATTTTCTTGTTAGCTAAGTTTAGGAATATTCTAGAACCCAGGGTTTCCTACAGTTTTAGGGTTTCTTTGTTTTCTATTTAAGCCAACTCATGGTGTTGTATTTGGGAATTCAGTTTATTATCAATAAAATACCTTTGAGATTTACTTAATTTTTTGGTGGATTCCAGTTTGTTTGTGGATTCCAACATTATTACGTTAGGGTTATCATTCGATCTCTATATTCCCTTATATATCGCTTCATCAGTTGGGAAATGATAAGATTTTACCTTGTTGCTTCCTAGATTTTCACATATGATCCCACCAAGAAGCGACTTCATCTTCTAAACAGGACGCCACAATTTTCATCATATTCTCTTCTGGGATCGCTATTGAATCAAAGATTTCCTCCACATCTGCAACCCATTGGAGAAAGCCTTCGATGCAGTCACTCCCCATGAAGTATGGAACAACTACAACATCAAATTCTCTAAAAGTGATTGGTTCCTCATCTTCACGAGTCCTATCTTCTTCGTCTGGACCAGCCATTGGAGGCACCTCGAGTCAGGTAAAACCTGCTTTGATACCAACTGGCGCAACGAGATATAGGGGATTAGGGAGATCGAACAATAACCCTAACCCTAACATAATAATGTCGGAATCCACCAACAAACTAGAATTCACTAGAAAATTGAGTAAAACTCAAAGGTATTTGATTGATAATAAACTGAATTCCCAAATACAATGCCATGAGTTGGTTTAAAAGAAAACAAAGAAACCCTAAAATCGTAGGAAACCCTAGGTTCTAGAATATTCCTAAACTTAGTTAACAAGAAAATAATAAAAATCCTAGCTAAAATCATAGTAGGAAAATAATATCCTAATAGATAACTTATTTTAAAAATATAAAATAAAACATTGAATTAAATATAAATCTAGATGTAATCATAATTGCTTCAAACTTCCTTAATCAATCTAAAAATCCCAATGATATGTCTTCCCTCTTTCCCTATCGCCATAAGTTAATTGGAATTTTTCTCTCTTGTACGATTTCCTTCCAACTTTGAGCCACTTCATTTTATTTAATTTTTCACACCATAATTGACCCATATCTCATCCTACATCACATATCATCAATAGCACCCGAATTGATAATCCAACGTGTATCTCGTTGGTCAAAAAGTAACAAAGCTTTTCCCTGGTTACCTTCATAGTCAGCATGCTCTAGAATGGATAACTGAGAGAGAACAGTAAGAGAATCATCAACTGAAGGAGCTACACTGCTCCAACCATTCTTTTTCTTCGCATGCATCACCTTTCATTGCTTCTAGCATTCAAGGAACCACTGTGGAAACCCATTCTTATGAAAACATGTGGCCTCTGTAAGACAGTTCCCATTATAGTAAGTGCAATGCATGTTTTCTTTTTCCTCGGGAGTTGGACAGGGAAAAGGAAAAGAAAAACTAGCAGTAGGGTCTTTGAAACCATTACAATAGTGGATTCAGTCTTTCAATCCTTCTTGAGCATCGTCTCCCAGTGTTGGGCCTCTTTAAGAACAAAAGCAAACGACTCCTCTAGTTTTGGCAATAGACTCAACCATAACAAATCTCCTCTAATTTTATCAAACTCATCATCTAGACCTACAAGAAAATCATAAATACGGTCTTTCTATATATCAGCATGTCGAATCTTCACATCATCATGTCACTTCATGTTAATTGGACAACGACAGTCTAGTTCCAACCGAACGCTCTTGAGCTCAATGAAGTAGGATGCAATGTCACGACCTCCTTAAGTAATATGAGTTGCTTTACACCGTAATTCATAAATCTGCGACTCATCAAACACGTCATAATACATCTGGCCTTCACTCTCCCAAACATCTTTAGTTGTTGGTAGATCTCAGAACTATTCCACCAAATCAGGTTCCATGACTTTTATCAATCATCCTTAACAATGGAGTCCTCAATACACCATGAATCAAAGTCCGAAGTGTCCTTCTCCACTTGAGCCATTTTCCCTATAAGATAACCACTTTTTCCTTGGCCTGACACATGAAGCAACATCATATTCGACTAAGTGCTATAGTTCTTTAAATTCAACCATATGGAGAATGAGGCAGCGGAAGTATCATTACAAACTGTAACATTTGGTTGCGCCATGTTAAGAGTTTTGTGGGTTTCTGAAGCACTGGATTTTGCTGCGATGCAGGGGGCGTCTAGGGTATCTTCGAAAACCATGGAGAGAGAACAAGTTTGGATGGTAGGTTGTATCGGCTATGATCGGCGTTGTTTGTGGTTTTTAGGTTTCTTTTGTTGCACTTGGTTGTGAAACAAGAATGTTGCCCCCTGTTTTTGCCTTTGCTCTTTTTTTATTTTTTTTTTTTTTTTTTTTTTTTTTTTTTGGTTGGTGTTTGGTTACCGTCGGCTGTAGAGGTTGCCGATGGCTAGGGTTTTTGTATTTTTGTTTGAGAGACCGGGTTAGCCGGCTCTGATATCAACTCAAATTAAACACAGAAGGATTGAATAATTGTGAATGATATTATATTTCTCCAAGAGAATGATATATATATATATATATAAGAGTACAAATTGACTTTTCCTACAAGGAAAAGTAATTAGCTACTTAAGGAATCCTAACTAGGTAATTATTCTAATTAGGGAATGTGAATTACAACAGGAAATTAGAGATCATGAGAATGAGAGTGGAGATGAGATTGAGAAGGAAGATTAAGGGAGGATGAGAGGATGGGAGGGAGGAGTAACAAAAGTAAAAACTGAAATCTATTTGAAATTGTTTTCACTTTTGTTACTCCTCCCTCCCATCATCCCATCTCATTCTCTCTCTCTCAATCCCATCTCCACTCTCATTCTCACACTTATTTTCCTATATACTCTAGCACAAAAAATAAAATCTAAAATTGAACAGGCCTTCATAAACAAATTAAAATTGTAATGTCGCACTTTAAGCTAACTCTGATACATGCAATCCTTCACATTTGGTTTTAAGCATAAAAAAAACCTTTAAAATATAGTTGTATGTGAAATGTGTTTGGGCCTAAGAATTCCACACACCAGCCAAATTGAAAATCGGCCCATAACAGAAAAAACGGAAGAATGAGCCTTGTCTCCATAAAACAACCCAAACGACTTTGGAAGCCCATGTTTTTTGCAAAGGTGGTAGAGGTTTAAAAAACACGAAAATAACGAATAAGATTGCCATTTAATGGTAACTTAATACCAAGCAGGTTGAAAAACCTCTAAAAATTGGAATAAACCCAGCTTTTGAAAAATTCTCATCACTTGATCTCAACTCCAAAAAGCAAGTCAAAACAGATCTTTTCTTACTAAAAAAATGTTTACTCAAAAAAGCCCCACGTGATTTCCTGAATTTGAAAAGTCAAAATTTTCAACTATCACATAGGAGGTGATAGGGAGTTAATGAAGGCATGTCTTACAGGAGGACTTCTCCATTTTTGCAGCCAAAGAAAGAAGATCAAATCCCCTTTTCATATATAGAGAAACTTTGCACCAAAGTAGGTTGCCTTTTCAAGAGATAAGCAGGCTACGTTCTCAAGAGATAAGTAGGGAGCAATGGAGTTGTTCATCTGGAAAAGTAAACTGACCATCATGACAGATTGTGTTTTCTATAAGGAACAAACAATGAACAAAGAGAGTTGGTTTTCTTTCAGAAAAAGCAAGGAAAAGACCTCCATGAAAACTGATTTTTTATGGTTCTTTTTTTGCCAAAATAATGGCTTCCTTTTTTTATGACATTGAAAAAAGAAAAAATCTTTTTATAAAAATTATTAAAAAAAAAACACCACTTCAGCCCTATAAATATGAGAGGAGGTTAACAGATCAAAACATAGCCAACAAATCAATCAATCAAGACAAAAACTCTCAAAGTCACAACTGACAAACTCAAAAAGATTAACTCATCTCAAAAGCTTTTAGACCTTAAAGCAACCAAAGCTCTTTGATCCATAAGAAACAAATAAGCCAGAATTCAAATCTCTGGTTTCGGTTCAGTTTAGAGAAACAGTTTTACAAAGCGAGATTTCTCTCGTTACAAATTTGGTTAAGCACAAAGCCAAATTAAGCAGAGTTCAGGTTTTTCACAAATATAAAAACCTCAACAAATTTACAGAAAGCATTGGTCAAGCAGAACAAGCACCATAGCGCAGCTCCAGCTCAGTGACCATCAATCCAGTCACTTCTGTCCTTTTCAAACTATAGGGGCCTCAATTCTGCCTGTTCAGCAAGCCTTCCATGGCTCGAAATAAATTGAAGCTCTGCCAAACTCAAATGTTGGTATCGATTTTCAGCTGAAACTCATCAGTTGAAGGTGTTGACGATTCAATCCAGCATAGACACATCCAATCCAGCCCTGTTCAGAGGCAGCTACCCAGGTAGAAATCAAAGTCCAACATTCTGTTGTCTTTTTCGAAGTCGCCATTTCACTTTTTGAGTCATGTAATAGGCAATTCTACCTAAACAATTTGTCTTCTTTTTATTTATTCTGACCAGAACTACTAATTTTGTACTGTGAAAAATTGTAAAGTTCTCACCAGTCTGAGGCAAGAAAAGAACTTACTTGGGAGATATTCCTCATCCAAATTCAGAATCGTTTGTTTAGAATCAGTAACTTGGGGCACAAGTTATCTATTTTTCATAAGTTTGCTAGGATTTTTATTGCTAGCAGTGACATGCTCATACACAAAAGAAAGTTGACTTGTTGATCACGAATGGTTGTCAAGCCGATGGAGAACTTTACCCTACCATCACAGGATTAAAATCAAAATGGGTGAACAAAATGCATCTAACTATTTGCACAAAAGAATAAAGGGATTTTAGGTTCAATTGTCCCTAAACTTCAACCCAATTCGCATTTTGGTCATTCAATTTCCAAAATCGTTCTCATGGTCCTTTAACTTCACTTTTGTTAGTACAAATAGTCATGCCGTCAATTTTGTTATTTTTTCTGTTAAATGCAAGGGCAAATTTTTTTATTATTATTTTTTTTTAGGGTAAATTTCATAACTGTGTTAGCCCAATTTTCGTTTGGTGAGCATAACCCAATTTTCCTAACTGTATTAGCCAAATAAGCTTGGGAAATGGCCATCAGTGCCACCCATTTTATAATTTTTTGTCAAAATACCACATCTCCCCAAAATTTTTAAAACTACCACCTATAAATACATTTTTATTGTCCACTTATTGCCCACATAACACTTTTCTCTGAAATTGTGTTCTCTCTCTCTCTCTCTCTGAAACCCAGTTCTTCCTCTTCCTCTTTGTTTTCTTCTCTACCCAAATGAAGTCTTGCAGCAACAGTGAAAAGGAATCGGGTGAAATCCCCAATTTTTGAAGTTTCCCAACAAGGCAAAGAAGAACATGTTTACAATTGACAAAGTGGATTTGATAATCTCACCGGTGGGTTCATGGCCCAAACCCCAAATACATCTTAATCAAGACTCCTAACCAAACCCACATGAATGAGATTGTGAAATCTGATACAAGCAAACCAATCCTCCCCATTTTGCTCGCACAAAAATCACCAACGCTTACGCTTGGCCAGTGCCCATTCTATTTTTGGTCAACATGGAAGGACAAAGTAAACGAATCTTATTCATCATCAGCATCCCCTAGACCTAGGAACAAACAAAAAAAAAAAAAAAAAAAAAAAAAAAAAAAACTCTTATTCCTGCCCAAATCCTCTTTGTTTTCATTGTAAACCACAAGAACAACAATCATATTGTGATTTTATTGCGGTTGTATTGTAGTCGTATTGCTTTTGTATTGCTATGGTATTGCGGCTGTACTATTTTTGTAATACGACTACAATACAGCAATACCATAGCAATACAAAAGTAATACGACTACAATACAACCGCAATAAAATCACAATACGTTCTTAAAGACCGTAAACCCAGACTTCAAAACCCCCAAAATTGGACCAAAATGCTCAAACAATGGCCACCTAATGCCAACACATGCTGTCATATTCAGAAAAGATGGTTTTGTTTGGGTTTGTTTAGGTTGCAAAAGGGATTCGAAGAGATGTAGAAATTAGGGTTTGGATTTGGGTAGAGAAGAAAACAAAGAGGAAGAGGAAGAACTAGGTTTTGAGGGCAAAGCTGTGGGTTTTGTAGGTTGTTCTTGATCTTCTTCTTCGTGAGGAAGACGAAATTGGGGTTTGGATTTGGGTAGAGAAGAAAACAAAGAGGAAGAGGAAGAACTGGGTTTCAGAGAGAGAGAAAGAGAACTAAATTTCAGAAAAAGTGTTATGTGGGCAATAAGTGGGCAATAAAAATGTATTTATACGTGGTAGTTTTAAAAATTTTGGAGAAGTGTGGTATTTTGACAAAAAATTGTAAAATGGGTGGCACTGAGGGCCATTTCCCAATAAGCTTTGGCACCACAATTACTTGAGATAGTACCCATCGTAAAAAAAGTCAGCGTCGACCGCTCCAAGACCAAATTTGTTGACAACCTCAAGTGATTTCCTCTGAGTGTTGTCATCTTCAAGGATGGGAAGGAGTCGGACTCGTCGTCATTGAGCTCAAGTCCCTCCTCAAGGACTTGGGAGTAGTGGGTTACGGGAGCGATGTCAGGTTTGGGGGGGAGATGGTGGCTGAGTAGGTTCTCAAGCTGATGATGAGAGGGTTAGGCGGCGGCCATAGAGATGTCAAGATGAGGAAGCAAAAAATGATGATATGTTATTTTTTAAAATATAATTTTTATTTTTTTTTTTTATTATTAATTACTTTTTTTTTTTTTTTTTTTTTTTTTTTTTTTTTATAGTCCACATGGCTTTGTTGGAATATTCAAATAGTGGAAATTAAAAATAATACAAAAATATCATTTTTACCCCTTTATTTAACAGAAAAAATTAACAAAATTGACAGCATAACCATTTGGCCTAATGAAACTAAAGTTGAATGACCACGAGAACGATTTTGAAAATTGAGGGACCAAAATGCGAATTGAGTCAAAGTTCAAAGATCATTGAACTTAAAAACCCAAGAATAAATAAAGTGCCTTCGTGACACTAAAATAACTAGTTTTGTTTGGTTTTAGTATGGTTCCACGATCACTTTAAGCTTAAGTCTAAATCCCAACTTCCATACACGAATCTATCAACAATCCCAAAAAGAAACAACGAAAAACAGTAAATAACAGTGTTGAAGGCGTTAATGGAGGTTACGAGACCGCAAGGGAGATGAGGTGGGCAAAGAGTGGTGTGGATGAGGGGCGGAGAGGAGATGGGTAAAATAATAATAATAATAATAACAATAAATTAATTGATCAAACAAACTTTCAATGGCTTTTACATTACGTCAACAAACTCAGAATTTCCCAACCCGTATCTTTGGTTATTATCACATGGAGATGATGCACCATACAGGTTTGAAGAGAAACTAAGGGGTTGCTCAGCCAATGCAATCGAATTACAAGTCCCCAACCAAGAAGTATCTTCTTATTAGGGAATTTGGGAGAATTCTATTGGTACCGTGATTGGCCAAGCAACTAGAAACAATACCAAGAAATCCCACGTCGACATATTGCTAGAAGTGAGGACCTTCCCTCACCTATAAAAACACTCCCACTTTTGTACTCACTCTGAATCCCCCTTTTGGGATCTTAAAACACTCTTGTACACTCTGAATCCCCGTTTTGGGATCTTAGCTATGACGCATAAGCCAACTATTGCATTATGTAAACTACATGAACATAATGGCAACACAACATTATATCCCAAATTGGATTGCATTTATCTTCCTGCGTTTTTTCAATAATACCACCAGACTCAGAATTTCCATCATCATCATCAACATAACATTACTACATCCCATCAATTTGGTACAATTTGTCTACACCTAGAGAAGTACTAAATTGCCATTGATAGTATAAGGTCTACATATCCAAATACTTGAAATAACAGTAAATTTAAGGAGTTACTCCCTAACCCGAGATCCAAATTAATTGAACTGTCATTGAAAGAGAATATATACAAAATCTATCGCATGAACTCTTGCAGATATATAATTTCCTGCTGGTTGCTATGAGCAAACACCTACATATGGTCACTGATGATATCTGTCCACTCGCACCGTACCTCATCAAGTTCGGTCTGTGTGTAGGCATTTAACGTCTTCCCATTCCACTGGAACAAATTAAAGAACCATTTAGTAAATCATAAATTGTTATATATGCAACAAAGGGAAAAATATAGAACATGAAAGTACAAACAACTATGCTTCTGAACAAATATGGCCACGGTAGCCTCTGACTGCAATTGATAACTATCATATGATCATTACAAACAGAGCATAATAACTAGCAATTCACACCTCAGAAGATATACAGCAATCAATGCAAAAAGAAATAATACAAATACACAAATAAATAAATAAACTGAACATTGCAGAGGATAGAAGCACCTTGTTAAACCAGTACAATTCACACCCTAATGACAAACATTAGAATAGTTATTTGTACCTTTACTGCAAAGGAAAGGTTTTCATCTTCTACAATTTCTTTCATGTATCTCATCACATAATACCCACACTCCATATTCGATGGTTGTTTAGGACCCTACACACAATTCAATAAGTGTCACAGTTGCTATTTATTGCTTCAATACATCTTACTTGTTATTAGGTAAATGAATAATAATAACATACCGTTAGTACTTTCCATACGGGTGGCTTTCGGACTCCCCTGCCTGTTTGGATGTTGAACTGTCTAATCCCACTTCAGCACAGAAAAGATAGGTTACAATCTAATACAATTAGTATAATAATTTCATTTAAATAAGTTAAGCAGGGAAACCTAATTACTTGTTTACAATATATTTCCATTCTTCCTCACGCATGCTCCGCCGAAGAGAGTCCATGAAATATCGCTGAAGAGGGTCCATGAAGTAGCACACATCTTTGTCTTCACTGATAATGGTCAACATCCAATGATAACTACATATTGGACAAAAATTATTTAGCGATACATTTTACCCTGACAGTCAACTACTAGCTCGGTTCATCACACACAAAAAGGTTGGCATCAAATATACAAGGCTAGACTTACCCAGAATTGTAAGGAACCAAAAGTATTTGGTCAGCAGACCCTTTCTGTAACCGGCCTGCTATCACTCGTGATTTTTGGTCAGAATCGCCTGCCCCAACTGAGATGCTTGAAGGGTCAGTCAAACCAACCATATCAACCATGTTTGATTGGTTTAGCTTATCATAGAGGTGCCTGCAAAAACCATAAATGTGTAAGGATTAATTTAGTGGGTCTACACATACCATATCCCACATTTTTTTTACATGCTTTTATGCTGACATTTATGTTTATAAAAAAAATTACAGGGCTGTGACTCATCCCAAATTGAGCAGATGCCAAAGACCAAGGAGATGAAACCAACGTCAATACACACACATAACAGTTAAAAGGGTTAAATACCAAAATGGTCCAGGTGTTTTAGTCCTTTAGCCAATTTCATCAATGCATTTTAAATTTAGCCAATTTCGTCCCTGTGTTTTACTATGTTAGCTAATATTGTCCATTTAGGGAATTAATTGGCTACTTCTCTTGGATCCTACTTGCCTGCCAATAGAAGTTTGACATGTCCGTATACATTTTTCTTTTTATGTTTTTTATGATACATATGTGTCAAACTCTTATTTGCATGAAGGAGGAATGGCTCCTTCCAGGGAAGGAGCCAATCACTGTCCTATCCAAATTGCTGAGAAAAAGATTCATAAATATTTGTAAAATTAAATTTAAAAAACTCCAGTCATAAGAACTAAGTAAAAAAACAATTCAAATAAAGTAAAATAATAAAAAATTAACAAGAACTTAAAAACAAAACTAAAATGAGCAGTTTCCTCATGGCATATTATGCGGTGCATGAAGACCTTTCCAACTTATCCAAAAAAATAAAGAAAAAAAGAAATAAGCACTTCCATTCTACAGAAAATAAGAGTCATTGGTAGTACCAAATACTGAAGAAACTTAGATTCTCAATAGTACAGTAAATAAGAATAGAAAACCAAATAATGATTGTAATGATATAAGAGAAATATGAAATATAATTTGACAATGTAAGCTATAATGAGCATTTTCTACTTACCTATTGAAAAAATATATATCTTTTTTTATAAAATAAAAAAAATTGTATTTACCTCATGTAAACAATTATGCATGTGGCTGAGATTTCCTTCATTTCCATAAACTGCATTACATCTTCTTGGGAAATGTATACAGTCTTGGCAACACCAAATACTGCTTCCTCCATATCAATACTGATAGTTTCGCCATCCAGCATGGCACGCTCTGCATAACGATATAGGAGCTTGAGGGACTTGGGCAGGTTCATGTCTTGTTTTGGTAAATCTTGAGGTTTGGCAGCAGTCTTTCCACGTTTCTACAGTGTTTGGAAAACAGAAGTGAAGGCAGACGATAGTAGAAGACAAGAGAAGTCCATAAAGAACTGAAATGATACTGTTTGAAGGTAAGCACATCATAAAATGAACTCCACTGTTGAACAGTGACATATTATAACTATATCATGAGTTATTGATCTCCTCTAACGTTAACCTAACAAGCTCTGTTGATCAAGCCACATGAGACCCTACAGCTTGGCCAATGGTCACTTATTGCTCAGTAACTGGGATGGGAAGCAGCACTGCTTTATCAAGGGCAACATCAATAGGAACATTCATATTTCCCTCTGCCAATGGAACACCGTGGACTGTTTGGTTGGCTGCATTCATATTTGCAACGTGCATAGTTTCCCCTCAACAAACAGAACAACATGGAAAACACTGTATATACTTTTCCACCAAATTACGGGCGTTCGAACTGCCCCAATACGTACATTTCATATGAATAAAATACAGTAAGAATATATATATCAAACTAGTATAAATGAAGTTTTAAATTTTTACCTTGATGGTGTCTCTTTTACCCATAAATGTCAATTCCTCAAAATTAATTGCATTATCCTCCAAGACATTTTTTTTCTTCCCAGAACAGCTTGCCTTCTCGGAACGGTTGGGAACTGGAGTTGAAAGTGAGATAGGTGTGGTCCGGATATTACCATTGATCTTTGCCTCTAACTCAGCAATCTTTGCTTCATACCAGGCCCGCTGCTGCTCAATCATCTTCCTGACCTCATCCAGAATATCTTCCCTATCAAACTGAGCCTGTGGAACATTTGGCTTGAAAAAGCCTCCCACACCTCTAACCCTACCAGAATCTTCAGGAGCTCCCAACACCATTGTCAGGACATCATTATTTTTAGAGGAGAGACTGACATCAAAATGTTCAGAATGATCTGGATGCTCAGAATGTTCTGGATGTTCTGAATGCTCGGAATGTTCTGCATGTTCAGAAGGTTCTGCATGTTCAGACTGTTCTGTATGTTCAGACTGTTCTGTGTGCTCAGAATGTTCTCCATGTTCAGCATACTCTGCATGTTCAGAATGGTCAGAATGTTCAGAATGTTCTTTCATCAAAAGGTCCTGTGGCAAACAAATGCAAAACACATGAATCATTATTAGTTATAATAATATCATAGCCAATAGATTATACAAGATTTAGCACTCACAATTTTTGCAGCCTGCCCTTTTCTATCCTTACGTGCTTTCTTGCGAAGTAGAGACCCATCAAGTTCATCCTCAGGCATAGTTTTCCTCTGACCAAATCAAATGTATGGGTTACTGATTCTACCTCCAAAGTAGCCCTAGGAAAATGGAAAGTGATGGAAATTCTGGAATTCTATGAACTTACTGATTCTGCCTCCAAACCCACATATCCTTTTCGTGACATTCTATGAGGTTGCTGAAACTTTGCCCTTCTCTCTTTCTGTTCATTATGGAGTTTCTACAATAGGTATAAAATTTACAGAAAGTAAGTCATTTTATATATCAAGCATGGCTTTATGGAGTTTCTGGTCATTTTATGGAGTTTCTACAAGGGTTAAATACTTTTTTGGTCATTGGGTTTTACATGAAAATTCAATTTGATCACTGAGTAAAAAGTTCAGCCAAATTGGTCACTGTGTTTTCCAAAGTTTACAATTTATGGACATTTTTTTATCTTCAGTTCAGTGCAGTTTTTATTTTTATTTTTTTAGGAGGCACCTTCAGTCTTCTTCCTCAAACTCAACAAGTTAGGGTATATTGTGCTATTAGGGTTTAACAAATTGGGGGAAATCATGGGAAGAAGATAAAGAAATGTCTAAAAATTGTAAACTTTGGGAAACACGGGGACTAATTTGGCTCAAATCATTTCTCAGATTTTCGTGAAAAACCCATTGACCACAAAGGTATTTAACCTTTCTACAATAGGTATAAAATGGGACGACATACATACCTTGATTAATTCAATTTTAACCACTATGAATTCTGAGAATTATAGTTCATCTACCAGATTATATAACATAAATGAGAATATCATCAAATAAGCAATAACAGTACTCCATGCAATGAAAACTAAACCCAACCCATACTTTTCATTTCTTCCAAATTCTTTTCCTTCTCTCTTTTTTTTTTTTTTTTTTTTTTTTGGGACATTTATCTGGCTAGAAAAGAACAAGTTAGAAGTGCAGGTATTCAAGCAGTCAACTGAACATAAATCAGAAAGCAGTTTGCAAAATAGAACTTCCAGAATGGTGACATTTACATGATAATTGACTTGGACACATAACAGTTGGTTTAAGGGTCTGCTAAACTATGTAATTTTAGAGCAATTCAACACTTATATTCTGATCGTTTAAGAAAGCAGCAATCTGAAAGTCTAACTCTCAACAATTAAGATAAATTTCCAAATACATACTGCGCATAAACAACAAATATTCCAAAAGGAAGTCCAGCTATATTTGTGTTTAGTATCATGCAGTATGCATTTGACCAGAATCTCGCTTTATGTGGTATATATATGACCAGAAAGTAAGTCATTTTATAAATCAAGCACACAGAGTTATTATCATGCACTGCGAGAGGAGCGTGCTACCTAGCACTAGTGTGGCGTGGACCGTTTCCTTCCCAAGCCATTGGACACTTTTAATAGGCAAATGAACTGAAAAAGGAATGAAGAAAGGTAGAAATATAAGGAACTGGTGTGGACCTCTTCCTTTACTAGCAAGTCCTATCATGCACTGCAAAACAAATAAGGAAATAGCTAGGAACAAAATGGAATTCCCTCATTGTACCTGAAATTCTTTGGTTAAACGGCCATTTACAAATTGCTGCCAATGTTGTTGCTTAATGAAACCATAGTCTTCTGGTGGGTTTTTCAAGGCTTCAGCCTCATCTTTAAATGGCATAATATATTTTCTTGTTAGGTCACTCTTGAATTGCCTCCATCTATTGGATGCAGAGGTCAACACCATTTTTCTGCTTTTAGGGGCTAAGACAAATGCCGCCTACAAAGTAATGGAGTGAGCAGATAAGTTATCAAAGAAAAGATTTGAAGAACATGAGCTTAAGTCAACTACATACCTCTACGGATTCCCAAATTTTATTTTTCAAATCCTTTTCCACCTTAGGCCAGCTTTCAACACTGATGGGGACTGTGGTACGTGCCAGCACCCCAATGTAAGAAGCCAGTTCTGATGCTACCTTCCCATATGGTTTGCCCTTTGGGGTATACTCCACTACTAATTTCTTACCAGTATTTTTATTCTTCACTATGCGATGCATACTCGTTATCCCACGTTTCCTCTTTACCCCACTTGAGGTAGCGTCCATAGTCTCCTTTGAAGTAGAGGCCTCATTGGGTTTGGGTAAACCCATAGCTGAATCTTCCAAGCTGCAAAAATGAGCACGGGTTGATGTATTACATACATGCATACATTAAGGGTAAAAAACATTTTAATCAGTGAATTACAACACTTACACAAAACTGTGAATACATGTAAAAGTACTTAAAGTACTCTGGAAATTAATTAGTAAGGCAAAATTGCTTTAGGTCCTAGCAATGCTCAAATAAACTGGAACACATGCAACAAATTGAAATTATAAAAATTCATGCATAACAATAGTCGAAATTAAAAAGAAAAAAAAAACAATATAAGTAAGGCCATGGGACTTATGATTGATCCACTCAACAGTGGGTTTGTCTGGTCATGGTTTGGTGGTCCTCTCATGTCATCGGATCTCTATTAACAATTTGTTTAAGGCATTTAGCAGTATGTGTGAAATGAATGAACATAGACAGATGGAAATTATACATAGATGAAAGAATAATCCATTTTCCGACAGAAAGAAGTTAAAGTCACAGTTTTGAAATAAGGCAAACCAAAACAAACTCTCAATTACTAACCATTACCACCAATTGAAATGTGGCATATATATATAAACATTCTCCACAAGAAACGAGAGTAAGTAGACAAAAGAACATAAACAACTGTCCAAAACCCAAATCAGACAATAGTCAGATCCAAATCATACACATATATAGAAAAACGGAAGAAAAAAAAACAGCATACCCTAGAATCCCAAGGCAAGATGACACCCAATTGGTACTTCCACAGAGAGAGAGAGAGAGAGAGAGAGAGAGAGAGAGAGAGAGAGAAACCAAAATCGGTACTTTAGGCTGGAACTTCACTGAGAAAGAGAGAGAAAGCAAGGGCTTCCGTTGGTCTGAAATAAAGTGTAGAAAAATTAAAACTTTATAAATAAACAAAAACCCAAAATCAGTACATACATATGTACACTGAATTCGATTCGAAAATGTTCATGAGAGATTATACCTGATCACACGACGACTTCGACAGTCGCTGAGATTTGAAGGAAATGTTAGGATTAGAATAGTGGCAACGGCTCGGTGGAGAAGAAAAACAAAAGAGAGAGGGAAAAGAGCATATCGTCCGCGGGCGGATGAAGTGAAGAGGACAGCAAAAGAGACAACAGCACATTTTAGACAACAGGGAATTCAATCACAATGGCTTTTTGTTTTGCTTTTTTTTTTATCCTTTTTTTTTTTTTTTTTTTTTAATGTAAAATTTAAGTTTTTTTGTTTTATATTATGTCGTTTTATTTGGTGTTGTGTAAAGTAGAAATATGTGCTTCTCTTTTTTTAAAGACGTGTCTTCTTTTTTTTATATACCAAAAAACAAAATGTTAAATTTTATTGCCACCTTGCAATTTATGGGGCACTCCTGATTTTTTTTATTTTTTTATTTAGTACAAGTGATAGTCTAAAGTAGAGGGTAGGAGGATTTTTCACACACACATATAATGTTATGGGTGTTCGAACCTGACACCTCTTGTCTGTACGTCAAGGCTCTTTTCCACTTGACTCTTTTAATGTAAAAGTTACTCTAACATGAAATGGTTATTGAGATTAAAGAATTTTTCAAGTTACAATTTATATTATGACTACATCCCATGTTTAATAACACCAAAATGTTTTTAAAAATGAGTGTTTTTTTGTCCTGCAATGCGATGTGTAAAGTTTGAAGCATTGAGATGTAAATTTTTCAGTACATGATTTATTTTAACAATATATATAAATAATACAATTAAATTGAATTGAATTACAAATTATTATTAAAGCATAATAATCAGATACAAGTATTAATTGTCCTTCAAGCTAGTATCTTTAGGTATAAACATCAAAGCAAGCATCTGGGATGAAGTAGTTAAGCCATAATGAAAAGTGAAAACATGCTTGTATAGTCGAGCACATTGCTGCCTAAAATAAGTAATAACAAACAGATATAGAGTTCAAATTTATCCCAAGAGAAGAGTTAGAAACTAATACAAGAGTTGCTTATTCAGGGAGAGCAATGCTTCAACCGGGGTTATAAGTCAAGTGGTTAAAAGTGTTTATCCCCGCATTCGAGGTCTTAGGTTCGATTCCTCTTCTCCCAATATCGCTTGTATAATTTGAAGAGAATCCTTTAAAATAATAATAAATAAATAAAAACCACACGTGCTCTTCTTTCTCTTGTAGATGGACGCCTCATAGACCGAAAAGTGTTGCCTCATAGACGAAAAGTGTTGCCTCACTATGCCTTGCCATAGATGTACACGAAATGTATAAGTTGCAAAACTCTCCTATGCCTAAGGCAATCCACCACCACCTTATCTCAACACGCACTAGGTAATTTTCGAAATTTTTTTGAGATCCAATTATTTAGTGCATAAATTTGATGTCCATAGCATTATTGTTGTTATAATTTTTACCTTTCTTGGAGTTAGCATCCCCACAGATCAAGCAGCTAGCTAATTTGCTATTTGAAGTTGGGTTTGTTATCCATTCATACAAAAATGATTAATACAAGAAATGCACCAAACATGCAGTACTGATGCAGACCATGCTTGTCAACGACACCAATGAGTATGTCCTGCCCCATACTCAATCACCATGCAAGCTGAGCAAGTCTTCCAAATAGCCAATGATGTCAACATTCTCCTTCTCTACCAATCTTGGTTTTCGATTACCCAACGATTAGGAGTTAAAGTATCCTGACAGTCATCAGTTGATATATAATTATAGGTCATGCTGGGTTTATTTTTTCCCCAGGCCTTGGCCCCATGGCTCATATAGTCTTGATCAAGATTTCTACTTTCCCATACTTTTTTACTCAGCCTTTGGACAGCACTTGCAAGTAAGAAAAAGAAAGCCAAAAAGAAAGTTGCCTACCATTAGGGGGTCTACACTCTACAAAGCCACCCACCAAACCAAATTATACATTTTATACCTTTAATAATTTTTTTCTCTGTGTTCTTTTGTTTTACCTTGTGTAAGATTCTGAGCACACTAGCTCATTCATGATTAAACCATAGGGCCTTAGGGACTAGGAGGAGGCACCCCCAAAACAAAGAGAATGGCGTACATGTTAGGTGGATAACACTGTTAAACTCTCTTCCTTTTCTGCTCTCTAAAGCTTGAGAACCCATAGACTGTTCTCTGTTCATCTTTGAAACATCAATTTAAAAGCCATGTGATCACCAACAAATTAATTAATGAATATATATTAATTAACACAGTCCACGCATATATATATATATATATATATATACAATTGTCATCACAAGCATCATTCTGTACTGAATGGCTCGGGAGATTAGGCACAGTACTATTTGCTCCAGTACGATTGCGATTATGTTGTAGGCCTAGTCTAGCTGTCTTCCAATGCAAAAAGACTAGAAAGTTGGAACCATATGAAGCTATAGATTATAAAGGCCACAATTAAAAATAAAATTAGTGATAAAGAAAGAGCATATATGTCTTAAGTCCCGACATTCTGCCCCATCTTTTGAAAGAACATTTTAGGTTAGATATTGTATTCTAAATTGAAACACATCATTAGCAGGTCAAATCTCACGAATTTGGCAGTTTGACCTTCAATTTTGTTTCCCCATATGCTTAAAAAAAACTAAGCTAGAGAAAAATGATCAAATCCCTTTTGTTTTGAGCACTTTGGGGGAGTAATGAGAAGAGGGTTGAGAATTTCTTGACCTGGCCATTCGTGGCTTAATTGATAGGTCCAAGACTTGAAGTTGCATCATTCAAATTTCAACAAGCAATCTTTCCTTTTTGTATCTTTCTTGGGGGTTATGATGACCCAAATCTAGCGGTGTGCTCATTATCCATTTTCATACAAATATGAAATGATGGATCAAAGAAATGTACGTGCCAGCACATATATGTGGTGCAGAAACAGAAGATTGTGATTGTCAACGACACCAATAAATATGTCCCCGCCCATACTCAATCACCATGCAACCTGCCCAAGGCCAATATTCTTTTCTTTATTTGAGCCCTACTTTACTACTACCAATCTTGATTTCGAGATTATGAGACGAAAGAGATAGATATATATATATATGATATTCTTTATACATATATATAACACAATAGAGAGTATGAATGTCTAGATAATTTCTGATATGGGTTATAACTCTAAAAAATTAGAAGGATAAGATTGTTTTTTCTTAAAGTGTTAGATTGAATTTTGATTTGTGCTTTAATTAGATACATTATTATGAATATAAATATATATATGTATATATATGTAGGTAGATTAGTATAACTACGAATATAATCTGTATCTACAAAGTCGTACCTACGTATATACTTAACCAGATGAAGAAAACCAAAATCTATAATTTAACATCCATGTTTCTTGTAAAACTAAATCTGCATGGACTGTTCATTTTAGATAATTTGAACTGTACAATTATAAATAGTATTATTATTATGATGTGTGGGCGTGGGTTTATATATAGAGTCCATTTTTATTGAGAGATTTTAAAAATAATTTTATTTGAGGGGACACCCTTTAGGATCTCCTATAAAAAAAATTTCAACAATCCAAACTATCTATTTTTTTAAGTTTATATTCATAGATCATCCTTAAAAAAAATTAGACAAATCGGAAATCATTTCGATATCTAATTGTGTCCTATAAAATTAATGCACACGGTGCTTCAAGAAAATACTAAAATTTTAATAATTCAATTGAGTGGTCAAATAAAATCGGATTGAAATGATTTTTTTTGTAGAGATGATGTTTGAATAAATATCTACAAAATAGATTGTTTGGATTAGTGAAATATAATACAGAATGGACCCTAAAAAAGTGTTTTTATTTGAAGAATCCCTCAATAAAAACTCAATATATATATATATATATATATCTTGAATACATAGGGCCTCTTGAACTTTAACTTGTTGTGCAGGTTTTGTGATTTTCCACTTGCCCACAACTCATGCATCTGGTTTCCTTTTCTGTGTGGGGTTATATATGTTGAAACTTGGGAACCCAAGTCCACCCGTGTTGTTGTCTTCAGAAATAATGCAACGGGTCCACCTTTTGCCTCTTGTAGCAAACCAATTATCATGCTGGTGGGCTCTCATCTGTATGTATATGACGATCGTTGTACAGCTAAAATCCCACTTGTGCTTGCTTTGCTTTGCCTGCTACTTATCACTGTTTTTAGCAGTGCTTATATAAGGATTGTACATATTACATCCTTGAAAATTAATTATTTTTTCTGTTCAATAAAATTATATTATATATGCAATTGGATAATGGTAGTTGTGTATATAATATTTATTTACCACATTCCTAACTACCTTTCTAATAAAAAGTGAATCTTTATCTGCGTCAGTCTCATCTCTATCCGATGCGAAAAACTCTTGTAAGAGGGTCTCATCTCATGAGTTAGCTTTTCGTGCTATCACAAAGACACAATCTTAGAAATGTGACAGATATTCAGCAGTCTAGTCATATAATTAAATTGACTATACATGATAATGTTGTGGCATAAAGCTAAGCTCTTCTATACCACAAGCTTTAGGCAGACTGCATGGGTCGTATGTCTGCTCTTATTATAATACGTACTGCTCTACATATGCTCTTGTGAAAATTAATGTAACACGTCGTTGAGGATAAGTCAACAATCCGGGGTGGCTGTGAAATCATATAAAACCATGTTTTGAAGCAGATTGTGTAGAGGTTAAATCCTCTCCTTGGATCAATTTGGTTAGTTTGAGTTCAAGGCCGTTTTGTGTATGGGAATTAATCTATTTGAAAATTGTGGGCAGTGATTCTGGCTATAGCTTTTACGCCTATAAGTCTAGGTGGGTCAAGATTGCTGGGCCTAAGTCTTGGCTTCACGCCACAATTGGTGCAACTTCATCATTGTATTCCTCGTGACACAACAAGTGCAGCATTAACGTGAAATCTTTGCTAGTATGAAAGAATGTTCCATATATGTTGTTTTGGCGATATTGAAGAAAGGAAGGAAAGCATGCAATCATGCATGTCCTATATCCTCGTTGTGCTTGTCAACTGAGCAGAAAAAGTCGAAACAAGGTTGTAACTTATAGGTAGCCCAAAAAGAGAAGTTCAATATTTTTTTAGAATGGGGGATTCTCTAATATGGATGTGTTGGTAGATTT